TAACGTTAATTTCCGATATAGCTCTTAGTATTTCTTCTTGCTTTAATACTACTTCTTCGCTTTTAAAGTATCGTAGGTCGAGGGATATAAGCTTTAGCTTTTTAGTTAAATAATAATATACTATCCTACGTACCTACTCTAGAGATTCCTTACTTTAATATACGTAAAATAAGATATAGTAAGCGATCGGTTTTCCTTTACGCTTAGCTTAGGTAATAATCGATCCTAGGATTAATATTAATTCCGGCTTATCCGGGTTTCCGTTCTCGAGATAGTATAATCGCTTATTATTCCTATAGTAGAACCGATTCTAGGTTATATTTATTAATAGCGGGTAGCGGCTATAGTTATAAAGCCGATCGAAAGTATTATAAAACTAATATTCGAATTCCTTATAGTTATTCGTTTAGGTTAATAAAATCCTACTACGTATGCCTCGGTAATTTAATATAATATTACGTTTAAAGCCTACTAGGGTCCTTCCGTTAATTTATAGTTTATAAAGACTTAGGTTCCGAACCGCGTTTACTAGGAACGGGTTTTTCTATTAATATTATTAATCGGCGTTATACGTACCCCTAGGGCTATAAAAGCTACTATCCTAACGGTAATTCTATAAAGTTATCTTTATTTCTAAAGCGTTAAATCGGTCGTAAAGGGCTTATATACTAGCTTCCTAACTAGTATTTAGGTAGTTATAAGAAGGTTTAGGTTACGAGGAAGGCGGTAGTAAAGGCATCTAAAGGCTAGGAGTCGTTAATCGTTAAACTATTTATATTATAGGCTTCTCGGGCTCCTCGAAAGTTACCGTTTTCTACTATCGTCGTTCCTCGGCTTAGATCTTATCGGTAATTTATGCTACTATACGACGTTCCGCTTACTTATAAAGCTAAGTATAAAGAATCCGGTAGTCGATATTTCCGATCTTAGTATAATTATAATCTTTCGTTTTATAGAACTTTATAATTAAGAATATCCGGAATTTATCGGTTAAGTATCCTACTTTCTAGGGAAGCTTTCCGTTATCGTTTACGAGCTTAAAAAGACGTTTATAGTTTATAAGATACGTAAAGATCGCCTTAAGATCGTTAATTACGTTACCTCGTTCTAGTTATACGAGTTTACGTTTAACGTTAGCTTAGCCTAGTTTATCGGTAATCTTAAAGCGGTACTTTAAGGCTATAACGATAACTCTTTAGATCGTTTAATCCTTCGTAACGTCGTTAATACGTTCCCTAATAATCTTAGTCGTAATCCATTCGCCGATTTCCTTAATCTTATCGTCGTCGCTTATACGGTAGCGGTTAAATAATCGATTTACCTTCTTTAGTTATTAAGTTACGTTATATTCGTTAAACTTAAGCCTAGGGTAATCGGTAAGGTTAGGAAATCTAATAACTAGTATTACGATAGTCGGGATAGCTACCGGTATATTTTAGCTACTAAAGGTTTCGTTATTATTATTCTAAGATAATACCATAAGGATTAACGGGATAAGTATAGAGCCGCGGTTAAGGAATAGCTAAGTAGGAGTTTTATCGTCGTCTTTCTTTTCTTCGGGCGGATATAGAAACGAAAAGCTAGTATCGACTCTTAAGGTCTTTACTAGTAGTTTAATCTTTATTACTTTAGGTCCCGATAACGATTTACTCCGTTTCCTAGCTATAGACTCCGTTTAATCTAACGGTACGAGGTATAAAGTAGATAGGGAGGTAGTAAGGGTTTTATTATTTAATATAAGGATAAAGATATAATAGTTATTATTTATATCCTAATACTTTTCCTTTAGTATAAGTATATTATTATTTATTATATTATTCCGATCGATAAGGTCCGGGTATTATACGAGCTTTTCTAGTCGGCTAACGCCTAATTAAAGTACGATACGTATTCCCTGGACTAATAATTTAACTATTATAAATAAGTCGACGATAATCCCTCCCATTAAGGTCTAGAACTCCTAACGTATAACCTTCGTTAAAATAATACGTATAAGGGATAGATCCCGAGTAAAGGATCGCGTTAAATACGATACCGGTTATAGCCATAGGCCGGTTTCGATTTAACGGAGGTTATTTAATAGTATTAGCGGTATTACCGCTAGGCGCCGTTTTACGCCTATATTAGTACTTCTCGCTATACTAGCTATTAATTAATAATATAAGGCCAGCTTATATATAGGTATATTTATTAGCTCGACTCTAGTTCCGTTTCCTTAATCCTTTATATCTACGTAGTCCTATTAATATTAATTCCTAATTCTCTTTAAAACTATCGGTTATTAATAGCTATTAATTTATTAATCCTATCTATATTATTAATATAAATATTTATATTATATCGTATATTATATCGTCGAATCGTTACGCCTAGATATCCTAAAATACCTTTAGTATAATAAGTTATTAATATTTATATATTTAATCTATATCGATTAATAAGTTTAAAAGGAAAAAGAAGCTATCGTAAGGTCGGTTAGGATATAATTATTATTAGCCTTTATCCGCCTTTAGTATTAATAAGGAAGTAGCGGGTCGTATAAGTTATCGTAATTTATATTAAGGCGCTCGTACGTTCTTTATATAGTAAGTAAATAACTATAAGGGGGCTGCCTTAATCGCTACGAGCTTTATTTACTCGTACGAGATATACTATACTATTAGCGGTTCGAGGAAGTGGTTAATATCGAGGGTTAAATACTATTCCTAGTAGCGGTAATATTACGACGATAATTCCCTAGGCTTACGGATACCTTTCTATAGGTAAGTAAATAATAATATAAGGGATATCTTAATTGGTATAAACGCGGTTTAGTCGTCGTATTATATCGTAATATCGATAACTTATTAGCGTTATAAGTATTAAGGGCTAGGTAGTATCTTAACGGCTATAGTATCGTAATGAGGGTTCCCGGGCTTATACGTACCTTCCTATAGTAAATAAATAACCATAAGGCGGGATACTTTATTTAACGTAAAACGCGGGCTACTTCGCGGGTTAAATAACGGCGCCGACGGCGATCGGTATCCTTTAAATCCTAATAGCGTAATAAAAACTCCGTAAACTAAAGGTTAAAGGGTCGAAAAAGTTATAAGGTAGTCGCTACTAAGGAGGAATAAAGCGTACGCGATATTAAAAACCCGGATAGGTTTATTCGAAAGTATATTTTATTGAAGATTATAATACGTACGATAGTCTAGGATAAATAAAACTAATATCGCTATACTAATCGAGAAATAAGAAATTTAATATAGTTATCGTATCTTAGCTATATCCCTTAGTCGTAAAGATATAATAGTCGCTAGTCCGAAAGTATAAAAGGTAAGAAAAGAAAAGGAGTAAAACGTAAAAGTTATTTATTCGGCTATAGCGGTACGACGAAGTAACTTAAGCGCCTATAATTAAGATAGATATACTAATCGGAGAACGACGAATCTAATGGTAAAAACGAATCTTTAATTAAGGTAAAAATAATAAAGATAGTAATCTAGTTAAGTAATAAACTAGATAATAAGCATAGTATATCCCGTACTTACGGGAGCTATGGTTACTCTATATAAATATAAGGCCTATCGTAGCGTATTACGTAATATATTAAGAGGGCATGTCTTACCGTACCACTATAATAACTACCCCGGAGTTCGTAATTTTCGGAGCATTAGCCATTATTACTTCGTATTCTTAGGGTTAATATACGACGAAAGATTTATCGGTCGGTTCGGGGGTCGCTTCTAGCTAAGGCGCCGGAGGGGTTCGCTATCGTTCGGCGTCCTTTGCCTTTAATTTTATTATAGCGGCCTTTAGTTCGTTAATTATAGCTATTATTTAGGCTACTTCCGCTATAGAGATCGACGCTAGCCCGGAAGTAGTAATCCGTAGGAGCGGAAACGCCTATAGCTCCTCGGTAGAGGGCCTAGGTTAATCTAGTAGTAACGATACTAAGGCGGCGGCTACGTTTAACGTAGGCTTAGGCGTAGGCTTTCCTTATTATTAATTTATAATAAAGTTATAAGGTTAAGAGTAATATAGAATTATTTATAACAAGGGGATATACTTAGAATAAATTTAATTTAGCTAATAATTTTATAGAAGGTTTCTTAAGTCCTTACTTTCTTTAAGTTTTCCTAGTGCTATTTTTATCTTAATATATCCTTAAGGTACCTCCGTACCTTAGTACCTAGGTACCTTAATACCGAAGCTATCTATAGCTTATCTAGGACTTTCCTTGGTAAGTTACCGAACCGGCGACCTTAATACCCGATGTTATTCTCCTGACCTCCTATGACCTAATTATTGGTACGGGGTTCCATCCCCGTGTAATAATATGCCTAATCTCAGCTCCTAAAAAGGCGCCTTTGAATTTACGCATTACAGTATGCATAAAGAACGTAGCAAGAGAGGCACTAGGAGAAGTCGTACGGCACATATACAGAAACGTGTTGCCTAATCCCGTGCCCGTGAGTTAAATGGGAGTCGAGAGCACTTCCTGTATGTTACCGTGGGAGGTTCGGGTAGGTATAACCAAAAGCACAGATATACAAAGACGTGTGTACTCGGCTTGTATCTTGTTGGATTGGCCTATGAAGATGGTTGGAGCGGTAGAATATATACCCACTTTCCAAGTGGTTATTGGTGTTCTTGGTAGAGCCGATCCTTCACCACTTCTACAGCCACGTAGTGAGGCTCGGATTCCGAAACAGGCAGGTGAAAATCGACAACGTTGGCACTGGGGGCATTGCACCTCGCACCACGGGGCACGACGCACTTAGAGGCAAGAGCTTTATATCGGGTTTGATCAGTAACCAGGCCTAATGGAGGAAGAAACGTCGAATCCGATCTCGAGTTAGGTCTTTGGTGGGTGGGGGGTCGGCTCCAGACCTCGATGCGTGCGGCCGGATCAGAGACTTGCCGGTACTCTCCCTAAGATACAGCAACGGATGTTGCATAAATACCTCGTACCAGGAACTAGTTTATTGATAATCTTTTCTCCTGTAAGCGTGCGGGTTTTGTCCTAGGTGTTTGTAATTCGCCTATAACCGTTTTGTAAGCATGAAGGACGTTGGGTTCAACGAGGAGTTATGATTTCGTTCGTATTTACTTCACAACTCCCTCCTAGCGAGTTGGCTCCTTGGCTCATTGATAAGTGGATTAACACAGAGTTGACTCCGCCCGGAGCCGGTTAACCGACTTCAATAGTCACCGGCGCCGCGTAAGATGTTAGACACACTCTTCATTAGATTAGAGTCTTGGTATCCTTATTAACCGTTTTTGCTGCCTAACGCCATGCAATGCCTGCATCCCTACCAAAAGCCCAGCCGGCACCGTCCGTATTATGTCTATCCATAAAAGCCGAATGCTCTTCTGCCCTGTGCGCAACGTGTTGTCGTTACCGCCTGCCTCCTCGCGCTCCGCCCCCCATCATTCCGCCCATACCCATGCTCTCCATCATCTTCTGCATGTCCATGCCGCCGGGAAACCCGCCGCCGCCGCCGCCGAACATCTTCGCGAGGCTCGCCATGTCGGGCATGCCGCCCGCGCCGGCACCGCCCATGCTCTGCAGTCGCTTCTGCATGGCAGCAAACTGTTGCGCCTTGTTGCCGCCGCCCATGGCTTGTTGGGCACGTTGCATGTTCTTCATATTGCCGCCCATCTTCTTAGCCATACCCGCCATAATACGCTGCTGTGTGAGCAGGTCCTCGACTTCGCGGACGCTGACGCCACTCCCGCGGGCGACCCGCGTCATGCGAGAGGGTTGGTCGATGAACACCTTCCCATCGCTGTCTAGTTCCTTCTCGGTCATGCTGTCGCAGATGAATATCATCCGCTTCAACCGCGCGCTAGACTCCTCGTCGTCCATACCCGCCATACCCGGAAGATTCGACATACCAGGGATCATGCCCGCCATTTTGGAGATAGGGCCCATCTTCATGATATTGCTCAGCTGGTCTCGGAGATCGCGTACTGTGAAGATACCTTCGGCGATGTGCTTGATGGTGTCCTTCTGATCCAGCTTCAGGGACTGGACGTGCTCGACCAACCCTGCCATGTCGCCCATTCCCAACAACTTGTTGACAAATTGTTGCGGGGCAAATCTCTCGAGGTCCAGCATATGCTCTCCCGTGCCGATAAAGACGATGGGCGTGTGGGTGGCAGCAACGGCGGAGATGGCGCCACCTCCGCTCGCGTGGCCGTCGGTCTTGGTGATGATGATGGCTCCAAAATCGGCCGCCTCCTTGAACGCCTTGGCCTGGGCTTCCGCTTGTTGGCCGATGGAGGCGTCGAGTACCATGATTGTTTCGTCGGGTTTCACGGCTGCCTGGATGTTTATCATCTCTTGGAACAAGGCAGCCTCCTGCTGATGACGTCCCGAAGTGTCCACGATGATGACCTCGAACCGCTCCTTTTTGAACTTTTCGACGCCCTCCCTCGCAATCTTGGCCGGGTCTAGCTCGGTAAGGGACCCGTAGTAGGGTATCTTGGCTTTCGTGGCATTCTGCTTCAGCTGGTCGAAGGCGCCGGCTCGGAAGGTGTCGGCACAGACGAGGCACGAGCGGAACCCCCTCGCTTGGTAATGTCGCGCGAGCTTCGTACATGTCGTCGTCTTTCCGGCGCCCTGCAGGCCAACGAACATGATAACGTTGGACTTGCCTTTCTTCGGCTTGAACGGCTCGGCATGGGGATCGACAAGCTTGACTAGTTCGTCGAAGACGGCTTTCTGAATTAGCCGCTTCTTGTTGACGCCGGGTGGTAGGTCCTTGAAGTTGACAGCGGTGCTTATCGAGTTCTTCAACTTGCTCACGAGTCGGACGTTGACGTCGGCTTCGAGGAGGGCACCGGATATCTCGTTGAGCATGGCTTTGAAAGCCTGCGATGCGTGTCAGCCTCTGTGCGACCGCGGGCCTTACCGGCCCGAGGGGAAAGCGGGAGGCGAGTGCGATGGGACAATGGAACGGCTAAGCATACCTTCTCGTCGAGATTAGGCGCCCGGGTGACATCGTTTAAGGCGCCGCTGATGCGGCGACCGAGATCTTGGAGAACCATGCTGGGGTGCGTAAGCGCCTCAGGCCGTGGGGATGGGTTGATCAAAGCTGAGCCGGCGTGCGGTGGTGGAGTTGATAATTGCTGGCTTGTAGGGAAGAAGTGGGAGAAGCGGAATGCGTGTAGCCCCACCTCTGCCAGACACCATAAGGTGAGCTGCTTAGGTAAGCCGCATTGACCCCAGCTCGCAGGTCCGCAAGCAATACGTAGGTAGTACCTGGGATCTCGATCTCGCACTGTTACGATTGAGTGTGCGGTAAGATAGCCAGAGCTTACGAACAAATTTTGCCGGAGGGAAGAGGTAGGTAGGTGACCCTACTTTGGGTATGGACGCTTATATTCAACATGCTGCTGGGGAAGACCTTGGGCAACTAGGTCGGGAGTTCTTACCTACCGGCTGGTGAGGACAACAATCCCTACAAGTCTACCCATGCTCCATAATCATAAGCTAGGTCACCGCTTCACGAGCCACCGCTTCGCGGACCACCTTTTTACAAATATACTTATAAATAAACGATTTTTACGCGTAAAAATCGTTTATTTATAAGCATATTTGTAAAAAGGTGGTCCGCGAAGCGGTGGCTCGTGAAGCGGTAACCTAACTTACCAGGCATATCGTTAGCCGGAGAACCATCTAAGAGACCTCTCAACCACCTTATTAAACGTCAACGAGTACGTTTTTAGTACTGAGGTGGGTGAAGGGTGGATTGGTGCGTTGAGCCGGCTAGGGATGCGTAGAGGTAGATGGAACGAAATTTCGTTGTTTATATCTCTTCGTGCTGACCTGCATGTTACCGTTTTAATCAGGCCTTTCAGTAAGTCCTCTCACAATAAGTTCCAGCGTAATGTTGACGGGGGGTAGGCGGACGGAACTATATTAATAGTGCTTTCACATCGAAGGCATGTAATGCGCCCAGGGGTATCGTCCTGGATAATATCGTAGTATTTCCACTTATGGGAGTCAAGGAAAGATGTATGTAATTACCGTACGGCGCACATCGCTGCGGTTCCCCTGCTGCAATCTCCAAGTCGGATGCCGATAGCTATTAAAAGTATAGTATTCAATTTCCGTACTCATCCTGAGATTGCACTTGATTGCCTGCTCTGCTGTGACTGGTGAAGGATATTTAGGGGTAAGATGGAAGTGCCGATACAAGATTCTGGGTAACCGTGAAGACAGGCGCGTTGTCAGCCCTTTCTGTCTTTGCTTAACTACTGCATTTCGCTTTTCAAACTTAAGTGTGATATTTCCGAGGTCCTGCTTTCTACATCATCTTCGTTCGAATCCCTGAGCTGACGAGTATCAGTGTCCAGCCACGAATAGGGGCCATCACTTCCACCTTGGTACAGACCGACATATTGGCTTTCCGGGTTATCCTACACTATACAATGGCACGCTGCCATGTCGATGGGGTGTGTACATGCCGCCTGTCGGCTCCCTCTCTTCCTGGAGGCTGGTCTTGGAATGGCAGGCGATGCCGTACGAATATCTAAGGGGAGTGGGCTTGCTATTTCCTACCCCTGTCTGGGTTCTCTCTACTCGACCGCCATCTAACCTGCTGATTATAACTTCAGGAAGTCAGCAAAGCCGGTAGCCACTGGCCGAATTAGGGCGGGCGCGCCGTTGACGAGCCTAGTCTTCAGAGAGTAGCTCCGCCCGGCATTCTTTTAAACTGATACCGAGTGCGCCGGACTGCTTGAATTCTTCTCTTCGTATTATATCTCATCTCCTCTCAGGCTAGCAGTATCACCACACATACCGTTATCCCGACCTTCGTTCACGTTCCTTTTTTATTATATCCCAGATTCTAAGTCGGCGCCAGCAAGAAACAGCAGCGTACCTTCATAATGGGCATTATTCCGGTTGCCTGCCTCTTCGCGGCCCTCCTGCTATTCGCCTTCGGCACGCGCTTGAAGCCTGGCTGTTCTCGGCGCCGTTCGGCCGTCATACACCTCGCGGTCCTCCTAGCCAGCATTGTCACCGAAGGAGGCCCTGTGTGGCTGTAGAAGCCTATCTGGACGACCCTCGCCCTGGTCCCCGCGTTTAATGGCACCTTCTTCCTCACCTAGTCCTCTGTGATCGGTACGGAGGGCCTCTCCGTTCGCGAGAGGCTGGGCACGGTACTCGGCTGCTGGATCTATCCGGATTACCAAGCCTCCCCGGCTGACGACGCCGAAAACGGCCAGTCAACCGTCATTCCCTTGCACGAAAAGCTCTCACACTTCGTAGCGGTGTCCTCCCTCCAATTCGCCTACTCGATGCTGGTTCCTCTCATCTTGAAATGGCTGCAGGCCACGCAGGAGGACTTCGCGCCGGCCAAAATGGCCTCGTGCTCCCCCATGAATCTTCACGACCTCGGTATCAGGGCATTTATCATCTTCCACTGAATGTACGGCATCGTCTGCGCAGCGTTTCTGCTCCTGGGTCAGGGAGACCCCAAGAAGCGGCTGCCCCGGGACGGCGACATAGGATATTATTGCATTAACTACTTTTGACTCCACGTCTCGCAAGGGGCGCTTGTGCCTGTCTTGACCAAGTTTTGGAGGCAGCCTGCCCGCGTCCCCGGCCCGTGGAATCTGTGGCAGACTTGGAACCTCTACATCCCGGGCCTCGCGACGATGTCGTCGTGTTTTATATGCGCTATCACCGACGAGGCCGTTAGTTGGGACGTTCGGGGCACGGTGGTGGGACCGCACGTCAGCTTTTACGAATGTAATCTAGTACCTAGCGGCCGTCGTGGAGTGTATTGTTTTCCATTTTACTAATATTCAGCATCCGGGCCAGACAACCGAGGCTTTGCTGCGAAGTCTGAGGTACGTTTGGGTCTTTGCGTTTTTCGTCTGCGCCATTCCGCAATGGAGGTATCCCCGGATCTACTAGAGTGACTTCTGTTACCTGCTGACTTCGGAGACCGGCTTTGTAGGTGAACAGTCATTGTGCTCTCTAGCGGACTCTTAGCCTACTGCCTACTGAATACGTGGTAGGTAGGTAATTATTCTAGTACCTCATTGTACGATAGTCTAGTATTATATTATATCGAGCGTTCGGCCTGATGTTGGCTTTGGAATCGGCTCCAGCGCATCAACCATTGGTATTATTCTCGCTACCGCTGTCCGGACCGTTATCCACGTCTATGTCCCGCGTGCTATTCTCTAGGCCTCCCTTTTCTGCGTTAGCACTCTCGAGCCCCTTGCTCTGCGACAGGAAGTGCTCAACGACATGCATGTGGTTGTTGAATGCGGCTAGATCTAGAGGGATCTGGTCCTTGTCGTTAGTCTCGGTGGGAGACGCCCCCCGCGACAGGAGCAGCTTTACGAGATCGAGGTGGCCGCCTAAACACGCCCAATGCAGCGCCGTATTTCCGTAAGAATTCTTCACATCCACATATGACGGCCCTAATGATGATGAGCTGGTAGGTGTTGGCGATTTCTCCGAAGCCCCTCCCGAGGACGACGCCTCCGCGAATGATACTTCTGTGCTTGCCGTTTTTGATGCCCTCGCAGGAGAGGGGAATTGTGAGAGTATTAAAGTGACGACTTCTATGGATGCCTAGTCAGTATGGACGTACTCATAATGCTACGAGCGACGTGATGCATAGGTAAACCGGACTGCGTCCGCTCTTCTCCAACGCGATGTTCCAGTCTCGGTTTCTGGCGTGCACTCCTACTCAAAGCTGCCACTCGGGAAGAAGAATAACGAGACTACACGGCGACTTACTCGTGTGCCCGTTCGCCGCCGCCATGTGCAAGCAAGTCGCACTGCTATCGTCTCTCGCAGCCTCGATGACCTGGGTTTTTGTAACTTTCTCGCGGTTGGCAAGCTCCGCGAGCATCTCGGCGAGCTCCACGTCTTCGCCCGTCCGAGAGAGGTAGATGAGATCATCTATCTCATCCTCGGATATTTTGAATGGCATATTCCTTCTTCTTTGTTTCTCTTCAATTTCTAGAGCTTTGAACTGAAATAACCCTAGTGGATGGGCTATTCTTGTTGTCTACAGCTCTAGATCGAGTATGCCTGACTTGCGATGAACGGGCGAATTCAGCCAGGCAATAGGGGGAGGCGGTTGTACCTATATAACCGGGTATGGGACTCTGGATTGTGGATTTTGTGAGGGCCAATACTCTAGAACACTGTCATACTGCTCGTCTGGTTCGGGCACGAACGGCAGCTTGCTGATTTACACTGGTGAAAACTTTTGATTTCTACTGTGTTATTGAATTACTGAATCTTGGGTGTTGGGTGTGAATCACGTGACGCACGCAGCATAGTTATCCCCTACGCTGGTCACCGCGTCGCCAACGTTGAACGGGGAATGCGACCTGCCCGTCGCCAATACGTCCAGGCGACTCATGTGCAATTAAAACTCGGGCTCCTCGTCAATATTCTAGCCCCTATCTTAGGCTTCTACACCGAGGAAGCCGATCGAAATGGCCAAGTAGGTACCTGTGACTAGCCCTGAGCTTCCTTTGCTAGGTAACTCACCCCGCGCCAAGATGGCTTAATAGTCGGTCATCTAACCAGGCGCCCATATCTCCGGCGTCGTCTACCGCTTGGATTTCCGCCTTTAGATTTAGCACGAGCATCAACTGTATTTCGTGGGTCAAATCCATCTCCTCTGTATTTCGGTCGTCGAACTTGGCCAAGAGACAAAGTGCTTGCCGTCGATCTGAAAGCGTCAGAGCAGTAGAAAGTTGGAATGGTTTTGGTGGAAAACCCGAGACGGGGGACGAAGGGTTGGAGGCGGAATGAATTTGACCATGCTTCAAGTCGTTGCTGTTAGGACCGAGCCACGAGAGTCGCGGGACTACCACGTCATCCTCGTGGCCTAGGGATCGACTCCCCAACTTGTAGGTGAGAAGGATACCGATACCACTGGGGTCGAAGTCTACAAGCGCGTAAAAGGGAATCTGCGGAAAGTAAGAATGCAGGAGACTTAAAAATTGCCGTGTGAGCAGGTCGGGAAACCCTTTGGCCTGTGAAGAGAATAAGCCGGAGAGCGATGCAGCACCAAGAAGGAGATGCGGCCTCACCGTTACGATGACCCCTCGTCCCGCGACCGACGTGTCAAAATACTGAGATGCGGCTAATTCTCGGAATGTAGCCTGGCACGGTGGTGAGACCGGCTCCCGAGTAGGAGAGTATGATGATAGACGCGGATACCTCTTTCTCGACTATTATGATCCATTTTGCTTGAGACATGGTGATCTCACGGATGGTGCCAATGTGAGGAATTAGAATTCCCTAGCAGGATTGATTAGCACCCTACGCGACCCCGGTTGTCACAAACCTAGACCGCACATTACCGCCGTCACAGCTGCCGTCGAGGGTGGACCCGTCTGTCAGGACCAAAGAAATCCTGCCTGCGATAAGACCTTTGGAGGCGGCAACCTGGTTGAACGGTCAGCCGGCCTCGTCGATACTCAGCAAGCCGTGCGTCCGAGGGATCGCATACGACGTTAAGCGCATCCCTCCCAACACCGAACGTGAAGGCGATATCATCGATAAGGTTATCCACGTATCGCTGGCTGCCAAAGAGATCTGGGTTCTGATAGTAAATATTCCTGTCGCCATTCAGCGGCTTGTTTGCGGGTTAACGGATTGACGAGCGTCTCGACAGGCGGACGTGGGGGGTTTCCAGGGAAAGGAAAAGCCAGACCTCTTCGTGACGATGCGACCGGAGGTGAGCGCTTCGTGGCATGCATGGAGGACCTGGAGCGCGCAAGCTGAGGCGCAAGGTAAACTACGAGGACATTCAGAATAGGATGCGGGCCGCTGGCTGACTGTCAACGTACTAAATCGCTTCACCTCGGCCTCTGTATTCGCCGGGAATCGAATCGTCTTCTCGCGGCGAGTCCGGCGACTGCGCAGAGGAATGGCGAGTACCCGGTTCTCGCTGAGGGCGTCGACAATATGCTCGAGGATGTCCTCAATCCTGGATACGACGGTCCCAGTCTGGCTGCTCCGCGCGGCGCCTCCGACGGAGACTCCCATCCCCTCTGGAGGCGGCGACTCGGAGTTGGGGGATGAGACAGGCGAGTCGACCGGGCGCTCCATGGTGCCTCTCAAGATGGGTCATCGGCGGGGGGTTCATGCAGGATGAAATGCGAGACCCGCTTGCGAACGGCTGGGGATGACGCGCGGGGCTAGCTGTCCCTCTGCGTGACGTGGTATAGGATGGATGTGGGATGAGGCGCGTTGTTAGACACGCGTTGACACGCACGTGTCCTAGAGGTGTTAGGTGTGGCCCGTGGGCCGCCGTAGGCTGCCCTAGATAGCGAGGTATCCGTACGTAGGCATCGACTGTGCGGCCTTAGCGGACTAACCTCTGCCGCCAGAGCCCCCGACCCAACGCCAGACGCCCTGTAACCTGCTACCTAACTGCCAGCTGCCAGCGGGGTCGGCGTCAAGCTAGGTATCGCTGTCCAGCTTCGTGCAAGGCAGTTTAATTTTACGTTAGATCCTAGCTTATCTGCAGAAGATTTGCTCATCTCTATTAACCATATCTCGTGCCGCAATTGCGGTCCGCATGCCAGCACCGCAACGTCTACCAGTGTATGCCTCCATACCTTCGCCAAGTTGTCTGATGGTTGTAATATGCTGTAAGCGCAAGGTGAAATGCCCCCGACCCCATGTCGTTGACGGAGTCGGGGTGTTGGGTGTTTAGGACCCAGCGACCCGCCCCATTCCCTAAAGGGTGCCGCTAATGTCTACGAATAAACTCAACAACCCACCAGGCTTCCTGTCCCCCGTCTCTCTCACCTGCACCACCGACTTTCTCCTTGATTGTCCTTCCGCCATCCCCAACAGCGCCGCCTCGAAGATGGTAACGACTCGATCAGCCAATACCAAGACGGCCCATGGCACGGCACGGTCCAATGGATTCTCCCATGGCTCTGCCAACGGTGAATTGTCCCGGAAGCCGCCGGCAAAACGCGCCAGCGAGGATAGCTTCGACACTGCGGCCAAGCGCCCGAAGCTCGAGGAGACGACAGACCTGACGCGATGGCGCATGCTGGACGAGAAGGGGCGCCATACGTGGCACTACCTCGAGGACGACGAAGCGGCAGAGAGGTGGCCGCAGAGCTACGCGGACAAGTGGTATCTGGGATTGGATCTAGTGCGGCCCCTTTTTGTATCGTACCACCCGCGCTGCCTTGGCTGACCATCGCGCTCGCTGTAGGGACTCCCTACCTTGCCCACCCCTAAGAAACCGCTCGACGCCGTCGTCAATGGCTTGACATTCTTCGAAAAGCTTCAATTGCCGTCCGGTCAATGGGGCTGCGAATATGGCGGTCCCATGTTTCTACTTCCCGGCATCGTCATCACCTGGTACGCGACCAAGACGCCCATCCCCTGGTACGTCGCTACCGAGATCAAAAACTACCTCTTTGCGAGAGCGAACCCCGAGGACGGCGGGTGGGGTTTGCACACCGAGGGCGAGAGCACTGTGTTCGGGACTTCGTTGAACTACGCTGTCCTCCGGATCGTCGGCGTCGACCCGGAACACCCGGCCATGGTCAAAGCTCGGGCCACGCTGCATAAGCTCGGGGGCGTTACCCACGCGCCTCATTGGGCCAAGTTCTGGCTGAGCGTGCTCGGTGTTTGCAAGTGGGACATCGTCAACCCCATCCCCCCCGAGCTGTGGCTGCTTCCCGACTGGGTCCCCTTCGCGCCTTGGAGGTGGTGGATTCACATACGCCAGGTCTTCTTGGCCATGGGCTACATCTACGAGAAGAAATGGTCTTGCGAGGAGACCGACGTCATCCGAGCGTTGCGGCAGGAGCTGTTCGTCGAGCCGTGGGAGCAGGTGAACTGGGCCGGCCATCGCAATAGCATATGTCCCATCGATAACTACCATCCCAAGTCTTGGCTTCTCAACACGGCCAATTGGTTCCTTGTCAACGTTTGGGATCCGTATCTCCGCACCAAGGCCCTAGGCAAGAAAGCCGAGGATTGGGTCAGCAAGCTCATCGATATGGAAGACGTGAACACGGACTATGCCGATCTAGCCCCCGTCAATGCCGCGATGAACACGGTCGTGTGCTACATTCGCGACGGACCGGGCTCGTATTCGGTCCGGAGACATATCGAGAGGCTGGAGGACGCGATGTGGGTGAATAAGGAAGGCATGTTTTGCAATGGCACCAACGGCGTGCAATGCTGGGACACGTCGTTCCTAGTCCAAGTCGCGACGGATGCGGGACTAGAACGTGATGCTCGGTGGAAGCCGATGCTGACGAAAGCGTTGAAGTTCCTCGACGACCAGCAGATACGCGAGAACTGCGAGGACCAAGCTGTTTGCTATCGGCAGCAGCGCAAGGGTGCTTGGGCCTTCAGCACGAAGGATCAAGGTTATGCCGTGTGCGACTGCATCTCCGAGGCGTTGAAGTCGGTCATTCTCCTCCAAAGGACACCCGGTTACCCCCAACTCCTCGAAGATCAGCGCATATTTGACGCCATCGATACGCTTCTCACGTACCAGAACAAGTCCGGGGCTTGCTCGTCGTACGAGCCTACTCGGGGAAGCGAACTACTAGAAATGCTCAACGCGGCGGAGGTGTTCGGTAAGATCATGGTCGAGTACGACTACGTCGAGTGCACGACGGCGGTGGTCACCGCGCTCTCGCTGTTCCAGAAACATTGGCCCAGCTACCGGTCGGAGGACATCAAGGCCTTCGTCGGGCGGTCGCTGCGAGCGATCAAGGCATACCAGCGGCCGGACGGGTCATGGTACGGCAACTGGGCCATCTGTTTCACCTATGCCACCATGTTCGCCCTCGAGAGCTTGAAGAGCATCGGCGAGACGTACAGCAACAGCTCCTACTCGAAGAAAGGCTGCGACTTCTTGATTTCTAAGCAGAGGGAAGATGGCGGGTGGTCGGAGAGCTACCGGGTAAGTGCCACCTTTCTCAGGCCGTATATAGGAGCCTCTAGCAATCACGATCCCCTAACGAAGCTGCCGGCAGGCCTGCGAGAAGGTGGTCTATACCGAGCACCACACCGGCTCGCAAGTGGTAATGACGGCCTGGGCGCTGATAGCGCTGATGCACGCCGACTACCCCGATATCGAGCCCCTCAGGAGAGGAATCAAGCTCATCATGGACCGACAACAGCCCAACGGCGAATGGAAACAAGAGGCCATCGAAGGCGTGTTCAACAAGAGCTGCATGATTTCGTACCCGAACTACAAGTTCACTTTTACGATGAAGGCGCTGGGCATGTTTGCGAAGAAGTACCCGGACGAGACAGTGGTCTGACCTACGCCCAGCACGGAGGCCTCGGAACGAAGGATACGAGCTTGCGGGTTCGGCGTGTGACGGTCCCACGAAGGACAGACGAACGGGAACGGTGGACAAGATAGAAGCTATAGCACACCTAATGATAATAACAGCAACAATTAGTTTTGCCTGCTGCTGACGGAGGAGATGGATGCCGACGAGATGGGATGCCCACGTAAGGATTGATTTTCCTTGGATGTTACGTGTAACTCGTTTGTGCTTCGCGTCGGCGGCTGGTCTTCACCGCCTTCCGTTTTCAGGGGGCGCGGCAGAATGACGTGGAAACCCCCACCAGCCAAGGCGACTGAGCAGCTTCCACCACCTTCTCGACGCCCCATCACGTACCTAGCTCTCGATGTCAGTCGCCAGAGGGTGAATGTGGTCGTACCTATCTACTATCTCCAGGCCCTGTGTCAAGGAACCCTCCGCAGCTTGGGGCCATCTAACGAGCATCATCTCTCTCTCATTCTGCTTCCTCACCCACCCCTCCCTCTGTCCATAGCAACGGTCTGTAGCCTGGCATTCCCAGTCCCCAGCTGTCTCTGTGACCCCGGACACGCATGCGCACACCCTAGTCACCACACCATTTACTACGCATCCCACAACCTCAACCTCCATCTTAAAGCGTTACCCATACCTATCTGATCCAACAACAGACAATCTCTTCAGCGTACTCTACCGCGATGCCTTCTCCCACTGTCTTGGCGGACGAAGGTGTCAAGGCGGTGGCTGCCGGCAGGTATGAAGAGGGCATCGAGAAGCTGTCTGAAGCTCTGAAAGAGCGTCCCGCACCTCTCTGGCTGCTCGAGCGGTCCAAGGCCTACCTGCGAACCAACGACTTCGACCTCGCCCTATACGACGCGGAGAAGGCTCTACGCGTAGCGTTCGATCGTGCCAACCGTGACCTGATGACGGAGGCTCAGCTTCGACGAGCTATCGCCCTCTTTCGTCTCGGTCGCTACGCCGACGCCGATATCTGCGCTGCTTGGGTCACCAAGCTCGTAGACGGATCCAGAGCCACCGTGGATGACGGCCAGCAGAACAAGGTCGACGAAAATGGAGACTATACCGAGTCTGTCGCCAGCATCACTGAAGAGGTCAAGCCCGATGCCCGGGATCGGCTGGCGACGGCCATGACCGGCAACGGTGGGAGGTCCAAGGGGGTCTCGTTGAAGAACCAGGCAATCTCGTGGAGACTCCAGGCGTTGACGAAGCTAGAGCAGCTCCCTGTGGGACACGCTGGCCGCAAGGTCAACATCTCGGAAAAGTATCCCCAGCCTGCCGCGGCTCCCCCGGCCCGTAAGGCTAAGAAGGATGCAGAGCCTACGGACGGCGATGGCGCTGGCGATTCGAAGAGAGAGGAAGACGACACGTCTCGGGCATCTGGCAGCACCCGCGACGCCTGGGAGAGACTCTGGAAGCAGTATCGCGTTGTTCACGCGAAGAACAGCGTCCGAACCAGTTTCTACCAGAACGATGCGACCCTCACCATCGACTTCTTTGCTAAGAACGTCCCCGCGGATCGCTTCGCCCTGCAGGCTGACTTTGAGAACCTTACTATTGGCCCAATACCCGCCATCCACCCGGATACTATCCGCGTCCATCTCTGGGGTCGGATCAAGCCGGCCGAGACCAAGCAGACGATCAAATCGATGAAGGTAGAACTAGTCCTGCAGAAAGAGACTCTCGGGAAATGGCCGACCCTGCAGCGGGATAGTGTTGACCTCCTAGACAATATCTCCGTCGGCACTGCCTCGCAGCCGTCTTTCCCCCAGTTCTCTGCATTTATCGCCCGTACTAGGTTCGTCCTGTCGCCAACGCCGAGGGAGGTTCTGAGAATGTGAGAATGTGACGAGCGCTAACAACCCACTAGGTACAAGGCTCCCGAGGAGCTCGACCTGCCGGACTTTAGCCGAGATCAGAACCTCTGGTACGGTGCCCTACTCGACAAGCTGCAGGCTGGCCTGGGAGAGCAGTCCAGCCCATTAGCATCCGCGGGGCTGTCAGCGAGCCCGAATCCGGCAACCGAGGCCACATTAGTTGCCCCAGATCAGGAGAGGGCGACGCCGGGCAAAGACGATCATGTTCGCGCTAGTAATCCTGTGCCTCTCTCTACCCCATCCTCTGGGGGTGCCGGTCCCGCTAGTGCACCGGCCTACCCTACCTCTTCGAAGAAAGGGCCGGTGAACTGGGATAAATTCGATGCCGGCGGCGACGTCGACGAGGACGAGAGCCAGAACGACGTCAACAAGTTCTTCCAGAAGCTCTACGAAGGGGCGGACGAAGACACGAAACGAGCCATGATGAAGAGCTATGTCGAGAGCAACGGCACGTCGCTGAGCACCAGCTGGGCCGAGGCCAAGGACAAGACGTACAAGACCCAACCGCCCGACGGTGCCGAAGCTAAGAGGTGGGATGAGTGAAACGGTTTAATGGTCTACTAACCCACACCGAGATTTCTCAGGTGCGATAGTGTGTAGTCTGACTCTCGTGGCTGTTGTAATCCCTCCTCCCTAGTCAATACTTGAAAAAAGAAAAAAAAAAGGTGTTTAGGCACGGAAAGGATAACGGCGGTACGTGCGGCGTTATGATACCAAAAATGCTATACCAAACCTTCAGAAATTCGTTATAGGTGCACTCTCTATTGACTTTTCTAAGACTTGGTGAAGCGGTCGAAACGACCAGATGTCATTTCCAGGAGAGAGAGAGGGTTTCCTTCGTACGTCTACCTGTTTCGGAGGGGTTAGCGACGGACATCATACGACCCGTCCGTTGCGACCGCATACGAGGTACACGTACTTACATGATGACAGGAATAGTAGTCAACCAACAACACAACCAGGCCGGGTGCCTGTTCAGCAGCCAGCGTAGCCAACCCGGGGCGTGGGATCACCGCAGCGAGCGAGGGAATGGGACCGATGACGTCCCCAAGCATGGCAATTGGGTGGTCCGCGTCGCTATAGCCACCCACAACCACAACCATGGTTCCAGCGCCAAGCAGTAACAGGATGGAGGCGTCCGATACCACGTTTTACATGTTGTTATGTGCGTGGGTGAGAGGGTGGCCCCCCTCCCCCCCTATGCCCCCGGCACTTGTCCTCAACATACGATGTACCCGCCCCGGGGGTCGTCTCCCCGGCTGCTGCGAATCAATCCGGTCTCATTTCAGTTGCCGACGCGGTTTTATCACTTTTTGTCATCGCTTCGTCGGCCCTCCGCCTCGAGCTAGCCATCCTGGCCCCCGGCTAGCCCTCCCCGCAATTCCCCCAGCACCAGCTCTCCACATCGCGCCCAGGCCGGCGTCCTGAGCGCTCGTCGAGGGTATAGACATGTCGTCGGCAGTTCGCTCATTGGTCGAGGGGGCCCTCGCCGAGGTTAATAAGTGCTTACGAGCCCGGCGAGCTCAGATCGCGTATCAGGCGATGTGTCGAGGAGCCGCGCTCCAGGTAGTATGATTGACCTGACCTCGCTGTGGCTAGCCTCAAGGGGCTCATATATCTGAATTTTCCCAAGAGATCTGAACTACCGTGACAATGTCGTCTGTAGAGAAGGGCCCGAGTGAGTCCGGCTCAGGCTTTTAAACGTATCCGAGGCGTCCTTGCCAGCCTTCTTTCTCTCCTTTCTCGCCATCCTCTGATTTTGTTCGCATCTGTATTTGAATCGCACCGGGCTCCTTCAACAGGAGTCGTGTGTGTGTGTGTGTGACTGCCCGCAGGGGAGCCTCAGCAAGTCATCCTGCGGAGGACCTACTCGCGATTTGATCTCGCAGATAGCCCCCCAGCCCGTAGCTCAACCCGCCTCTTAATAGTCAGTTGGTCTCCCTGGACGACTTGTCACCATGGCTGCCGAAGAGACCGCGGCCATCTCTCCCACCCGGGTGCTCTTGCTCACCGCAGGGGGTCTCCTTCGGGAGCACTGGATGTATCTCATCCCGCTCTTCGTCGTCATCCGCCTGCTGTATAAGCGCTACGCATCGCCACTGCGCTCGTACCCGGGCCCGTTCCTGGCCTCGTGCACGCGTCTCTGGAAAGTCATCTCGACGGCCTCGGAGAATACGCACCTGCACCACATCGAGCTGCACCGCAAGTACGGACCAGTAGTGCGCATCGCGCCGAACGAGCTGTCCTTCTCGTCGCCGACGGTGGCGCGCAACGTGCTGTCGGCGGGCAAGCGGTTCTACAAGACGGACTTCTACGCCGTCTTCCCGCCGCCGGAGAACCCGGACATCTTCACCGAGACCCGCGAGGAAGTGCACGCGATGAAGAAGAAGGTGGCCAACGTCCCGTACTCGATGGCGGCGATGCGGCAGCTTAGCCCCTTCATCGACGACACGATCGACTTCCTGGTGAGCCGGCTCGACCAGTTCTGTCCCGACTCGGAGTCGGCGGTGCCGGGGTTCCAGGCGGCGGCTATAGCGCCGGACGGGAAGCGGCCAATCGTGAACCTGGGAGACTGGCTGCACTGGTTCGCGTTCGACGTGCTGGGCGAGGTGGCGTTCGGGCGGTCGTTCGGGTTCATGGCGGCCGGTCTGGACAAGGAGGACGCGATCAAGACCATCGACCAGAGCCAGAAATACAACGGCATCGTCGGGCAGATCCCCGAGGTCGACCACCTGCTACGCCGCAATCCGCTATGGAAACTGATCCCGGCCTTCGACCCCAGCAACGCGCTCGTCACCCGCATCGCCCTCGAGGAGATGGGCAAACGCCGCCCCTTCGAGGTCGAGCGTGACGGCAAGGGCGCCGGCGGCGACGGCCGCGAGGACCTCCTCTCGTCGCTGATCCGGGGCCACCTCAAGGACAAGGAGAAGTTCCACGAAGGCGATATCTTTGCTGTAGCTCACGGTGCCATGTAAGCTTCTCTTGTCCTGTTTTCTATCCTTACCTGTTATGGGAAGCAAGGGAGCTAACGCGCAACCAACGCAGCTTTGCTGGATCGGACTCGACAGCATCGACGATGCAGTCGTTCTTCTGGCAGGTGCTGGCGATACCACGGGTGTACAAAAAGCTGGTGGCGGAGATCGAGGCGGCGGTGACGGACGGGACGATCCCGGCGCAGGGAAACCCGCAGTGGACGGACACGCAGAACCTGCCCTACTTCCAGGCCTGCCTCAAAGAGAGCATGCGGGTGCGGCCCGCAGTCGGCCTCAACATAACGCGCTTGGTGCCTCCCGAGGGCGTCGAGATCGAGGGCCGCCACCTCCCCGGCGGCACCCGCCTCGCGCTCAACGGCTGGGTCCTGCACCGCGACCGCGAGATCTTCGGCCAGGACGCCGACTTCTTCCGGCCCGAGCGGTGGCTCGAGGACCCCGAGGACGCCCGCATCATGGAGCGGTACATGGTCCAGGTACGTAGCCTTTCCCCGTTTTCTCTCTCTCTCTCTCTCTCTCTTGGATCCCACGAACTAACGCGGCGGGCACAACAACAGTTCGGCGGTGGCGCCCACGTTTGCATCGGGCGCAACCTGGCGCTGCTGGAGATCAACAAGGTGATCCCGCGGCTGCTGCGCGACTTCAAATTCGAGCTGGTGTACCCGAAGCGCGAGCTCAAGGCCAAGGCGACCTTCTTCGTCGTCCAGGAGGGCCTCGAGGTGTACATTTCGCGGCGCGTCATCGGCAGCGCTTCTAGTGAGAAGCGGAACGCTGCCGCCGCCGTATAGGGCTGCGGTAGGCAGCGCGGCGCGGAGAAGGCGCAGGGGGGGGAGGTAATGGACGCCCGCGCGCGGGCAAATCCCTATATGAACACACACACACAAACACACACACAGATACACACATACACATACGCTCTCAAGACAACTATTCCAAAGACAAAAAAAAGAGGAAGTAGATGAGAGAATAGAAGAACCATCTCTCGGGGCTGGCGGCGTTTACGTGCTGTGGTTGTAAAGGTGGGCTCGGGCATTTTTATGTTTCCTTTCTCTCTCTTCTCGATCGACCGATTTCAGCTTTCGGCCTCGCTCCGCTTTCCCGTCGACGAAAAAGAAAAAAAGGCACTTGATCTGTTTTCGGTAGCACGGGAAGGACTTGCGTCGCCGCATACGCAACGGCGCCGTATGTATGGCTTGCTGCCCGGTGTTTTTTTTTTTGGCCCGGGTTTGTCTTTTTTCCTTTCCTCCGTCTCCGGGTTTTCGGCGGGCGTCGCTCCGCGCGGGCGGTTTTTGTACGTGTATCTATTCACCTTTCAGGGCGGAGAAGGGCGGGAGGAGAACGAGAGAAACAGGGACGGAGACAACAGAGAAAGAGAGCAATAGCGAAAAGGGAGGGGGAGTAGAAGCCGAGGTTGGGAGATTGCTTACTATACTGTACTTCATACGTATGATTAGTCAGATGAGTTAATGCGAATGACGATGAACTGGCCTGGTGTATTGCTTGGGTTCGATTGTGAGATATAATGCGATCGAAGCTCCCGAGCGGTTTCTTTCTGAGGTCGTCACGAAGTGGCGTTGGGGTAGTGAGAGTCAACACTGGTCGGTTCAGAGACACAGAGACGACACACGGCCAACCAAGATAACTCGGAAGTTTACGAGCAACATTAGACAATTTTGCTGTGGAAGTGCTTCAATAATTAAAAGTATCACTTGATTATGAACATTTGGAGGTAGTGGTAAGAAATGCCCTTCGCATCTCTGCTCGCGATGCCCTGGTCTGAGGGATTCTTCGGCGTCGAGTTTTGTCGACATGACCTAGTTCGTATTCAAGTTATTATTTTCTATCCCCTCTTCGTATAAAATTTCCCTCCACTACTTCCCCTCTATTCTCTGTAGTCTGTTCTCTGTGACACCCTGCCTGTCGCCCTCGAATGCTCACCAAGTCCGCGAGTCGATCGTCTAAGTCCCTGCCCCTATTTCCACCACCCCTGATTACGTAACACAACCTGCCGACGACAGAAACGACTTTCGCGGGAACTTGACAGCTAAGTCTCTCGGAATTACCCACTCTGGGAAATCGAGCCTCTACCTCGTCGGAGTTACTAACTCAGGAGGTGGCCCTGGGCGTGTTGCCGCATGTCCACCAGGGGCCGCTTCCACCCCCCTTTCCCCCCCTGGAACGCACCGAAGGTCGGAGGCGGGAAGTCGGTCTGAAGTCGAATTAGTAAAGCGCATGGTGAAGAGCCTCTTGCGATTTATAAGCCCCTTCGAGCATGCCCAACGCGCGGCCCGGCTGTAACGTGGCGCGCTGCGGTGCGACGTCGTGGCGAGGGCGCCTCGATGCCGGGTGATTTGCTGCGACTGCCGGAGCGGCCGTGTGGACGAAAGGCCCTTCTCTCTGGAAATAGCACAGGCACGCCGGGCGGTGGGTGGGTGGGCGCGCGTCCCGGGATGCCTGGCTGCGTGGGAGCGCGGGCGAGCGCTGGTTGGCGGCCGGGGGGGGGGGGGGGGGACAGCGCGGGACAGCGCCCGGCCAAGGCGACGGCCGCCTTTTGCCGATTTTACCCAACTCGTCGACGCGCCCTCGGGTACGTCTCGCCGACAGGGATTTAGATTGCTCGCAGCGACGTGACGCAGCCTCAGGATAAATTAATCCACGCCAGCCAGGGGTGGGTGGTGGGAGTGGGAGCGAGAGAGAGGGGGGGGGGAAACGGCGGCGCAGACAACTTCGAGACGCGGCTGGCTGAGCGCAACTTGCGTTGGCGAAAGCCGCATGCGCTGCCTATTGGCTGCGATACCCGGGCCGCGGGATTCCAGAACCTCGCTTGACATGTTTCAGTCGTCTGCTCCCGCGCGCATCGCGATCGGATGATGGCTCAGGGGGGCCCACGATGCGACAAAGGCGCCGCTCGTCGGCGTGTGATGGACAGGCGGGCGGGCGCGGCACGGGCGGGTCGACGCCGACGCCTCCTCTTCGTCACACCCTGGCCCTCTGCACCTGGCGATTCACGGCTCGACCGGTGGGCTCGTACCTTGCCCCTCTATATCGCCCTCGTATGATATTGCTGCGTCTTCCGTCGACGGCGCCTGGGCGGGGTATGTAGCACCAGCGGCGTAGCCGGTGTGATCGTCTTGCCGTATCGACCGGTCTCTTGCATGATAACTCGAGCGAGGTTGGCGTCCCGATTGGCGTCGTTAGGCTTCTGCTGGCTGTTTTCCGACGACCCGAGTGCGCGCGCCAGGTTGGGAGCGCCTGGCGTCCGGGACCGACTGCGATGCCGCGATGCAATGTTGCTGGGGCAGTCTCACAATCTGCCATTCGCGCCGAATACGGCCCACGGCGCCACTCGAGCGACCCCAGCATTGACAACAAGACGGCAAAGTGTTGCGCAGCCGCTCATCGAGAGCGACTGCATTACGCCACCTCTCTCGCTCCTGGGGCCTCAACCCATGCGTGCTCGCTCTCGCGTGGAGGAGGCGTCATTTCGCTCGAGAAGACGACGAGGGGCTCGTCGACCGGGTTCGACGGCGGCTAGTGCCGGCAAGCGAAAGTGCGGAGGCTCTCTAAAAAGCCGGCACAAGTCCGAAGCAGGGTGGTTCAGGAGGCTGTCGGCGGGTCTCCGGAGCTGGTCTGCTGGAGGGTGGATTAGAGTGAGATGGGTCATCAACGGGAGCATGGAGCTGATGCTTGTATGTATACCCATACGTCTCACGACTTGAACTACCGTCCCCGGCCAAGAATCTGCCTTCTGGGCCGAGGTCTGACGCATTCTTCACGCTTCCCGGCGAGCGAAGCAGTGCCAGTGGGGCGTGTTCGACGCGGCCCATGTCGCCCCTGGCGAGGAGGGGGTCTTATTCTCCTCCCCATCCAGGCAGCGGAATAACCCGCGGTGCGGTCCTGTCGCCTCTTACGGCTGCTTAGCCGTTCATGATGCCCATGTCCATCTTCCCGATTGGTACCCAGAGGGGCTTTCTATTGGCCATCCCGATCAATATCGATCCACGTAAACATTACGATATTACCGGGCGTTTATCTATCGCCGAGTCCACCTAGGCGAAAAGCGAATCCGCGATGAGGGAGGAGGCAGGTATATGGATTTACGATCGCTGACTCACGAGACATGATCTGCTCCGGTGGATACTATATACGAGCTCCCTCGACTTGGGATGTCCACGTCGCATTCCTGAATCAAACACGACGCGCTTCAGGTCAGATCTTGCAAGCGGTGATGATCGGAGCCGTGCCGGTATTAGTATTGTCAAGGTACTTGGTTATTTAGACGAGGATTCGATTCCAAGGGGCGTATTCCAGCCGTGGAGAGCGGTGAGCGAGCAAGCACGGCTCGGTTGCATGCAATTGACCGGGCTCTCGCGACAACCCGTCCGCCAGCGACGATGGGATCCCAGCGTCGCCGTCTATCCAGCTAGATTGCTCGTTTCGATGCCGGCCATTCCTCGGCCACACCAAGGCAGACACCCATTGCGGCCCTTCGTTCAGTCCGATTCCAGGTCTACTATAATCAGGTTCAAGCGGTCAGGCAGGCGGCTCGGGACTATCTGGTTACCAAATTCGGCCAGACGGATGAGGAGGGAGAGTCTTCGTAAATCTCCGGTAATCTAGTTGGAACTCCGGGCTCTGATTGAAAGGGCGTTTCCTGCAGTTTTTGAATAACCAATTCTACATATAGGCTCTTCGCTGTGTTTCTGGGTGGGACAAGACTCGAATGTTCCGGAACTCCGGGTATAATAATTCGCAATAATATTAGATGAGATGACCCATCGAACTACAATTACAAATTTGACCTTTCACGACCGGTTTCTGTTCAGCCTAGGGGAGCTACGGTCGTTGATAATGTGAAGATGTTGGTAATAAGGTGGTAATTGAAAAAAGAAAAGAAAAGGGGAGAGGGAGGGGGGTCTCGCGGCTATGGTTGCTATGTTTCTAATAGGAATCTTGTAAAGTGTTCTAGGCTACGTTCAACAACAGACACACCATGGATTCCGAGATACACTCAGATCCTTCCTTACAACCGCATACGGCGAGGCCTATCACCATTCCTCACATCCGTGAGACACTCGGTCAGTCGCCGGCATATTAGCGGCTAGTATACAATATCCATATGTTGCTGCTCCGCGTAATCTGTAGCATCGGAGACGGAAGCCAGAACTACTTGCTACAAGCAAGGCAGTAATTAGCTTCTGATATTCGACAGCTCACGGACTCCTTCGTCCGACCCGTCCCACGGCCACAGTACCTTTCCGCAGAGGTCGGGACAGGACTATTATTAGATGAGGCTTAACTTCTAGGGCTTATCCGACGCTACGGACGCAAGTCCTAGATCCTCTCGGAGTAGCTAAGAGAGCGGGCTGGGTTAGCATGGTGCTTGGCCAATATCGCCTAGCCGGATGTGTCTCCGGGGTTTCCAAAGTTGATATTGTCAGATTGCAATAAGCCAGCCAGGCCGCATATTCACCAATGGTGGCCTCTGAGACAGGGCGCCTAACCCCAAAGCCATCGGAAGGGAGTTTGGAGTTATTCGACGCGGGGAAATCCCGCAGGTCTCTCTGCCCGGGAGTCTCCCCGGCGGCAAATCGGGGATGTCGATGCGAAAGTCAGCCAGCCCTTTATCGCCCCCGGTGCGTCTGCGGTTCTGCCATTGAGGCAGCATCCGTGATATGCTGCTGCAGTTGAGTGCAGAAGAGGGCCGTTTGTTCGGGCCGTGGAAGCCGCGTCGTGCAACCCATCCTGCAACGAGGCGAAGACATCAATTGACGGACTCGGGAGATAATACACGGTAGGCGTTCCGAGAAGCCACCAGCACCGACGTGGCAGGAGGGTCAAGATCGAGATAAGAATGAACTATCAGACGAATCTCGGAGAAGCTAATATACTAGAAACAGCCTGCGGCCGACGGTGTGACGAGAGATGTGGCCGGCATACACGCCTTGCATGCATCTTGTCCCGGCTGTTCCGCTGCGCCCAAGTTCATCTGCAATGAGCGCCACGGCGTCGACGAACGGCATGGGGGCCAATATAAAGCCGAGGTCACGATGCCGAGGGAGATTAAACTCGCCGTATTGGCGAGCACCCGCAGCTGAAACATGCCCGGGGGCGCTTTGCGCAATCACTTCGGTGGCGCTCAGTTTTTAGGACCTGGTGATGGAGCCTAGACCGTGGAAGCTCAAGAACAATCCGGAGTATCCGACTGGCGCTCGAAACTCACGTTGGTGTGGCAAGGAGCACGTTCTCCGTCCTAGCCAAGTTCTTCTCTTGTTCTCTTTTTCTCTCGTCATCTGTGTCTTCCTACGTGTAGAGCCAGTGCCATTGCTAGCATTATATCCTCCACGCCGGTGGGATTCCATACGGGGCAGTCGAGCGCAAGCGCTGGATTCTGGGCAAGGGGGGTGCCAGAGTTTCCTGCACCAAATGATGAAGGCGGCGACAGGAAGGACGTCGCTCGGTACGAATTTACGTACATTCGGGCAGTGAGAAGAGAGGAATATAAAGTGACAAGAAAGGTAGCAATAAAGATAGGCAAGTAGTGAGCAGGTTGTTGGTAATAGCTCGTTGCGCTTAAGGGGGGCGTGGTAGGTAGGTATAACCACGGTTGTAACATGAAGGGCAGTTGTGTAGCCTTAGACTCGTTCGGAGTAATAGGGAGCTGTCGACTTAATCCCAAATAACGCCGCACTGCAAGCCAACAATATCTTTATGAGCACACTAATTAAATAGCCAATTGCCTGTGTATGACTCCGTCAACTATTATAATACCTATTGTTGCTCTTGTTGCTCCTTATTCACTGGAATATCGTCTAGTTGGCGTTCGGATCCTAATGTGGAGCCGACACCTAGTATGGCCCAAGATCGTCCGGACAGAGTAAAGCGACATATGGTAGAGACGACGTGAGCAATTTATGGGTATCATTGATGGTGCCGTCATCGCCTTTTGGTCAGCATCTGGAGTTATGGCATAATGGACAAAGCTTCTTATGTGATAACTCGGAAAACGCAGAGTTGACCGGGGCGCTGGGAGGCTCGAGTACTGAAAAGGGGGCCTTAATATCCCTTGGCTGGCAACAACCGTTACCTGTGGCCGACCAAGCTTGTGACCTCTTTACAAAGTATAGGATGCACCCTGCTGTATTCATCGATCCGATATAGTGGCGTTTCTCGCTGCCTGGCGAGCACGCATTGGTGATGTTGTTTCCGTGATAGTTCCTTTCCATGACTCCAGGAGATACGCTGCTGGTGCGCATGCTAACCCGTATATAGCCTTCCATATTCCGTCAACCACAATTGAGCGGCTGGGCCCATCATATATAGATCGTTGATCAGCTTCTGCTGCCCGTCGAGAAGGCATCCCAAGTCCAATCTTCGCGTGAAGCGGTTATTGGCCTCATCCTAGCTTCCACGACCGACAGTGAGCATCAATATGTTGTTGCCTTAGTGGGGTTAACACACGTACCCGCGGGCGATTTCCCGTCCAGTTTTCGACCTCAAGCAGCCTGAAGTGACTAATATTGTGTATGGATAAGATTCTGACTGGATAGTGAGAGTGAATGGGGGCTATTCGCTCCACCATGTCGTCCTTCATCTGTCACTGTCGACAGAGGGCCTCAAATCGGGGGGATTCGCCCTGCCCAGTGTTATTATTGTGTCTCTTGTTGAGATGAAGGAGTAGACCCAGTCAGTCGCTATTGTCTACAGCGGCGTTGTCTGTCCTGATTTGGGCAGCGTATAAAATAACCAACGTCAACAGACTCTGGATCCGGAAAGCACCCTTTAATAATTCTGCACATCTTGCAACGTCCACCAACCTCGCCTCTGGGCTCATCTTTGCAGAAGCTTCTCTATCGCTATGGGAGACCGTACGCGGGCTGCTGCCATATCTCTGGTAGCCGTCTGGGCAGCTTTACTGACATGTATGAACATCGCTGCCGCCGCCGCTGTCAGCGGCGTGGCGAGTGATTCCCCGACGTCATGCTCGCCCAAAACCGTTACTGAGACCGCCTATCTCTCTTCGTCTGTCCTGCCCAGTAGCGTGCCCAGCGGCAACGCTGCGAATGGTAATGGAACAAGCGGCAATGGAACGAGCGGCGGTGGAACGAGCGGCAACTGTAGGACTATCCAAGTGAAGTCCGGGAGCTCGTGCGACTCGCTTACTTCCGATTGCGGTATCTCAGCCGCGGACTTCTTGACGTACAACCCTGACTCGAAGCTGTGCTCGACTCTGATGCCCGGCCAGTATGTCTGCTGCAGTCCCGGAAGTCTTCCCGACCTTACGCCAAAGCCTGATGCGGACGGCTACTGCCACACCTACACGATAATGGCAAACGATTCCTGCTCGGCTATTGCTAGTGCTAACAGCCTCGCTAGCGATGACATCGAGAAGTTCAACGCGAAGACGTGGGGATGGAGCGGCTGCGACAGGCTCTATGCCGACACTATCATATGCGTTAGCGACGGACACCCTCCGATGCCCGCTATCCTACCTAACGCGGTCTGCGGGCCGCAGGTGAACGGTACGACGAAGGTGCCGCCGGAAACTGACCTCGCCACTTTGAATCCCTGCCCCCTGAAGGCGTGTTGCGACACCTGGGGCCAGTGCGGAGTGACAGCCGAGTTTTGCACTCCGTCCAATTCGAGTACCGGGGCCCCTGGGACGGTCGTTCCCAACGAAAATGGGTGTATATCGAATTGCGGAACGCAAATCGTCAGTTCGGATCCCCCTTGTGAGACGTATAGCATCGCCTACTACGAGGCCTTTGGCAAGACACGTCCCTGCTTGCACATGCCGGTCACGAGCATCAACGCCTCGACCTACACCCACATCCACTTCTCCTTCATCACCTTGAATGGCGACTTCTCCGTCAACATCGGCGACTTCGGAGACCAGCTGTCGGCCTTCAAGAACATGACCGGGGTCAAGAAGGTCGTATCCATCGGCGGCTGGGACTTCTCCACGAACCCGAGCACCTACAAGATATTCCGCGACGCCACGAACACGCAGTCAGCCCGCCAGACGCTGATCACGAACGTCGTCAAATTCCTCGACGACTACGGCCTCGACGGCATCGACTGGGACTGGGAGTATCCGGGCGAGCCCGACATCCCCGGCATCCCGGCCGGCAACGCGACGGAAGGCGGCGACCTGCTCTCGCTCCTGAAGGAGCTCCGGCAGAAGATGCCCAAGGAGAAGACCATCTCCATCGCCCTCCCGGCCACGTTCTGGTACCTCAAGAACTTCCCCCTCGTGGAGCTAGGCCGCGTCGTCGACTACGTCGTGTACATGACGTACGACCTGCACACGCAGGGAGACTACGGGGACAAGTGGGCGTCGCCCGGGTGCCCGTCGTTCGAGCAGGGGCTGGGCAACTGCCTGCGGTCGCACGTGAACCTGACGGAGACGAAGACGGCGCTCTCGCTCATCACGAAGGCGGGCGTGCCGTCGAACAAGGTCGTCGTCGGCGTCAGCAGCTACGGCCGGTCCTTCGTCATGACCGCGGCGGACTGCTGGACCGAGCAGTGCACCTTCGCGGGGCCCGACGCCGGCGGCTACGCTGGGCCTTGCACCAACACCCCCGGCTACCTCTCCGACTACGAGATCGGCCAGATCGTCGACGGCAACCCCAGCGCCCACAAGTACTGGGACGAGAGCTCCCACTCCGACATCGTCGTCTTCAACGACACGCAGTGGGTCGCCTATATGGACGCGAAGACGAAGTCAGACCGGAGGGACATGTATCTGGGCCTCGGTTTCCGCGGCACTGCCGACTGGGCGGTTGACCTGCAGTCTGAATAAGTAGACGACGGAGTCGGCGAGCTTCTAGGGTTGATAGGATTTATCACGCGTGTGCTGATCGGCCAGGACGCCGTTCCAGCTCTTGCTGTCGCCACGTAAGCGTAGTGACTAGGTAGTGATTTAGATACTCTCCAAATCCTCGACGTCTTCTATCGCGTAAAACGTAGACGCCTACATTTACGCTGTGCGGTATGTAGGCATATAAGGGCTGGTCCACCTGCTCCGTGACATCTTCGTAATCGTGATAATATTTTAAGGCCCCGTGAGCTGCTCTAAGAAGAGAGTCCGGGGAGCGGTCTTCCCACGTGCTCGTTCTGTTTATATGTTTACCCGACTCGAGAAGCAGCCGCGCTAGCTTGACGTTGCTGAGCTTCACCGCGCGGACGAGCGGCGGTGTGTACTCCTCTGACCCCGATAGGTAGCAACCGTTATCGAGAGGATGCCGTGGGTGCGACCTGTCGGATTTTTTCAAATCGCAGCGGACGCCCTTTTCTAGTAGGACGCGGGCGAGAGCGACGTCCTCTCGACCTACGGCGCAGCCTAGAGCTTCGGTCTATTGTCGGGGCGCCCTTGGTGAGGACCATTCTCGCCAACCCAAGGTTCCCTTGCTCAGCGGCCCATCGTAGCGGGGTTGTCTGCTTGCTGGCGGCGAAGACTTATATGTCGAGTTCCATACCGACTCCAGCAGTCGCACAGCAGCGTGACCGTATGCAGCCTTCAGTGCCGCCTCAAGCACGTCGTGCCTTCGGGTCTGATTGGGAAGATTGTGGGTGTCGAAATCAGAAGTAGTCCCTAACGCAACACGCCCTAGCCGATCTATTACTTCTCCAGCCGAGATCGGTTGCTTCACAGGCCCGACTGGATTGCAAAAATAGAACTCGGGAAGCCTCGTCCCATACAAGCTCCCAATCGCCTTCTTTTACAGTAGCTGGTTGGTGGGTTCCCAAGGGCGGTAGGCTATTGGGTTGAGTCTTACTCTCGGGCTCTCGTGGGACTGGGTGGCTCTATACGAATCTCGAGAATTGTTGCCGTATACTTAGTCCTTGATTAGCTAATAGTCGACTCCATATTGCCTACTCAGTAAAGTAACCGGCGATATGATCGGACTTAAACATGAGCTCGTACTTCCTTAGGAGAAGCCGTTGGGCGTTCGGATTCTCGACGTGCGAGACGTTTGGATAGCTTGGGTGGACGAAGTACGGTTTGTCACCATCCAATGTCATGTTTTCTACGTGCGTGTATTTGAAGTTGATGCGAATCTTTCCGGTGACGTTTTCGACACCTAGCCGTTGCGAGTCCGGCACCGTCTTACCAGCAAATGGGTTCAGTCGCACCGCGCCCGGCAACACGTCCTGAGTTCCTACAAGCATTCAGGACCCCTCATGTAGAGATGGACGGTCAAGTTTGAGGCCAGAAAAACATGGAACTCACATGCAGCGCCATACTCGGCCTTCCATTTAGGGCTTTCCGAGGTTCCCAGGATAGAGCCAATAGCCACTTGAGATTTTTCGTCGTCCAATAGTACGTAGGGCAAATGGACGAAGCGGTGATACGACAGGCGCTCATCCGTACGTAGGTTGCGTTCACGGCCGTCGAACAGCTTCCGGTGTCGATCCGCAGCGGGTAGTCTAACGGCTTCGTGCAGTGTTACCGCCAAGATGACAGGCGGACCAGGTGGAGCAGCCAGCAAAGTGGGCGTAGTAGCCGACGGGCTATCCGCCGCAGGATCGAGACGCGCTTCAGGTACTACAGCTACGGGGTATCAGCTGCGCGCCGGGTCGGGATTGTGGAGCGACAAGTCCTGGAGCTGCACATCCTTCTCGGTCAATATCAAATCCATCCTAAAGTTAGATCAGGTTAGACAAAGGGGGATGGAAGGCTAAGGTGGTTACATCCCAGGAGGGGGAGTCGTAAACACGACGCGTCGCGATAATCCTTTCCCACGTGATAGCTCATCCGAAACAGAAGGCACCTCGTGTTTACGGCTACGCGGTTACGTTAAAAAAAAACCTGTTAACTATCACGAAAGATGGCTTTAATTCCTGTAGGGAACAAAAAGGAGATCGGAACAGCGAGTGTTAGGTACTGGTGGTTGGCGTAGTAGGGAGTTGGAAAGGAGGAAATAAGCGAAGACTCGCTGGGCTCGAGAGCCCCGTATGAACACATTGCTTACGTAATCGGTTGCTCCCCTGAGGGGTCGGTCACCGGCAAAATCCAGGGGAGTTCAACTCCCAGTTCTCATCCCTTACTGCTGATTGCGTGCTGACAATGCCCTCTGCGAGGTAGACACGGGATTGCTAACATTCTCAACGTAAACAGAGGCTATGCCATAGAATGAAGTAACTATAGGTATAGACGTCTGAAGGGGGAGAGGTGGTTCGCATAACGTCATGGGCATTAGGAATCTATGGTACGAACACGGACTTAGGAGTTCGACAACATACCTACCTTCTCAATGCAGTACGTCGAACCCCTTATCGCAATGTAACTCGCAGTCACACTGATATTAACCCAGTTCATATTGACAGCTACATGTAAGTCTACTAGGCGTGCATGCGCCGCATTCCCTTATTCTTACCGCTTGTCTTTAAAGTGACACGCAATGCCGCCGGGAGAGCCACAACCCTTCAAGTCGCAACGGAAAACTCAGAGACGACGTGCATTGCTATCCTAGGCCTGTCTGTTCGTCCGAACAATCTACAAGTGCAACAGATCAGAACTGCAACCACCGGAAGAGAATCCTAGCGCTCTAGCGCGCTCTCAGCATCCTCCCTCCGCTATCACGCGTCCCCAGGTATCATCAAGCCCTTCTTGCCCTACTCCTCTCCTCTCTCTCCTCTCTCTCCTCTCTCTCCTCTCTCTCCTCTCTCTCCTCTCTCTCCTCTCTCTCCTCTCTCTCCTCTCTCTCCTCTCTCTCCTCTCGCTCCTCTCGCTCCTCTCGCTCCTCTCCCATCTCCCCCTCCTCCCCTCTCCTCCTCTCCTCCTCTCCTCCTCTCTTCCTCCTCCTCTCCTCTCCCTCCATCTCCCCCATCTCCCCCTCCTCCCCTAATCTTCCCCTCACATCTCCCCCTCCTCCCCGGCCCCCTTCTCCTCGAGGCAAAACGACTCCGCCGACCAGCCGTACGCGCGCGCGAGGCGGCGGCCGAACTGGCGCGCGAGCAGCGGCGGGATCTTGGAGCCGGGGTGGGGCTCGTGGAGCTGGATGCCGCGGGCGTAGGCCGGGCCGCCGGCCCGCGCCAGCGCCGCCCCCGGCGTGAACTGCCACGCCGACCCGCCGACCGGCTCGCGCCGGAACCCCGCGCGCCCCAGCGCGTGCTGCAGGTCCGCCCACGGCACCGGCCCCGCCGCCGGCGAGAATAGAGCCGTGAGCGTGCGCTGCGTCCGCCGGTCCACTGCCAGCACGAAGGGCTGCGGCGAGGCGGGTGGCGGGCTGGCGGGTGCGGCGGCGCTGGCGGCGCCGGTGTTGGGCGCTGAGGCTGGGGCCGCGGGCCGCGTCTTGGGCTTCGCCTTCGTCTGCGCCCGCACCGGCGCGCGGTGCGGCTCCGCCTGGTGGCCCAGGTTCATCTGCCCGAAGGGCTGGGCGCCGTCCGGGTCGCTGGCCGACGGCTTGTTGTTCTCCTCGGGCGCGCCGGGCTCGTCGGCCGGCATCGGGGTCCGCTCGGCGCGCCCGTTGTCGATGATCCGCTGGATGCGCGCCCAGCCTCCCCGTCCAGATCGGCTGACCTCGTCGAGCTCGGCTTTCAGGTGGCCCCACATGGTGTCCAGGTGGCGCTCCGCGGTGGCGATGGCCTTGAGGTTCGCCGGGGTCGGCGGCTTGTCGACGGGGCAGCCCCCCTTCATCAGCGCGTAGATCGCCCTGGAGATCGGGCCCTTCGTCCGCGTGCGGACTGTGAAGATGTTCGTGTACTCTAGCAGGGTCTGGACTTCGGTGTCGAGCCCGAAGTGCGCACTCTTCCACTTGTTCTGGTCGACGTCGAGCGACGACATCCACGGCTGGAAGGACTCGATTTGCCGCATGGTCTCCGTCATGATGCACAAGTTAGGCATTATACCGGCGACGCGGCTCGAGATGAGCTTTCGCGTCACTCGGTCTCGGCAGAGGCGCTGAAGCTCCTGGGTCAAAACATACGGCCCCATGCTCCCATCTGCGGTGCACTCTACAGCCTGAACCAGTTGCATAACTTCAAGCTCGGCGGGGTTTGGCTTCGTTGCCTCGTTTGTGCGAATGTAGCCCGGGTGGTCGGGTTCATTTGACGGTTTCCATACGTAGAGATGCCGTAGTTGAGCTGAAGACTGAATCATGAAACGGATTCTATAGAGAATCGATACGACCAGAGCATTCAGGGTAAAGCCCAATTCCTGGAAGGCGTTTGATAATTCCACGGGAAGGTCGTCCTCGGGTCGCAACCGGGCATTAGTCTTGTCAAAGAGCCGCTCTTTGGCCTCTAAGAGGGTGTTGGCTTTCCTGCACAATATCTCCCATACCTTAATCATGTTTATCCGTTGGTTGAGAGCCTCGTGAGCGCAGTAGATCCGCGTGATGTATCGCCTTCCGGCGGTCTCCATGTTCGCCTGGGGTTTGCCGTTGGCACGAGCGATAGAACAGGCTGAAGTGTTGAGCCACCCATACGCCTCGTCGAGGAAGCTGGCCGGATCTTCGCGGAGCAACCACAGCCTGTCTTCCGCCTCGGCAAGTCTGGACTCGAAGAGGTCGACGAGCCGCTTCACGTCCATGCTGGCGGGCACATGGTAGTCGCACCTGTAACTTGACGACAGGAGGCATTCTTCCGGAGCGTCTTCGTTAAATTCCGTCTCGGGCAGCGGCGGTTCGGGCTCGATTGGAAGGTTGTGTAGCTCGTCCATGCCCAGAGAATAGTCGTGGAGGATGATTCTGCATATGTCGCACAGAAACTGGTAGATCCGTTCCTGGGAGTCGAGGATCCAGATTCCCTCCCCAGGAGTGAAATCTCGGCCCCGCTGAAGTCGTTGGTAGGCATCCTCATCCTCATCCCACGAAACCAACCTCCCATACGTCTCCACGCTATCTCTTCCCGTAAACCTCATGCTCCATCTGTCCAGATACTTGGGGCCCGGGAATATCTGAGCGTCGGCGGCAAACATGGCGGGTTCGACATCCGTATGCGCGAAGGTCGAAGGGGGGTACCTCGCTCTGGCATTCAGGAAGAGGAGGAGGGGCTCGGTCTTGGTTAGGTCCTCGATGTTGATTTGGGGCCATATGAGGGCCTGGTAGATCGATGCACCTGCCTTCTCGTTATCAGATTTTGTGCTATCCCAGCCCTTGAACCGATTCATCACCAGTGCCATGTTCGGCTTACGCTGGGCATTCATGGCACTCCGTGGGCCCCAGGCTGACTGCAAGATTTCGCTTCTCTTCACCTTGGACTTCTTGATCCATCTCTTTTGGATTAGTGCCTCGTGACGGTGGATGATGGCTTGCAGATGCTTGAAGTTCATCCAGATATTAGCGATCTGGGGTTCCGATAGCTCCCGTGCCTGTTCCACGGTGATATCTTCGTAGATGACCTCGGATTGGTTATGCATTCGGTCGAAATAGCCATGAGTGTACTCTTTGGCGGTGGGCAGTGTCTCTTTATTGTCAGCACTGAGCTCTGGCTTAGGCGTTTGTCCTGGGTCTTGTCCAGGCTCCGGAGATTTCTCTGGCTCCGGCTTGCACTTTAGTCCATGATCGGCGTAAGCTTGAGTCATGGTGTCGGTTGTTTTTGGTGTCTTGGTGTCCGTTTCTGTGCTCGATGGGATAATATGTGACGCCGTTAGGCCAGTCAGTGAGCCCTATGGTAGGGCGTATTTGGTTGGTATGACCACTTGAGGTGGACGAATGGGGACGGCGTTGCCGAAATCCAGGGGAAACTAGACGATCTGAGTTGTGTTGGGGGATGTTGAGTCGGTTTATCTGATTTTGGTAAGTGAGGTAAAGAAGTAGGAATGAAGGTACGAGTTCCTGTTCGGATAGAAGACGGGGTCGACATTAATTTATAGGAAACGTTCAAGGCAGAGATATTGAAACAAGGCAGGCAAAGTCTTGCCGTTCAGCATTATATTCATTGCTGTTACTATACTCACCTACCATTCCCATGGAGTTGACTATTTACCTATCAACCAAGTCAACTATTAACCTCTATAGCCCATCTCGTAACCTACTTGTGAATAACAAGGGCCATTGTGCCTGCGGAAACTCCCCGTAGTGCCTTGGTCTGGCTTACAATTAAGTTGCCACGCTCCTACCGTGCGTGGGTGCCTTAATTACAGGGTGACTGTTGTTGACTGCTCAGTTTCCATTCACTTGATTGGGGGAAGCTAAATCAGACCCAGAGGCAACTGTGAATAATAGTCAACTCTTCCAACTAACCCCTTCGTTAATGACCACTGTCCTCTGAAATCGGCATCACCAGGTCTACCCACTTATCGATCCCGATCCCTTCTAAAAGCCATGGGGGGGAGTCTTGGGTATAAGCCATCATTATTAGTTGTTACTTATATGATAGTTTCCAGCAGTTCTTGGGCTTTCAGCCCTGTTGCAGAACTGTCATGGTCCAAGATACCTAGGTGTAGCCCAGCCTGCAGTTCCGCCTAGGCTAGTCGCCTTTTGTCTAAATGTACCTGCCTTAGAAGTACTACGGAAGTGTTTCCCAGTCTCTACTTACCCTTTTCTTTCCCTTATATATGATCCTCCATCGACATCCGAGACATACATCGTAGGTTACGAATGAGAACTAATCACTTGATTGAATCACACAATTGTGTTTCCGTCAAAGGCCTTGCAAGGCGTTTTGAGCCTGAGTGGGAGGGGTATGGCGGGGTATGCGCCGCTTTAAATGCAAATCCCCGCTAGACTGTGCAGCAAGCGCCTATTTTACGGCCTATGTGAATAATGCCTTCACAGATGCAGGTAGGCCAAGTGAGTCAGCAGGCCAATGAGCAAGTAGGTAAAGAGACAAATAGGCAAGTAGGTGAATAGGTGAGGTGGCAAGTTAGACAATAGGTTGCTGGTTAATAGATCTAGGCGCCCACCTACTGACCTACTGACCTACTGGCCTTACTGACTTACCTACCTACCTACCTACTAGTCAATCTACTTACCACATATGGACAGATAGACATTAACGACAACGATGTGATTTGGGAGGCTTTTCGCCCCGGTGTGATAAAAGATGTCATCTGTCTGGATTAACAAGAAGTTCCTAATACATTCAGCATTTCAGCGCCCTTCCAAAGTAAGTATCCCTTATTACCCCACCCCACGTTGTTTCTATGGCCTACTTAGCTGTCCCGGTACTTACTCCTATTTCATCGTAGGACGGGTATGCTCACTTAAATAGATACCCAGACCACGGGGTGCTTGTAATGGCAATTTAAATTTAAAAAAAAAAAAAAAAGTCGGCTGTAATCCACTGTGTAGGGGCACCGACACTACTTCCCGCGGTACCCTTCGGTGGTTGGCCTCCTTTTCCTTCCTAAAGTAGAACGAGGCCGTAACACGGAGCGTTGTCCATTGGATCAACCTCAGATAACCCGCGTTTGTTAGGGGCCGCTTGCGAAAGTCTGGTATTTCCCTAGATTTCCTCTTCCTCCATCCACGTATTGTCAGCTATACACTATCCCGCCGGCCGTTCTGATTACGTCCATATTTGCCATGACGGATTAGACACTGAACGGGGGTTTACTTCATTTCATTTGACTTGCTTGATTTATTAACACATTCTATATGTACACGTAAAGCACCCTAGGTAGCGGCCGCAGATTGTTATCTCCCGGAATCGAAGAGCTACTCGAGTCAAGACAGTGAGTGTTAGGATGCTAGGAGACACAACATCCCGATCATAAGTAGGTAAATGCTACATTCCAAACCGGAAGTAGCTAATCTAGTTGAGTTGAATGTCGTGCACAAATACAGGCAGAGTGCCTTGGCGCGTATGAGTATTCTATCTTCTATCTTCATTCATATAGGGTCATGACATTGTAAGAAGAGGTGGCAGCCCATCCACCCACCCGTACCCCCTTTTTCTCGCCCTGTTCCCGTCTCGATGCTCTTCCGCTATAACACTGGGCTCTCGATCGCTGCAGCTAGATCAGCTGTACCAGTGTAGTGTAACAATACCGGCCTACTTTCGTCAAGGGAATGAAACAAGACAGAGAGATGTTGAGAAAGGAAAGACGGTTTCGGTAGATATTGTATCATCCGTGCACAAATCAAAACCTTGACCTGTGCGAACTGGAACCTTTGACACCCGTCAACCTCGAAGCAATGAGTCCGGTTATCGCGGTCTCGGCAAACCCTTTGACGCCGCTCGACTTCGTTCGCCTCGGATCCTTGTCGATCAAGGCATCGATCGCTGCTGCGCCCAGTGCAGCGGTGGCTATCTTGGCACCCTTTTCACCCGTCCAACTTCCAGGCTCCTTGCGGAGTCTGAGAGCTGCCAGCCCGCCAGCTTCGAGCGCCGCCCGTGCCGCTGTCTGCCATTTTAACGCAGTAGCTTCGTCAGGCTTTTTCGAGTGTCCGTCCCGTCGACTAGGTTGAAGGCTGGATGATGCGGATTTCGCATGGCGACTATGGCGGTGGCGCGAAGGGGACCGTGACGGGCTCGGGGTATAGGCGCTGGCCCTCGAGCGTCGATGATCCCGGCCACGATCGCGATGGTGATCCGAATCATCGCTGGCAACTGATCTACTGCTTCGGTGTCTCCGCGGGGGTTCATCGCTATAAGCTCTTGACCGTCTTTTCGGTGGCGATACAGATGGGCTAGGGGAGTATCGGCGATGATGATGGCGGCCCCCGGACTTAGAATCGCGGTGGGAACTGCGGTGGGAACGATCCCGACTCGGAGACCGCCCTCGGTTAGCCGACCCTGCCGTGGCTGCAGCGTACAGGGCAGCAGCTTCGCCGAGGAACTTGAGACCCTGCTCGCCAAATGATTTGCTGCTTTTCAGAGGCGGCCGCTTGTTAGAGTCTTGATCCTTGTGTTGTCTCGCCCGAGTCGCTTCTTTCTCGGTAGGCCGAGAGGAGGCTAAGTCGCGTCGAGAGGTCCGAGTAGACGTCGGTCGCTTACTCGTGTCCGCGGGCGGTGACGGACTATGCGCCCTGCTACGTCGAGAGTGGCGCGGGGGGGTAGCCGTGCTAGAATATTTCTTTGGCAGGCTCGCATGCCAGTGATGCGCAGAATCCGGGGACGAGGCACGGGATTTGGATTGGGTCGGAGGCTCATCGGTGCCGACATACTCGTAGGCGGCGCTTTTGATAGGCGAGGTTGAGCGGCGATAGGGGTCGTCGAAGACGTACGGATCATCGTACGGACTGTGGCGGTTACCCGACCGGGGCGCCATAGTGCGTAAGTGTGTGTGTGTGTAAGTGTTTTGTGTATGCGTGCTTGACTCGTGGGTATTGTAGGTAGTGTTTTTCTTTCTCGAGAAAAAATGGGTGCGACGTAAAAGTTACCATGCGCGACTTTTTAATGCCACGGATGAGAGAGTCAGAAACTGGTTCAGGTTTACAGGCAGGTGGAAGAGGCCTCTCTCGAGAGAATAACGAGACAGGTTTAAGCCCAGGGGTGTGCATCACGCAGACGGGCTATGTCTCTCTTTTTCCCTACTTGCATTTTGCGCCGCTGGTGTTGGCCTATCAACTGGAAATCCCCATGAAGATTTCGCGCGAAGGCTCCCGTTCCGTCGGCCTGGCGGCGGAAAATCGGCAGCGCAGCGAATGAGCTATCATAGCTGGGCATGCCGACGGGCTCTTGGGGGGAGTGCATGAGAGGTGATGTCAACTTGGCGATGACGCCCTCTTTTTTTCCCGGTTGCAAGGGGGCGATGCTAGATGGGAGGCCTATTACGGCGAGTCCCTCAGCGCCGCTGGACAGGGCAGAGCCGGGATGGTAAGCAACATGCAGGCCTGTAAGGTATACGGGCACGTCTGGATGTCGATGCATGCGTCCCGGCGTTGGCGTGATGTAGAACCCACCTACGAGAGCGACAAGCCATTTGCCACTCTGGAGAATAGAAGAGAGAGAGAGAGAGAGAGACGCCTGGGTTTCATGATTTCATCGTGTGTCTCTACAAGCCAACGTACCGGATCGCCTCACATCGAGGATCGAGTTGAGGGGCACACTTGGCCGAAAGAAGCAATTGCACGCCCACTCGAGCCAACCATGGCTGACCGTGACCACGACCGCGTAAAAGGGCGCTGTCTGACATGGCTGGTAGTGTGTGCTAATGGACGCCGAGGGTGGTAGTAGTGCGGGCTGGGCGCGGAACCATCGAGACCAAGACCAATGCAGGGCCTAGAATTGGGGAGTCGATGGGTTGCGAATCTGACATATTGACATGATTTCTGGCACTGGTTCTGGCCAGCACCGCTGACTTGTCACGGCGGCTCAGTCACACAGCCTGCGATGCCATCTCGTGATCGCGACGACTCGAACACGGAACATGCGATAACAAAGGGGAAAGGGGTGCGCGACACTGCCGCCTAGCCCTTAGGATCTCGCGCCTCGCCTATTCGAGCCTCCTCGTCTCGCCTAGATGGTCGTAGCCACCCCGGTGCCGAAGAATTTGTCGTCGCGGAAGACGGGCTCGAGGACATATCGCACGAGAGGGGAGAGAGGCGTCATAGGAGAGGAGGGGATCGGAAGGTTGTAATTGATGCCAATCGCGAAGATGGGTGATGGGTTCTGGGCTTAACAGAGGACAGCTCGTCACCGCGCTACTTTGGTACATTGCTGGTTGGCGCCTTGTCCTTATCGCTGTTACCTACCTATCTTGTACCGATGTATTCCGCCCTTGTCTCCGTATAATAGTTTATACGGACCCGAGGTCCGTCGAGATAAGAATGATGTCATTTCGGAGGCGTGGGAGGAACATGTTAGGGAGGTCTCCTATCTTGTGTAAGTCACATACACTCACTGGTGCTCCAGCTTCAGCCTAAACCAGGAGGAAAACCAAACCATCGTCTCTGCATCTCAATTCACCTCTCCTTTCTCTCCTTTACGACCTCGCGTCTCTCCCTAAGGCGTCCCCCGCTAGACAACTGCCAGCTCTTTGGGCATCGCTGACCCTCTCCCTCGCCCTCGCGTGACCAAGAAGCAGATGGCCATTCCCTCGTGCTCCTGCGTCTGACGCTTACCTACCATCCTCCATTCGCCTGTCGTGTGATATCCCGCCGTGATAGCGCCAGCTAGAGAAAAAACAGCTCCGTTGCGCATGCCTGCCCGCTCTAGCGTACTGAACACGACTAACGGCGGTCCTTCAAACTGTATCGTCGACCGCGATGGGCTACAAAGGGGAGAATGTCACTCGACCGCACCTAGCTCCGTCTCGCCCGCGTAGGCAACTCGCCCATGACACCCTGTCGTCGACTCTGCGTAGATCTATGGATCTACTTCCGATCTAGTCCGGTCCCCTCTTCGTGAGGAAGAGTATGTTATAACTTATCAGGCACACTCAGGTATACAACCCAATGCCTACTTACCTAGTTTGGCTGCGCAACCCCTGCCCCCTTATCATATACCTACCCAATCTACCTCTGGGTATAGCCTGTCGCCTAGGCGGCCATCTTTCCACCGCTAAGAAGACTCTGAGAGATAACGCCTGAATGGGATAAATTGGTCCCCCGAGGTGCGGGAGGTGCGGTAACAGGGCCGTTTCGCTTGACCTACCCGATATGCAACATGTCTGTTGCTAGCCCGGACGTTGTGTAAATGGTTTGTGCTATTCTTAGCCGCGCACTCTCCGCAACGTCGTATTCGCCCATGAGGACACTGCGGAGTGGTGCTGTTATGGGCGGAAGATAAACCAATGCAGCAGTACCGAGGCGACCGGCTAATTTGTTGACACTCGTCTAACAATCGACGGATTTCTAGAACCTCGTCTGACCATGCGGCGTCTTCGATCTGTGAGACGAAATAAAAGTCCGGAATCGGTCGGTTTGGCCCGTTCTAACTGACGGCCGAACAGGAAAGTAATCAGCCGAGATACCAACAGCTTACAGCCACTTCGCCCCAAATCGTCGAGGAGATCCCACCAGCACGGGACGGGCTTCTGTGTATGCGAAGAACTGCAGAACTAAGAACAAACTGAGGAGGAAATGCCGATGGACATACCTCCGTAGTCGTCATATATATGTGGCTACCAGCTCAGGAGCAAATAATGTCAATATCACGACGTCCGCCTTCGGCTTTCTGTCCCCGCTACCCAAGGCTCTAGCAGCTCGCCGACATGGAATAGTGGTGCGGGAAGCGATTTCCCTCCTGGATATAGAACGATTCACAGTCGTCCTAGGTGCCAGCACTCCTGACCTCGTATTGGCTGCGACCGCGTGCGGATTTCGCTACGAAGAGACCGATCCGAAATAGGGTTCGCATAATGACACGTTGTAGATGAAATATACATCTATGTATAGGTATATAAGTGCACACAACTGGCGGCGCCTCCCGCTGTACCTGGCCTTCCTACACGATCCCCAGCTAGCGGCCCTCTCATAAATCCCGTCTTCACGATGCTCTTCAACAGCTTAACCCTCGTGGCCCTTTCCGCCGCTACCGCCGCTCTGTCGGCTGATGAGGAGGGGAGCCGCTGCCCCCGTATCAAGTGCTTCGACGCGCTGAGCCTCTGCGGTGAGTTAAGCCGTTAGCAGGGAACCTAACTATGCCCTGTAGACACAACGGTAACAGCGGACTGGCTGACCAACCCACTTCGTCTCTGCTCCCGCGCTCCAGGCGTTAAGTATGGCGGGTGCTACGATGTGTGCAGCCAGGAACAGCCGGGCCCGCCGCCGTGCCCGGACATCCCCTCGACGACGGCGCCGGAGCCCAGCACCACGCCGTCCCCGCCCGCGCCTTGCACCAGCACGGGGACCGCCTGCGTCGACTACCTCCGGACCTGCGGCGACCCGCCCACCGCCATCTTGACGTTCGGCGGGTAAGTAACCTTCCTTTTCCTCGTGTCTAGCTAGCCATCCGGTCCCGTCGACAACCCGCGCTGACCGCCATCCGCTCAAGCTGCTACCCCGCTTGCGGCCCCAAGCCCACCTTCAGCCCGCCACCATGCCCGCTGCCTACCGACGTCGTCGTCACCCTCACTACGTCGACGGCGCCCGCGTCGCGGACCCACCGCGCCTCCTCGCAGTCGCTGCCGACGCCTACCGTCGTCACGTCATTCCTCGATGTCTAAGCTATCACTGCTCTGGCTTTGTGGGCGGATTGTGAAAACAGGACTGAAAAATGCAAAGTGTACCTCGTGTTACGAGGAGAATTGGGACGGAAGAGTCAGGTTAGTTGTGGGCCGAGGGAGTGGGTGGGTAAAAGAAGAGGCGTTCTACGTAGAGAAATCGATCCTGCTCGCTTCAGCTGTCCACAGTTGCCAATTACTCTTTTCGGCGCCTTGGGTTTGACGGGCAGCCCGTGTCTCAGGTAGAGAGCATGGCTTGTCTTGGACTCAGCTCCTTTCGAGAAAACGAGACGAGTACCATCCATCATGTCACACATCGGTCGGAAGACCGCGTTTCGGGATTTTTTTTTATGATTTTTTTTCTTTTTAGGTTGTAGGTAATCTATCCTATGCACAAAACAACAAAGTTGTTCTTTTTTTTATGGCCAGCGGATCTGCCCCCTGTGCCTCCCGGGGACGAGGGGGGAGGCCCGAAAAAAAAGAGAGTAAACATCCGACGCGAGAAAGATACACAAGCTTGCAGCGAGAAGGGGGAACGAGAGATCCAGCCTTGGGACATAGAACCGATACCACCCCCTGGGGGAATTCCTTTCCTCGGAAAAGACCCCGTCATCCGTCAAACCAGAGAAAACGAGAGAGAGAGAAAAAAACAAAAGTCCCGCCCGCCATCATCCATTACGTTCCAGTGTGGGGGAGGGGGAATCATGCCAAACAGAAAAAAAAGAGGAAAACCCGGACCGGACCGGACCAGACCAGACCCGTCGTTAAACCCCGGCCCGTCTACCCTTCTACCCAGAAGCTCGCCGGCGTGTTACCACAGATCATTAACCCCCGTTTTTTGGAATTAGATATACAAGAGAAGGAGAGAGAAGAGAGAGGAAGAGAGAGCATCGTGCCGCGGCTCGCGCCCCCCTTATACGAACAGGAGGGCGGCGAGCGCAGCCAGGAAGCCGACGGAGCCGGCGGGCACGCCGTGCGTCATGGCGGCGGCGGTGACGAAGGGCAGCGAGGGCGTGGGCGTCAGGCCGCCGGTGCCCGTCGTCGTCGTCGCCGTCGTCGTGTTGGGCGTGACGAAGCTGGAGGTCACGATGCTGCTGGAGGTGGTGATGACGGGCGTCGGCTCCGGCGTCGTGACAACCTCCGGCGGGTGTGTCGTGCCGTCGCACTGCAGCGTCTCGGTCTTGGTCTCAGTCTTGGTCTCGGTCTTCGTCTCCGTCTTGACTTCCGTCTTGGTCTCCTGCTTGACCTCCGTCACGGTGTGGATCACCGTGATGGCCGGCTGGCACGTCGTCGTCGTCGTCTCCTTGGCCTCCTCGGGGCACGAGGCGGTCTCCTCAACTTCGTGGGCGGTGGTCGTGGTCGTGTGTTCCGTGCTTGTGCTTGTGGTCTTGTGCTCTTTGGTCGTGGTCTTGTGCTCGCTGGTCGTGGTCGTGTGGGCGGGAGTGCTCTCTACGGGGTAGGAAGGGGTCTTTTCCTTTTCCTTATCCTCAGTAGACTTGCCCTTGTCCTGGCACTGCTCGGGGGCTAATTTTTGGGTGAGCTTGGTCAGGTGCTCGAGGAGAGACTCAGAGAGCTTCTTGGCGGTGTCGCGGAACTCGTCGGGAACCCTGCTGGCGATGCCCTCGACAAGAGATTTGGTGGCCTTGCTAATTTCGGTGACGGAGGAGCCAAGGAGAGTGCAGAGGTTTGCGGACTCAATCTGCTTCTTCTTGGAGGAGATGTCCTTGAAGAGGGTCTGAGTAGCGGGGCCGAGGGGGCTGATAACCTCCTCGAGGCCGAGAGCGTCAATAATCGAGAGGTCGGCCTCGCTGAGGAGGGAGGCACCCGACGTCACGGCCTCGAGAAGCGCCTTAGCGCTGCTCTGAAGCTTCTCGGAGTCGGCGCCGTCGAAAGCCTTGACGGACGAGTCGAGCTTGGTCACCGCGTCGGAGACCTGCGAGATGACGGAGCTGACGGCGGCGAGGTCACGCTGGGCCAAAGTGGGCTCAGCCCTGGCCGACGAGGCGGCGCTGAGGGCGATAGCCAGGACTGTTGAGGTCTTCATCTTGGTTTTGTGTTGGTTTGACTGGTTGTTGAGTCGTTTTCTCCGGGACTTGCGTGCAACGCAAGATAATAACGATGGGTATTAAGAATAAGAAATATCCACCAGTGGGTAAAATGGTTCTATGTAGCTGGAATCCTCAAGAAAAGACCGTCTCTAGTTTAGCGATAGACGAAAGGAAACAGGAAAGGAAAACAGAAAGAAATGTGCACAGATATTACCGTTCATGCAGAGCTCACCTCCCCCTTACGAGGCAGACACCTTGGTGTTATATATCTCGTCCTCGTCCATGAAGGGGAAGGAGAAGGCTCTCGTGCCAAGGCGTTTTGTGTCTATTGCTGAGCTGCGCCCCATGCCCGTTACCACGACGAGGATACAGACAGATGAATCCTAACCCACCATCGTCCGTTGTCAAGGCTCGAAGGAGTATATCCACTGGTTACGGTTTAGGTAGGTGAGTGCCGGCGACGGCAAGCCAAGGTAACGTGGCGTAGCGCGCGGGGCAGCAAAACCAGACGTAGACCGCCGTCACTCTTCTATCCCCTCCCGTCTCACATACCTCCTCCCACTCATAGCAACAGAGGGAGAGGGAGAGAGAGAAAATCCGGGGAACGAGCCCTGGGATCGCTGATAGGAGGGTTGGCGAGGACTTGACGGATCACCTAGCATGCATCGAGTTTCCAACCGCTTGGCAAAGCCTATTAAGGGGAGTCTCCCTGCAGTCCCAGCTGAGCAGCCTGCGATCTGCGCCACCCGAGGGAGACATGTCAAGCCGACGAGATTGGACGAACTAGATACATAGACATACCCTCGCCTTCAAGGGTCTGAGGGTCAAGCTCGACTTTCGGCTACAACGCCCGGAGGAAAGCTAGAATAAGGTAAGTCGTGATGGGCAGCCTGGACGCTCATGAGCATGGTCTAAGCCTGCGTCTAGGAGTGAGTGAGTGGGCGAAACATCGCATAGATACTTACCTGTGAGTACCTACTTTCTAGATGCCCCTCGAAAGGCTGCGAGGCTGGCGCTCGCGGTTTGGTTGGTAGCAGTTGGAAGCAGGGGCTGATCTACTTCCTCCTTAACCTCGAATTAGCATAGAAACGTTCGACTTTGGGGGTAGCGAGGAAGGCAGATCTACACGGCCTCATGGCTCCACGCAGGGCATAGTAATAGGCCAAGTCGCGGAGACCAAAAGAGGAAGAGCCGGGGCATGAAGGATGTCGACCACATCTTGAAACGGTTCCCGTTTGGGCCTCAGGGACCCCGGCCGCATCTCCCTTGATGAAGATCAGCGGTGGGGGCGCATGTGATTGCAGGCCTCGCTGTTCAGGCAGCTTTAAGCATACTTGTCAACCCCCACGGATAGGTATACCCAGGCAGCGTTAACTGAGATTAAGTAGGTATGCGGGAAATCTTGGCCTCGAGGCTTGAATTCTAACACGATTGCCGATGTCACCAAGGAGCAAGCATTTGTTGCATCACTGTCGTCGAAGTCGTTGAGTCGAAGTAACCAAGAGTCGAGAGCGGAGAGAAGCCCGAACATTCCTAGCCAAACCAACCAGCAACCTATGAATCCGTCAATCTACCAACGAATTTGCCCATTCTCCTAACCCGCCTGCCTACCTACCCAGGTAAGCAGGTGGATGCTGCCCAGGCCAACAGTAGGATGTGAGTACTACGTACTCGTTATACCTATGAGTACTATTAATGGTGCTGACGGAACCTTCGGCCTTCCTTCGACTCTTGGGACGCAGCCAATTAATTATAGAACCACCATCTCTCAACAGGCCAGAACTCGGGAGCGCCGTCCAGGTACCAGTACTTAAAAATAGACGTGAGTTATTCCGTTGCTCGGAACCAAATTCGTAGCTGGTGCTGTAGCGAATGAGGGAGCGCTGAAGGATCGCCCTAGCTACTCACTGGCGAAGTCTTTATAAGACCCCGGCTGTCGCCAAGACATCGTAGGCATTCCAGCATTCTCACGGAAGCCTCTCGCCCTTCCGCGTCGCCTTCGCAACCTCCGACTGGGTCGTATCCTCGGCGTATCTCTGGTACGCGGCGATATACTGCTCGTTGTCGCTCCACGTCTCCCTCACGCTCTCGCGGGCGACCACCGCGTCGAACCAGCGCCCCCACCTCGCCCAGATCTGCGCGTCCCGCTCGTCGCTAACCTGATCCGCAGCCGGGATGCCTACACCACCGGGTTTGTAGTGGTCGATCAGAAACAAACGCTTTGCCCACGGTGCCAGCATAACATCGACGAGGCTGAAAGCGCGACCGAGGAACCACGGCCCGTCTTCTTCGTCCCCGCCGCCGCGATCGCTCCTCTCCTCGCCGATTTCTAGCATCTCCCGCACGAGCGTCCGGATGTGGCCCAGGAAATTCTCCCGCGCCTCCTCGACACTGTAGTCCTTCGCCGGCGTGTGCTGCAGGAGGCGGTAGAACGCGGGCACGATCTTATTACCGATGTGGTCAATCCAGAGCCGGCACCGCGCGCGCTCGTACGGGTCCGGCGGCAGCAGGGCGGGGCCATGCGCGCGCTCGTCGGCGTAGGCCTCGTCGAGGTATTCGCATATGATCACGCTCTCGTACAGGGGCCTCCTCTTTCTCGGCGCTTTGGCCTGGCGTCCGCTCCCGACCGGTACGGCCAGCGTCGGCACCAAGCCGCGCGGGTTCAGGGCCAGGAACTCGGGGGCCTTGCGGTACGGGTTGATCTCGATGTACTGGTGCGGGATGCGCTTCTCGCGCAGAACGATCCAGGCCCGCTGCACGAACGGGCAGAACCAACCGCCGTACAGCTTGAGGGCGTGCTCCCCGGCGTGGGCGGCGACGAGGCGGGCGGCCGCTCCCGTAGCGCGCGCGGGGAGGAGAGATGAGTCCACTGCCGCGGGCATTACTCCTATGCAGTGGCAAGGCAGATTTGAGAGGGGTGTGATGAAGGCTATTCGCTACGGTGATGAAACACTTATTAGCGCTCGCCTGAAACGAGGTACCTAAAGCCGTTTCGTCGGTAGCTGGCTTCTACTGGCAAATATCTAGAGAGGGATAGATGAGTGAGACGTGGGTAAGTAGAAAAGTGATGCGATGAATATGGGTGGAATGAGAACCGGCGCGATGGGCGTCAAGTCAAGCGGACATACCTGCAGCCTTCTATCAGCAAGACGATGACATCAAGGCAAAGGCAACTCATCTACGTAATATTAGGTCAACTACTGGTATATAGGCATAATCATCCAACGGATTCGTTATACGCATACGTTCGATGAAGCCCCTCTTAATGCAGATACAGAGTCGCCATCTCTGCCTTTCTTTTCACATCATCACCATCCCACTCACGCAATAGCCATTATATTACCTACCTTACCTACTGGCTTTTTAATGTCCGAGTCGCATCCTGTCCCCCACGATACGCTTATTCGTCTCTCATCTTCCTCCAGGTTCCCCGGCCAGCCAACCGTCTTCGCGTCGCCGCCTTACGGTTCATATCGGGGATGACATGCTCGCGGGGGCGCTCCGCCCGCACCGTCTCCCAGAAGTCGTAGCCACGCTCCCGCCGCTGCTCCCGCTTCTCCGAACGCTGCTCGCGCTGTTGCCGCCGCCGCTGCTTCGCCTGCCGCGACCTCTCTGGCTCCAGCTTAGCGAACTCCTGCTTCGTGTCCCGCAGCTTCGACCGCGCGAACTTGATGCACGCTTTAATGGCTCCCTGGATGCGGCCGCTGAACGCTGCGAGGAGCGTCACGATGATGAGCAGCGCCGACGCGGGTACTGCGATGTCGCGTTAGTCTAATTTTGCTCACGCTGGACGGGAATACGGTAGTCGGGGAGTCAACGTACGCGAGATGGCGCCGATGAGGCTGAGACTGACGAAGTTATCGTCCTCGCCACCCCATTCTTTGGTATTCATGCCAAATAAGCTAGTGAAGAAGCTCAGCGGGAGGAAGAGGACGGTAAATATCGTGAAGATCATGACCGAGAGATTCTGCGAGCTGGCTAGTTCGGTCTGCAGCCGCGACCATCGCACCTCGTCCACTTGGGCCTGGCGCTGCACCATCTCCTGAAGCTTCTCATACTGCACGCGTATTGTCAGCGACATAGCTCTAGCCTCGACGGCATCAGGCTTCGCAAAGGGCTTCTCACGTCTTTCTTAGTGCTATCCACGCGAGAAATCATATCGTGGACTTGCTTCTGGTAATCTTGCAATCGCCGCAACGCCTCGTCTAAAAATGCTCTACCATTCTCTGTGAAGGGTTGGAGGTCGGGTTTCTCGTAGTTCGCCTTCATCTCTTCGATCGTTGTCCGTTGCTCGTCGAATAGGATCTTCATCGTGTTGAGCTCGTCGTCCATATCCCGGAGCTCGAGAAGAGCAGACGCGTTCTCGCGGTTTTCCCGTTCGGCTTGTTGTAACTCGCGCCGGTGGCGCTTTTTAATGCTTTCGGTCCTGTTGTCTTCAGGCGCATCGGAATCGCTACCGTCGAAGACCTTGTCGCGAAACGTCTGCATTCGGAAATGCTTGAGCGACGAGGTCATCTTTTCCGTCTATGGGCCGTCAGCATCAGACATATCACAAGTTGGCGCTATACACACCAGAATTCCAATTGCCTCCTCGAAAATACGGAAAACATCCAGGTCTGGATGGGATGTCCGGTCGAGTAGCACGGTTACCGCATGAAGAGTGACGAACGCCGCGAGATCCAACGCGTTTTCGCAGCGGCCGCTGAGGTCTCCGTTCAGCTCGTTATAAATGCTGTTTCTTAGATCCGCTTGTTGGAACAACGGGCCCTCGGTCGGGTGAGACTCGCGTTTAGGGAAGAAAGTTGCCAAGGTCGCTAGGCAAGTGTAAGTCAACCGAGTCCCATGACAACCAAACGTAGTCCGCACAACGCCTTTTTGCGACGACGACGACAACGACGATGACAACTTACTTGTATCAACTGCCCACAACCATAACTGGTCTACCACGAGAACATTTCCGTCAAGGATATCATTTTCTAATTCAGAGTCGTCCTCGTCGGAATAGTTGGTTATATCCGTCTTCGTCAACGTGTTCACGTGAGATATCAAGCGAGCGCCCGGCGATGTAGCACTCAACGACTCTCTCCCGTCGCCGAGGTGATACATGTCCCGCTTGCGTTGGAAGGGGACCGCTATCCTTTCTTTCGTGAGTTTGTATAACATCTGATCGTCGTCTCGCGCGTAAGTATCCCGGAGTGACGGGTAGCCATACTGGTCCAGGGTCCTTCGGGTGTTCAGAGGGGGGTCGTGGCCAATGTATTCCCAAATCACCCGTGAGTCTAGCGACTCGAGTTCAGAAACCTCCCTCGGGACAGGCCTTGCCCTCCCGTGATTCAGCCTTCGCTTGATTATATTGCGACGTCTCACAACATTCACGTAAGTATCGTAATGAAGGTACGGGATATACAGATACAGATGCGCTGGGGAGAAGCCAGGACTCGGGCTCCTACCGCCGCCATTCGGCGACGATGGACGAGGAGAGCCTGTACTGCCATTAGTCGGCTACTCACCCGTCACGACACGCTTGGATAAGGAACATTAACAACTTACCAGCTTCTGAAGCAACAAAAGAACACCCAGGCTTCACGTAAGAGGCATGTAAGTTAGAATGTCTCCCTTGAACATGTTTATTGGCCCAGTTTTCATTACTGAGAAGTTTTGAATAGCTCCGGTTCTGGGTCTCAGAAAGCTTGTCGAATATTTTCTATGGCAAAGTTAGTGACGGCAAATCGATAACTCATCAGCATGAAGACGTATTTTCACCTTGACCCAATGCGGATTATTGAATGGGAGATGAATCCACATAAACTTTCTTCGAGAAGGATCTGGGCGAGAGAAACCAGCCGTGAGGTCATGAAGAGCTGAACGATGCCTACTACGAGACCTCCCCTCGTGAGTAGTACCATCCCCATGCGACGGCCTTGTATGTGAAGCAGGGTCCGACGTCCCGAGAGGAACACCGCTGCCTCCAAGGTCATTGCTGCCTCTCGTAGAAGACTGATGAGATCCTGGCGTCGATAGAGGGGAGACGGTCAGCCCGCGACTTCGTCCCGGCGAGACATCCGGAATAGGTTCTGTTGCAGCGCTTGTCATCGGCGGTCGAGAGGTATGGCTCGTCACGACGATCTCGGGCGACTGGCCACTGACTGGCTCGTTGTCCAAATTCCCCGGCGCGCCGCCGGGCAGAGCGGTACTGAAAATCCTATGACTGAGTTCCTGCATATTGTTCCAGATCCCGAGCGCGCTGGCCATCGGCGACGGGTCGGGTTGGGGCCGCTGAGGGCGCACCATTCCTCGACGCCGTTTAGGTGCCACTGTGCTGAGCCGCTCCTTTAGGCAAGTCTCAGGTCCCTTCGCGAAGAATTCCTTCAGAAAGTGCTTCGAGATGTAGAGCCTGATGTTTTTACCTTCGCTGCTGTCTGGGTCCTCGTAGAATCCGATCAGCTCCAGCTTGACCTTCGTGTTTAGAGCCAGCGGGGTATGTTCAAAGCTATTACTTAGATCCTCTGCCTTTCGGACCGCAGCCCCTAGATCAGCCAGGAATGAATGCATCGTCTGGATGTTGTTGGGTCCAAAAGAAGCGCAGCGCGCGTGGTCGCTCTCGAGGGAAAGCGCCTGCTCGCCTCTACTCCTGACCAGCCCTGATTTAATGGAGGTCAACGGCGCGCTGAAGTGGACTTCGTCGCGATCGGATCCGCCGAAGCCAGACAGCTGCGAATCGACAGTCTCGTAGAAGGTCCAAATGCGGAATTCACTCGCGATATCCATAAACTGGTCGTGCATCCTCAGTAAACCTCTATTTCCTAGCCGCAGCTCGCGGGCGACGGATTCGGGCAGCGGCTTTTGGAGGTCTAGCAGAGTTTGAATGCTCTCGCGAAGATGGGGCATCGACAGATAGCTGGAGCCGCGATGCGGCGTAGCTACGACGTGTCAGCAACAGAAACAGATGCCTACAGAGAACAAGAAGAGACGAGCATCATACCGAAAAAAGCGATGCCATGACAGTCATATATGAGAGATTGCAAGTCTTGGCTTTGGTAAGCCTTGACGAGCGCGTCCTTCACCACGAGTCCCCCGATGCTGTGGCAGATGAAGAAGATCGGTCGCGACTTTGTCTGACCAGCGCGTAGACTTCTCAGCTGCTCCAGCAGGTCGTCTGCGGCCTGGTCCAAAGTCGTGTCGTCCGAGAGCTCCCGGTGTCGGTATAATATCACTCGCGCCGTGTTAACCTCCTTCCGAATTCCCTGTCGAACCCACAAGGGAGCCGCTCGGGGTAGGTGGCGGTCAATGGTGGGCGAGAGGATGGTATTCCCCGGGAGCTCGCCGACCGTCGAGTATCTCTGCAACTCGGTCGATACAGGCGACCCGAAGAATCCCGCGCTGAGGGGATCCCGCGCCCAGGTGTCGACAGGAGAAGCGCCAATGCACGGTACGGCGATAATGTCCACCGTGGTCTTATTATAGCCGGTTCCGTCGATGTCGCCGTCGATGTAGGCGAATCCGGGCTCGGGATCCCAATGCGAATAACTGCTGCGGGCGGACTTCTCGTTATCGACTCCATCGCCGTAGTCGGAGCCATCGCTAAGAGGCGTCAGGTGGCCGCCAGCAGCATCCTGTTGCATGGCCTCAGGAGCGCTAGTAGGATGCGCCGTCTCCTGTATGTCCATCTCGGCCACCCTCGCCAATCTGTCCGAGTCTTCGTGTCCTAGCGTCGTCGCCATACTGGCCCGCAAGTATAGTGCACTACCTTACGACTCGATTCGATTCCTCACGATGGCGCGAATTGTTCTGTATCTAGTCACTCATGGCGGTCGCGTCACGCTACCAGCCACCGCAACCGGTCGAACGCACGGTCAAGGTAGGTATCTGGCGAGGGTGTTGAAAAAAAGAGAAAAAGAATATGGAAGAAGAAAAGGCGCCCAGCCCTCGTGAGAAATCAAGTTCGCTACAAGGCTCGGCATTCATACCCACCACTGTTATATGTCAGCTGCCTAGCTGCGGCTCTTCATACGCGCAGCCCTTCCCCAAAGACTCGAGGCGAAAGAGCATCGTGCGATTGGCGGGCGCGAGACATGCGCAACAAGAAGAGCATGGGGGCGATGTTAGAGGAGGATCCTCAGCTGACGGCCGGGGGGGTCAAGAAGGGTGCGGCAAAGACGGCAAGATCCCCCGATTCACGTATATATGCATGTAAAGGGATCATCTGCTATGAAGCCGACATAGCTGCTAGGTGACCTCGAAAGTAGCGGAATCCAATCCAGAAATATCCGAGTCCATCTCATTATCGCCAGGTTGTACGGATTTGAAACATTACCTACATTTTCGATCCAGCCGATCGAAGACGGACAATGAAGCATCACCAGTCCGTCCCATCTCGGGGTCATTCCGCACCTGCCAGGATGTCGCGTGTCCACCCTGTACCTAATAAGGATAAAGCGCGGTGGGAGAGGTGGCCTCAAGATATACACATATATGGGTAGTTAGACATGACACTCAAGTCTATAGGTACCACGTTGAACGACGAAAGGAAATGAAACTCTGTTCACTTTGCGAGGTAGGCCGCTAGCATGCTAAAGCCGACCCCGGAAAGCGAAAACATAGACATCGGGAATACGAGTCACGGGCGACAACAAGCTTCAATACGCACCCGGCTCGTCATAGAAGGCGACCCGATAAGTCTATAGAATGTCGGGTTCGACCCCGTCAGACTCAGCGCCGATCCGTACCCGCCCCGGCCCCAACCACGTCAACGCTGACCGACGCGCCGCCGCTCCCGTGTCTCGACCAACTAGCTGCGGCTCCCGCGGGAGCAAGCCGTTGCCACTGCGTGAGGCGCGCCGTGCCCAGCATCTATACACGGCGCGCTAGGCAACTAGGTAGGTAGATAGACGTGATAAACACTTACGACGGCGCCCGAGCTCGCCCTCCGCAATATTCCATCTATGCACCTATCCATCTGTCTGCTTGTACGACCCGCCTTGAGAAAGCCGTGATACCATCCCCCAGGCCTGCCACGTGCGTGTGTACGCACCGGAAGGGGGGCAGACCTGGATGCGGCCCCGCGACTCGTCGCCCTACCGAAGCTCGGCGCTGTCATCTCGCGCCCACAGGCGGGGGGCAGAGGTAAGCTTAGGCTACACACGCCGCGCGCACGAGTCTTGGAATATGTAGGTACGTCGAACCTCGTGCCGGGGTGTGGTGCTACGAGAGGCTGTGCGGGCGCGAGCAGAGGGCAGCAGGGTGTCGTGTGCGCGGCGAGGCGGGGATGTTCGCGATAGAGCGTCTACGTGCCGCGTGCAAGCGGATCGGCGGCCCTGCCCTTTCGTTCCCGTGCGCTGGACCGCCTGAGGAGCGACGCTGCTGCGATGGGTGAGTAGTAGTAAGAGCATCTGGCAGTTGTGGGCGGGAGGAAGGAAACTCGGTACGGAGAGGCTCGGCTACGTATTCCTATGCAGACGGGTGTGAGTGTCCCTGTGTATGTAGGTGTGGTCGCTCTAGTGATACGATAGCTTCTACTCGATGAACTCACGGCTCGACGGATGTAAGGACAGGGTGCCAAGCCTTGATCCAAGAAGGGCGCAGTCTCGTCAGTGCCTAGGGCCTTACGCTGGGCCACTCACGGTTTCTCGTGCCTAATTCTACGACAGCGTGTGAACTTGCCCTCGTCGACGTAGGCTCTGCCGTAACCAATGCGTACAGAACCTCCATGAGCACTATCAATGGTCTACCGACAGACACCGATGTCCGAGCGGCACAAGCCCGGGCACCGCGGCGTAGTCCTAGCGGGGTTTACCTAGTCGTGAATGAAGATGGGTCATGATGTCTTTATACAGTTGTCGCCGCGCCGGCCCTCGGCTGGCTCCTCTCGCACCGAAATGACGCTTATATACTAGATAATGTTACACGACCGGGCCCCGGTGAGAAAGTCTCCGCCTCTGTATTTTATTTTCTCTTTTCTTTTACCTTTTTACTCCTTCGCGTCTGGCGGATTCGCCGGCGGTGGTGGACTCTCCTTTGGTGCCGCCGCTGGTGGTGGTGGAGCGGCCGTCTCGGTAGCAGGCGGCGCCGGGGCGCTTTTCTTCTCGGTTTGAGCTTCTGCCTTGACCTCCTCGGCCGCGCTCTTCTTAGTTGCATCCTCTTCGGTCGCACTCCGCTTCGCTTCAGCGCCTTTGGCGGCGCCCTCCTTCGCGCCCTCCTCTCCGCCTGCGTTCGGCTCCCCGCCGCCTCCTCCGCCCTCACCTTCGCCCTCGCCCTTACCCTCGGCCTTGAGCCTCGCCTGGCGCGCCTTGTAGGCGCGGATCTTGCGCCAGCGGGCGGCGCGCTGGGCGTCGAGCGCCTCCTTGCGGCGGGCGATGTAGTCCTCGCGCTCGGCGCGCATCTCGAGGGCGATGGCCTTGGCGCGGCGGCGGCGGTGGCGCATGGCGACGCGCCGCGACCCCATCTTGCGCTTCTCGGTGCGCACGAGCGTGCCGAGCCGCCAGTTCTCCTCGGCGTAGGCGTAGCTGCCGTCGCGCCGCAGCCGCATCACGCGCTCGTCGCGCGGGTGCGGCCGCCGCCCCTCCCCCTGCCGCACCACCTCGATCGGGATCCCCGACGCCGACAGCTCCGGCTTCGGCTCCGGTGCCGCCATCGGCACCGCCACCATGTTGAGCCGCCGCTTCCGCATCGCGTGCGGCGGGTACGGCAGCTTGTCCGCCTTGTCGAACACTACCCCGATGTACTGCCGCTTCGGGTGCTTCGCCGGGTCCCGGTAGTACTTCACGTACCCCGTCACCAGCGAGAAGATCGTGTGGTCCCGCCCCATGCCGCAGTTCTCGCCCGGAAACCAGATGGTGCCGCGCTGCTTGTAGATGATGTTGCCCGGGATGACGTAGGAATCTGGGAACAGGAAAAAGATCTCGTTAACCGCATAGTTCTTCTCTTTTATTTCTACTAGTTTTTCTTCCTCCCTCCGTTCCCTCTCCTCTTGCTCTCATCCCGCTTCGCGAGTTCAGGACGTACCACCGGATTTCTTGGCTCCCAGCTTCTTCGGGATCGTGCTTGAGTCTCTTATCTTGTACGCGCCCTGAGCCTTGACGGTGGCGTATCTCCGGCCCTCCACGGCGGCGTTGCTCGCCCCTATCCTGAGCTGTCCCAGCGCATCCCGGAGCTGCCAGATCGCAATCGCCGTCACCGTCGCAGGCGTGGAGGGGGCTCTCGATATGCAGGACGAGGCAGCTGCCGCCATGGGCCACTGCAATTGAGTGATCCTCATGGCTGTGCCAATAGCTGGGCCAGCGTCGGGCCCGAGGTCAACTATTCTGTCGTCGTGGTTATACTTGCTAGGTAGTGTAGCTGTCGGGCACTTTGTGGGGTGGTCTGGTAGGAAAAGAAGCTCTCCTACCCCGGCGAGGCCACAAAATTTGGGCTTAGTCATCTCTCTTTACGGTGGTCGGAATTTGCAGGGATTACGATAAAGATAAGAGATAAGGATAAGGAATGGATCAAATGTTGCCAGCATTACCATTTCAAGGGTCCCTCTCACTTACGTAGGTACATGATTAATTCCTCTGTCCTTTTCGTGCCAGGCACCATGTAGACAACACCCTCTTCTCTTTACACCACGTACCACGCATCCTCGAGCCGTCCCGTCTGCCAATCCAACGTATCTATATCTCGCTGTCCCAGCTCCGACCCCTGGGACACAACTAGCTCACGTCGCCTCTGGGCCCAAACTTACCGCCCACAATGCGCCTCTACACCACCACCACGCCCCGGAGGTTCTCCTCGCTCTCGCGGCTGCTCTCGGTCCTCCTGCTCCTACTCGTCGGGGTCCCGGCGGCGCGCGCGCAGTTCGGCTTCTTCGAGCAGATGTTCGGCGGCCAGCAGCAGGCGCAGCAGCAAGCGCAGCAGCAGCAGCGCGGCGGCGGGGGGCCACAAAACGTGCCCAGTGACAGCTCCATCTACCGCAACAACTTCGATCGCATGCACTGCGACAACTACCTCTGCCCGGACACGCTGGGTGCGCTCCCCTCCCCTCTCCCCCCCTGCTTCCGCTCCTCTTAGGGTTGAAAAGAAAAAAAAAAAACCAATCGTGCAGAGAAAGCGAACTAACCGCACCCCCCCACGCGAGCCAGCCTGCGTCCACTTCCCGCACCACTGCCCCTGCCCCTGGCCCGCGAACGAAGACAAATTCGAGACCGGCGCCGGCCACCGCATCTGCGTCTCCAAGGGCGGCTTCCGGCCCGGCGAGGCCGCGCGCAAGGTTGAGCTCGCGCGCAAGGGCCTTCTGTAAACAACCCTCCTGCTTAGACTACCCCTTTCTCCCGCGAGTTTTGGGAGGCCTGCGGATGCGAATGTAGACGAATATGGAACGGCGGAAGGATGGGAACGGGTTGGCTGGCTGGCTGGATCACGTCGAGGTTGAGTGTATACGCCATGTTTTACGCTGCTTACCACCAGAGTCCCGGTGGCGACATCCCCGGAAACCAGGACGCGGGTCAAGGTCCGTCACGGTTTGAAGGTGTGTACGCACGCATAGCAGCCACGTATGCATTTCCTTGCAACGACAAATGCACAGACCGACGGGCGGTCGGATTGCGGGGAGTAGGATATTAGGTATATCTTGACAACCGCTCGACGGATTTCGCAGCCGCCTTTTCTACCCGATCGTCCGGCCGATGACCGTACTCTAGTTATCTAGAATAGACACTTTCTCAAACCCCTGGAAGGTAACGTGTGTTGTCTTGTATCATACGTACATATTGTGTGTGTAGGTATGTATGACTATAAGGGCTACATGTATGAATATCTAGAAGCAAAGCGACAACGACAAGAACCAGCCACCTCTAGAAGTTACAGCCGCTAGACACCTGGCTGTCGAGGTGGGAATTCGACATCTCTAATAAGTAATCGAAGTAGTGATCGAAGAGGGCAAAAGGGGGGGGGGACGAGGAGGAGAGGGAAGGGGAGGAGGGTGGGGGGTGGAAGTGAAGGGGAAAAAAAAACAAAAAACCAGTCTACTTTGGCTTGTAAACCACCACCACCCACCACCACCATCACCACGCTGACCCCCTACTCCTATCACCACCGCCGAGGTGGTATTGTACGCCTTGGGGAAAAGCAAACGAGAAAAGAGACGACGGCCAGGTAAACACAAGGTCAGGGTATGGTCTGTTCTACCCGGCCTATCTTTTGAAAGGAGAAAATAAAAACACCATCCAACATGCATATCTCCCTGATTCGCAATCACCGTTGTGCATGCAATCATCCCCGATTCTATTTGTCCGTGCCTACTACCCCTTCTATAGGACGACGGTGATGACACACGCACACTCACATACACAAGCACCCTTAGGAAGCACAGCCACAGGGAGATGTATGTGGTCCCTGGTACTGTTTTCCTTGCACCCGCTTAATCGCCAGCACCGACCTTAGCGCCGTTGATCCTCGGCACCGGGGGCACGCCGTTGCGGTCGGCGTAGTTATCCTTATCATCGTCGTCCTCGATCTCATCGAGCGATTCGGGGTGGCCGAGAAAGCGGGCGACATCTTTCATCTCGTAGTGCTTCTTCCGCAGCTGCTCGAACTTGCGGTGCTTCTCGCGCTCTTCGGGGGTCATGAGCAGGTACTCGTTCTCGGCATCGTGCTGGGGCGTCGCGTCCTCGTCGCTGACGTGCACCTTGCTCTTGCTGTGCCGACCGTTGTTGCGCGCGGGGCCGAACTCGTCCTCGGGCACCTCCTCCTCCGGCTCGCCGAGCGACAGGCCCGGGATCTCCTCGCGCCGGGAGCCCCGGCCGTCGAGGGCCATCTCGACGTCCTCATCCTCGTCGTCCTCAGACGGTTCATAATGCCTAGCGTACGGCGTCTTCGGCTCGGTGATCTTCATAGTCGACGTGCGCTCCTGCTCGGTGAGGTAGAGATTCGCCTCGTCCCATTTCAGACGCTGGTTGCCGTCGAAGACCTCGTCGTCGATGGCGGAGCCGTTGGCGGGAGCGCGCGACGACTGGCGGCGGGAGCCGGCGGGCCGGCTGGTGGTGCTCGAGGAGCGACGGTGGCCGGCGTTGGCCTGGGTGTTGGCTATAGTGAGCTCCTTGTCGGTGAGCTCAACTGGAGTCGGAGATGGCGGAGGTGGCGATTTCAGAAACGAGTTCTTTAAGATGCCTGATCGAGGCGGGGAACCAGCCAGTTAGCGCATGAAGCCCACTGTCGATCAGAGGCGCAATCTACGGCGGGGAAAAGAGTAAAGAAAGGAGACTGTGACGACGGCAAGAAATGACGTACCTCTGGGCCGCTTGACATCGGGGCTGGGAGGGACGTGAGGGTTCTTGGGACTCATAGCCACGGCTGCCATGTTGGGACTCTGGCGGTCGTACCGGATTCGTATGGTAGCTCTGGTGCAAGATTCGTGATAGTTGCCAAAGGGTGGTAAAAGAGACGGGTTGTGGTTAAAACCGTCGAGTTGAGGATATCATCAGGGACCGAGGTGGAATGACGATTCGTCGGGGCCCAACCGGGTAGAGACCTGAGCGGGCTTATTGTCGGTTATGCTCTGAATAGCAACAACCCGCTGTCCGGATAGTCTGTTATTTTGTTTGCCCCGGACCTGCGGGTCGAAGGGTTGTGTGTGCGTGTCTCAGTCTGTATCGGATGGACCTATACGGGTCGTATGTTTGGTTGTATGTTGGCAGATTTGTGGAGGCCGAGATAGCCAGATGATAGAAGGGGTCGGAAGGGAGCGTGAGAGGGCGCGGGGGAAAAGGGCACGGGGTTGAGAAACAGATGATGCCTGGGGGGCCTGCAGAGGAAATAATGGGCTAATGGAGGTGGGCGTCGTGTTATTTTCGACGGGCGACCGAGGTATATGTAAGCACTATATGTACGTATGTGAAATATATGTATGACGGGGGGGCGTGCGAAATGGGGGCGGGGACCCCTGCTAATGCGATAATATTGGGGGTGGCCGTTCCGCGCGATTCGGTAAAAGAGATATAGGTACCCAACCAGTTATGTATAGGTAGGTAGGTATGTATATAGATAGGTACTTAATGTGCCTATTAGGGTCTATGACAGCTGGAGGTGCCCGCGGCTCTCCGGGTTAGGCGTAGGCACGTATAAACGCGGTATTAGGCGCTGAGAGTATACCAGAGGGAGACAGGTGTGCTCCTGGTACGCAACACGGGAAGATGAGATGCAAAGGACTATAGATATAAACACCGCCCCGGGTTACCCGGTATGGAGGCGAAGCGTAAAAAGGGTGAGCGTGCCGCAGTAGCAAGTTTCTACTAGTGCACAACGAGGATGTAGGGATATAGGAAGCGTTGGCGTCGGCGCCCACAAGGGGAAAAGGGGGGAAATATACCTAGGTGGACAGATAGGTAGGGCAGGCAGGTTAGGTAGCCAGTCGCCTGAAGCAGGCAGGCAAAGCAACGGTCTGTATGTATTGTTGGCGTCGTATTCTCTCACCCATCGTGGCATTCAGCGGTGCACATTGATTACATTGCCCACCTACATATGTAAGTGAGCTTCCGTGCACCCCTCCCTTCAGCATCTTCAGCATCTTGGTTTCCCGGCTGTGCCTACGGGCTCGTGCTGTGGTCGTGCCGTGCTGTGCGAGGGCAAAGCATTTGTGCAATGGCGCATCGGGGGCATCGGTGTGCTGGCCATCTATCCGCGTGTGGTGACGGTGGTGTTGTCGATGCCATGTCGTGTGGCCTTCCCAGTGTCTCACCCGGTGGAGGGAAACCTGGTGACGGGTCCGAGATGGTATTCTCCCAGCCACGGCCAACGATGTGTATGTACACCGGTGTGTGCACGTTGTCCCCTATGCGACCACCTATATATACCCAATGCTGCTCTCTGCTACCGGTCATAGCTGGAGGCAACGTCTGGCGTCTGGTAGTTTATAGATATTATCCCTTTCTTTGTGGTGATATGCCCGACACCCTAATGTCGAGGGGAGACGATGAATAGGTACCTCCTACGGAGGCCAGGCTAGGTGCCTACCTAAGTACCTACCTTACCCAGACAGCCTGCACCTATCTCTTATCCAATCTTCAGGTGGTTGCTGCTGGGTCAGGCGGCAGGCCGCTGCTGACTGCGATGTACCCTGGGGACTGTGCACACATACCTACCTAGGTACCAACCCACCTACATACATACCTAGCGGTACCTAAGGTACCCATATACCGCCTATCACGGTTGCCCCGGCGGGGGAGGGGGCAGGGCGAGGGAAGCCACGGCTACGTCGTTACGGATGGAACTGCCCGACTGCGTATATCCGTCGTGGTTGCTGCAAGACTTTTGTTGATATCCTCGCACAGCACTGCGTGTGACGTGCAACGGAAGGTAGTTGCGGGGCTAATGCTGGGCGGTGCCTACCAATTCCCACCACACCTATCTAGAACGTTCCTACCGTCGCAACCTTTCATGGGAGCACCCGATCATCCTCTACAACCCCGCCAAGGTGTCCTCCGTGTACTGTCCCCCACCCGGCACAGGCGGCCTGGCTGCGCGTAGGTACCTGCTGGGTACACGTTCGGGTAAGAGACGGCAAGGTACCTGGGCCGCCGGCGTGTGTTGTCTCCAAACGCGAGCAGCTGCATTTCGCGGTGGACTATATATAATGGCAGGCACGAGCCTCTCCTCGGCGTTCTCGCTCGATCGAGCAATGATCACTCCATCCTCGCGTCACGTCCCGTCGCATCTGGATACGTACCTAACTACCTACCCCTAGGCAGCTCCTCTACTACTAGGAACAACCTCTTGGGGGTTGTTACGTATACAGCATAGGCCTCTACCCCGACATCCTCCTCTGCCCGGCCTATCTAGACATGTCCTCCTCTACCCCAGATATATCCTCTCCTCTACACGTGTTTCGCCCGCTGCTCCCCGTCGCATGCCTCTGATATGTGTATGTCTCCCTCGCCGGATCGCCTCGTCGTCGTCGCCGGTCTGCCGTTGACATCATCTCCTCCCAAGTGACCTCATGACGCCTCAGATTGGCCATTTCTTCGACCTCATTTCCTTGGCATCCCGGCCCCCCTCCACGGCGTCGTCGCATCGCCGGCCCAGCCGAGTGTGAGAGCCCAACGTCACCAACGCCAACCCCCTCAACCTCCCATCGAGAATCCGCCCTTCCTGACAAGCAGACATCGCACAGCACAGCACGCAACACAGCACAGGCCGGTCCCCTATTATCGCCTAGCTAGTGATGTGGTAATCGAGGTACCAGCACGGGTGTGCCGTTATTCGATACGAGTGGTATCCGATACGAGATGTCACCCAATAATACCCTCCGTGTCCATCCGCCTAATCCTACTCGTTTCGGCCTGCCAGGCCAGCCGCCCAGCTCATCTTCGTTCGGTACCTAATCTTTGCCTCCGGGCGTGTCTTTCGCAGGCTTACGTGCCTGTAATGCCCCGATACGGCTTGCGAACCTCTCCCCGCTAGGCTTGGCTCGCTTCTTTCCTGCGCCCCCCCTTTCCCGTCAACACGCTGAAGCAGGGCCATCTCGAAACACCAGAACTCGCCCAACCAATAGCTACCTACTTGTCGACATGCCCGCCTTCGAATATACCACGTAGGGTCGCCTCTCCCCTCGCATTCTATGCTTCGTGTCCGTGTGCACGAGCGAAGGCCGATTCGATTCCGCCGAGTCGGGGGCGCAAAATCACATTATCCTGCAACCCGTTACATGTCAGCCCAGCCTACCAACCCCCCTCCCCAGCCCTTCATCTCATCCCATCTCATCTCACCCCGTCCCACCGTCTGGTGGCACTTTTCGCCAATCCCTCGCTCGCCTTGCCCTGCGCCCGCAAATCGGGGAGAGTAAGATTTTTTTTCCTCGCCCTACCCGCTGCGCATGTCGCGGAACTTTTTCTCCTCGTCTCCGTCCTACTCATCTACCTACCGACTTTCTTACCGACTTACTTACCCACCTCACGAAGCGGGTCACGGTCTGGGGCAGCATGGATGTGTATATGCATGTACGATACGCCTCTTGTGTGTTCCGTTATGGCGCAATCTCGCGACGAAAGTGGAACGAAGCGGATAAGCCAGCGTACAACCCCCCAGCTCGCTTCTAGCTCATTGTCTCAACCTTGGTAAGACCCGATGCGTATATATGTAAGATGGTACGCACTGCCGGATAGGCAAAATGAGGAGCGGCAGCCGCCACACGGACAATCGCCGGCATTTCAGCTCCCTTCCGACAACGAGTAAGAATGAGAGCGGCGCGCACATGGAGGGCGCGACGCATATAGGCCCGTCGACCGGAGATGATGACACGCGCCGGCGTATTTGCCTCTCGGGCCTGCCACTCTAGCCGAGAGATTTTCACGTGTCCTGATGTTCGTTGTCGTATCTCGCGAGCGTCCAGTCCCGCACACGTATAGGCATGCCATCCGAAACGAGCAGGTCGGTAGGGCGGTCGGCGGGCAGAGGTCGGGCAACGCAGCACTGCTGCTCGAGAGGGGGCCAGACTGTCATGCAAACTACCAGGCAGCTAGGTCCGCGAAAACGACCCGGCTGGTGACGGAATGTGCGTATCTGTCTCCGTGTCTCTCTCTGGGGCCGTCTATCCCCTTACCTACCTACATGCGATCTGCGGTCTTGTCATGATCTCGGGGGGTCTATGCATATGCAGGACCAGCACGCTCCGTCCAGCATCCCAGCATCCTGCCAACGCCCCTACCTGCTTATCTGCCTATCTGCCAATCTCTATAGGCACGCGTGTGTGTCATGGCTCACTCGACGTTGCTTCCATCGATCTAGCAGCCTACGACCGATTCTGATATGTCAGGTCGTGCACGCAGCGAACGAGTTTCTGCGTCACAGAGGATAGTTATTGTGCCATCCGCACATGTGCAGATTCGTCCGGCTGTCTCTCCTGGAAGATGCCTACGACATGTATTCCGTGTGTGTGTGAAGCTTGCTTGCTTGCCTGCCACCCACCTGTCTATCGAGATGGCTTGAACGCGAGGAAATATCCGGATCGTCACTGCTGGCGTCCATCGCCCTACCTGTATTCGCGCATGTCGCGCCGAATTCGCAACCTACACCCTTCCCTCCCCCCCATCTCCTCCCGGGCTATGAACAATAATAGGCTGGCCGTTTGGCTAGAGGTGAGTGTCCGCCTACGGAAACTAAGCTGATACCTAGCAGTGATGACCCCCTAGCCGGAGAAGAAGCGATCTGGTTTCTTCCAGTAACAGACCCCCTCCAACGTTGTCTATCAAACCATTCACCCGCGCGCCCCCGTCGTTACACTCATACACCCATCTCCGCTGACGGATCGATTCCTCGCGCTCCGCCCTTCCGCCCTTCCGCCACTTCATGCTAACCCTTCTTTCCTGTCTACACTCGGGCCCGTCAGCCTTCCTGGATCGGGGGCGGTTCAGGCTCCAGCGCACGCGAGTTAGCTCCGGGGCGGCGCGTACCGCCCCAGGGAAGCCACGGGAATGATATACCTATATAGGTGTGCGTAGAGGTGCATTCGCACGTACGTACGCAAGCAAGGTAGAGCGGCTGCATCATGCGGCCCCCTACATCCCTTCCCTTACCTTCTCACCTCTCACTTCCCACCTATCTAAACGGGGCGGGAGATGAGATGAGAGGATATGGGTATGCATCGACACATCATATATGCACTTATACACACATGTGCGTGCGTGTGCTACATGTGTTGCCCCATTCCTCGGGGTACGCGGCATAGTCAACGAGGGCAAGGAAAGCCGCGTTCAGATGCTATATCTCCAATGCCCGACTTCGCCGCTTCCGGAAAGGAGGGAAGAAGGGGTGGGTGTGAATCGAGTACGTAAAAGTATATAATCATAAACGAAGCTACCCATGTGACGATGGAGGTAGCGGTTGCGGCAGCGGTAAGAGCATAGGAATAAGAGGATGAGATAAGGGAGGGAAAGGGAAAGTCAACAAGAGGAACGAAGGCGCTGATGAATACACCCCTTTTTCACGGCCGCATACACGCATAGGCATACACGTACACGCAAGTAGGCCGTGCAGGTAGGCAACCGACTGCTGGAGCATGCTTGACGCATCCTACCCCGTCAGAACCCTTAACGTTGCACTGGGCGGGACGGCGGCATCCCGGGCACTAATACTCGCGGCTCAGGATACGATAATGCGGAAGGGAGAGCCTTTGCAGCAGGCATTTGGGGTAAAAGCAACAACGCTCGCTCTCGTCCTCCCTCGATGCGCGTGCCTATCGCCTGTCTCGTCCCTTCTAGGCTTCTTTGCTTGCCCTCTCTTGCTTCCCGACGCGCCTCCTCGTGCGATTGAGGCGAGGAGGACGGGGACGGGGACGGGGACGGGGACGGGGTGGACATCGAGGGATGGGGTAAGATAGGGCTAGGAAGGAGAAGGAGGAGGTAGCAGGAAGAAGCACGGGGATTCTCGGCGATTGGGCCGCTAGGAGCGGCCGAGAAAGCTGCATATGGAGTATGTTATATCCTGCTGGGTATTAATACAGTCGCCGGAAAATGCAGACCTCTACGCCTACACCTCGGGAGTCGGAGACGTAGGCGTATACAGCTTCCTCTGGGCGACGTTACGCCAGTCGGGTGCTTGGGCCGAGAAAGGGAGGGAGGGGAGGCCAGGATATGTGCCTAGATAGGTAGGTTGATAACAGGGCGAGGCCAGGTAGACGAACGTACGATACCATCCACCTATCCATCGATACGGATAGGCATGCTAACACGTTGTAGGCACGACGAAGGATGGCACCGTTCACAGCTTGCACCCTTACGACACGCAACATGACGACCCTATAATATACACGTATGCGCCCACACAACATCGAACGCATGTATGGATGTAGGTGGGTGTATATAAATATTTCTATGATACCTGCCTAACCTACCTTCCTACTTGGGTGTATGCAACTACACCGGGCACCTCATACACAAACCCTACCCGGGGCGCCCAGCGCTTCCCTCCGGCCCCTCCGGCCCCGTTCGTCCCGCACCTTGTCCCGCAGCCCCTTCCAGCTTCTTCACTACACACACACGTACACCCTCACACCATGCACACCCTCACACCCTCTTACTCTCATCCCAGGCCCAGATCCAGGCCCGGGCCTTCGCTACGTGATACGTGCCTATACGCGGACGCACTCGCTTGCCATTGCCCATACCTGCCTCCCGTCCGCCTGCTCGCCTACGCGGTACCGAGCCAGTACGCGCGCAGGCGTGCGCGGACACCGCGCCTGTCCCACATACCTCTCTCCCTCTCGCTCCCCTGCTGGTGCTCCTCCTTCGCAGCACGACACAACGCACGCCATGGGTAGGCACGGCCGGTCGTTGAGGGGGGAAGAGCGAAAAAAATTATCAAAGCAACAACTCGCGGCCAATGCCCACCTCTCGTGCGTGCCTACCTACTTACGCAAGCTATCTGCATCCCTCGCGCGCGCTCTCCCTACCGTATCTCGATCCCCCTCTCGATCCCCCTCTCCCCTTCGACGGATCGGCCGATCGATCCTGCAGGCCTGGAGACGTGGAACGGACCGCGGGGGGGGGAGGGGGGGGGACGGACGGCAGGGACGGGCAGGCGAGCGCGAGAGGAAGTGAAGGCGAGAGGGGGGATAGAGGAGCGAAGGGGAGGAGGAGGACGACGAAGAAGAAGAGAGAGAAGGGAGTGCTTAGTGGGTGCGGTGCGTCGTGAGCACACGGGAGCAAGCGGGCGCCCTCGGCTGCCTTAGGCGCCGTCTAACGTGCTAGGCAAGAGGAGCAGAGCGAGGCCTAGACGCATCTCTCTGTGTTCTCCTGCCTGCTCGGTGCCGCTCTTCTTACACAGGTATTCGCCCCTGTGCTGCTGCATTTCGCGCTTGCTCTGCCTACCTGCCTACGCCTCTACTCGACTTCTTCCCGCCGCTCCCGCCGCCTCTGGGCCACCCACCCGGTCTGAGTGGCGTGATGTCCCTCGTCTCGCTGCCGGCGACGGGTGATCGACCGGTCGGGAGCGTGGCGGTGGCGAGGAGCAAGAAAAGGAGAAGACAAAGATAAGGGCAAGGAGAGGTAGTGATGCTGTTTACTTTTCTCATTTTTTTTATTTTATTGAGTTTTTTTTTATGTGGAAGACGAGATGAACTCCTTTCAGCTATCAAGCCATCTCACGATACATGCATCAAATAATCCATTTCCCAGTCCATACAAGTGCCTTCATGCGGTGCATAATGATGTAGCTATCCGGACGCCGACGCATGCACGCAGGCCAGGCGAGGAACCAGAGTGCGACAAGCCGCTGTCGGGTCTCAGTCTTCGTCCTCGTCCTTCTTCTCTTTCTTTGCGGTCTCTGACCCCTTCTTCCGCTTGACCTCGCGCTTCTTCGGGCGCAGCCAGGCCTCCATGCCGACCGGCCAGTAGACGCGGTTGTCGGGGCCGCCCATGCCGACCTCGGCGTCGGGGACGGGGGGTGGCGTCGCGCCGAGCCCCGCCTCGTCGTCGTCGCCTCGCTTCTTGGCCCAGCGCGACTTCTTGGGCGGCGGCGGGTTCTCGTCGGCGCGCTCGTGCGGCACCACGTCGTGGATGCGGTCCCAGCCGGGGAGCCGGAACTTGCGCATGAGGTCGAAGACGGCCTGCTCCTTGTCCTTGGCCTCGATCATGAGGTCGGTGTCGGGGGGGCAGGGGGGCAGCGTGGCGACGCGGGGGCTGTGCCTGCGGCGCTGGCGCGGCGTGACGGCGCCGGCGCGCGGCTCGCTGTAGTGCATCTTGGGCGTGATGCCGCGCGGGGCCCAGGTGGCGCGGATGCGGGGGAGCAGCGGGACGAGGTCGCGGGAGCCCTCGCGGACGCGGGCGCGGTCGAAGACGATGTTGTGGTGGTGGAAGTCGAGCACGAGCGGGATGCCGAGCTCCTCGCACAGGGGCAGCAGGTCGTGCACGGACCAGGCCACGTCGTCGTTCTCGAGCACGAGCCGCGCGCGCACGCCCGGCGGCAGCGCCGCGTAGTTGCGCCGGAACCGCGCCAGCGTCGCCGCCTTGTTCCCGTACGTCCCGCCCATGTGCAGCACCATGACCGCGTCGCGGTCTAGCTGCGCCGGCAGCTGCAGCAGCGACAGCATCTCGTCGTGGTACACGAGGTCCCGCACCGAGTTGCGGAGTACTTCCTCCCGCGGCGACGCGAGCTGCGTGTACTGGAGGAGGAGGGGGAGACGCGGCCATAAGTCAGCACCGCCGGCAGATCGAAAAAGAAAAGAGAAAGAAAGAAAGAAGGAATAAAGGAAGACGTATTTACCTGTCCCGGATGCACCGTCAGCCGGTGGCCCAGCTCGGCGGCGACCCGACCGGCTTCGGCGAGGGTCTCGGAGGCGAAGGGGGCGAGCCGGTAGCCGTAGACCTCGTGGCTGGCGAAGGGGAACATCTCGGAGCTGAGGCGCATGAACTTGATGCCGTAGCGGTCGTTCCAGCGGAGCATCTTGACGATGTCGCGGGCGTTAGCGAGGCCGAGCGCCTCGACGAAGCGCTGGCCGCGCGCCAGGTCGGCCGGCTGGGTCTTGTCCGGCCGGTTCTTCCTCGCGTGCTCCGGCCGCGTCGGGTCCCGCAGCGGGTGCCGGTGCTCCAGGATCGACGCGATCCGGCACGTCCGCGAGCTGAACACCGACGGCTGCGTGTGCCGCAGGTACGTGTTGAGGCAGGCCTATGCTGGGTCAGCCATCTGCCGCTGTTCTGCTTCGGCTCGTACGGATGATGAACGCTCGGGGGGTTGGCTCACATAGCCCAGTCTCCCTTTCCACGGCAGCGGCAGGTAGTCGCTGTTTACCGGCGGAGGCCTTGCCTCGTCCTGCATCCACGCGCCCGCGTCGGCGTCGTCCCAGGCCATGTCGTCGTACCTGTCGTCCCAGGCCACGTCGTAATACCCGTCCTCCCTATCATGCAGCTCGCCGTCCGCGTACGCATCGGCGATCCGATCGTCATTGCTGCTCGCAAGATCCCGCTTCTTGCTCTTGCGGACCCGCTTCGCCGGTTCCGGCGCCGTCACGTCCGCCGCGTCCCTCTTAGTAACCTTAGGCAGGGCGGCTGGCTCCGCGCTCTCCGCGCCCGTGCCCGCTAGGACCTCGCTCTCGTCCAGGGCCAGCTTCTGACGCTTGACGGAGTCGCGCAGGCGGTCCTCGAGCCCGCGCCGGCCGTTGTACACGTCCGCCGCCACCTCTCCCACCTCTCCCACCTCTCCCATCTTCTCCTCCTTCTTCTTCTTCTTTTTCTTTTTCTTCACCTTCGCCTCCGTCTCAGCCGCGGCCTTCGTCGACGCCGAGCGCACGCTTCGCCCGCCGAACGGGCCGGCATCTAGCGGCGGCGGCAGCTGTCGCGCTTGGTTCTGGGCGAGGCGCCCCGATCTCCGCGGGGCCGTGGTCGTGGTCGTGGTCGGATGCTGTGCGTGCGCGGTCCTCTGGAGCTGGGTCTCCGCCGGCGGCGGTGCCGCCGTACTGGCCATTCTGGTAGATATACCACCGTGTCGGTGGCGACGCGTCGATGGATCGCGCGAGCCCGGAGCATAAGGGCCGAGAGCGCGCCTAGGTCTAGTGCGGTAGCAGCGAATCGGATTCCGGGAGGCGACGAGCATCCAGGAGGTGAGTAGGTGTGTGCGGTGGGCGGGAGGTGGGAGATTTCTATGACGGCCGCATTTCACGAGATTGGCCCGGGAGGCAGGTATGTAGGATCGATATGCGGTGGCGGGCCGAGCACGCCAGGACTGGTTCAGGTTTACGCGCGAGACACAAAAAGCAGGAGGACAATACAAAGCGGATGTGAATGCGATCGGCGCTGGGGAGAGCCCCGCTCCGCAGAGTCGCGTAGCCCAGCCCGGGCATCTCATTATAGCCGCCGGACCCATGGTAGGTAGGTAGGTACGCAGTCCGCAGGCCTAGGTACCTAAGCAGATCGATCGTCCGACTAGACGCGCCAAGCCGATAGCACGGGGCTTTTGCTCCGTGGGTTAGACGAGGAGAGGGATTCGGCGGCGGCGGTGACGTTAGCGCGATGGGGCTAGGAGCCGGCATTCCGGGGGCGCGGCGCGCGGCGATGGCGGCGGCGTGGTGGGCGTGAGGTCATCGGGGCGCCGGGGGGGCAGATCGATGAAATCATGCTTGCGACGATCGCGGCGAGGCATTCCCGTAGCGGGATCGAGAGGGGCGAATATGCTTAGAACTAGGTAGTACCTATGTCTGGGGATGATGCGAGGGGACGCGGGGGGTCACGTGCGAGGAGCTCGCGGTATGTCTCTCAGCTCGGTATAAGCATACACGGTATACTCGCATACTCATATAGGCAGGCACCTATATCTGCTGTCTTAACCCCCGGGCGAGACGTTCCCACAACACACAGGTATACCTCTCTATCCTGCTGCCCACTCACAAAAACCAAAAACCTGCCACTAGGTACCCCTACCCTCCTCAAAAGATCCAGAACGCGATCGCCGGCAGCGGCGGGCGCTCGCGGTAGTCAGCCGCGGCCTGGGCCTCGACGTCGTCTTCGTCCGCGGCGGTGGCGGTGGGCCGCTGGTAGTAGGGCGCGCGGCACAGCGGGCAGTCGTACTGGTCGCGCAGGAACCAGGTGACGAGGCAGCGGGCGTGGAACTCGTGGCCGCAGCGCCGCAGCCGGAGCGCCTCGTCGCGCGCCGGCTGGGGCTGGGGCTGCGGCTGCGGGCCCTTCGGCGCCCCCTCCGCCTCGCTCGCGTACAGGCTCGACAGGCAGATCGAGCTACCCCCGCGCCCGCGTCAGCACCGCGTCTACTACGCACCGTCGGGGGGAAAGGGGGGTGGGGGGGAGGGAAGAGAGAAAGAGAGGGGCCCGCTCACCACGTCGCGTCCTCGGGCTCCGTCCGCCGCGACCGCCGGTCGCTCACGCTCTCGAGCTGCGCCAGCGCGCGCTGCAGCGACTTGGTCAGGCGCGGCGCCGGCGCGTCCTTCGCTGCCGCCGGCTGTGGCGGCCGCGCGCTGCTCCGGCCGCGCCGCGCCGTGTATCTCGCGTACCTGCCGCGACCGTGTCAGTCTGGTTGGTGCGTCGCCGTCTCCCCCTCCCCCTCCACAGTGGGCCCGCGCGCAGTAGGGAGCCTCGTCGTGAGATGGTAGGCAGGCAGGTAGGCAAGACAGGCAGGCTCACAGCGCTATGGCGACGATCGCGCCCGCGATCGAGAGACACGATATCACGATGGGTTCCCAGCCGTGGCGCATCGTGTCGGCGGTGGACAGCGCGGTGGTGGTGGTGGTGGTCGTCGTTGTCGGTCGTCTTCGTGGTGCTGGTCGCTCGTCGAGCGCCAAGATAGGTAAGGGTGGGCGGATGTATGCGTCACCAGCGTGCTAGCCGCCTCGGCCGTCTGGTCGTTAAAGAAAAGGGGGCCGGGAGAGAGGGGGGCCGTGATACATTCCAAGCAGCTCGGCGAGTACAGAGGGTCTAGCAACGCGGTGAGACCCTGGCGCTCCTCGTTCAATGGTGAGAAAAAAAGGGCCCCCCCCCGTGGCCAGGCCCGCAGCCTGGCGATTTACGGTTTCTTTTTATTTTCGCCCGTCCAGGCCTCTTCCCCTCCCCTCCCCTCCCCGTCGACCGCGCGGAGTTATCAGCGTAGAAATTGGGCTCGGCAGTGGGGAAATGCCGGCCGGCGAATGGGTTACCTTCAGCCGTACGCGTCCCTTGCATTCGCCTCTGACAAATGCAGATATGTTCGGTGAGGTGCCCTCTCGATTCGCACGAAAAAAGTCACTGCTCGGTGTGACGAAGCATGGCCCTGTGAATCCGTAAGCTCAGGAGGTAGGTCAAATGCTCTCCCTCTATTAAGGGACGCTACCGATGTCTCGAGGAAGACGACGCCGGGTAAGCGGGGATGATATGTCCGATACGACGCAAGGCGAACCTGTTGGACTCGGTTGTCGTATATGTCTTTATATATGTTGTATATATAAATAATGTCATCCCCATGGCCGTGAGGTCTACATTCAATACTCTAGCCCCCCATAGCCGTCTATCCCTTTCTAATTGGCATGTTGCCTCTAATCCTAGCTCGCCGTGCCCCTGTGCTTCTCTGCCACAGCATCATCCTTGATGCGATAGGCTCCCCGGACCAAAAAAAAAAAAGAAACAAGAAAAACAAATGAAAATGGACGCAGGTTGGTACCGATGCCATGCAACCCATCTACCGCTTAGTCCTGCGGCCGTGTTTCTTGTGTGAGGAGACATAGCAGAGTAAGCCACCAGAAGAAAGCGTTGGTTGGAGCAAAGGGCGAGCGCCATCCCGTCGCGCATGAAGGTGGCGTTGCGGGACAAAAAAAAGACAGGGTGGCGGGACTTCTGTCCACACTCACCTAGTCTTTTGCCTTTTCGCTCCGGGCTCGTCGTCTCGCCTGATGCTCGATCTCGTCTTCTCGACCTTGCCGTACGCGAAGTCTACCGCCTCTTGCAGCAGGGCCTTCTCGCCCCATCGCACCACCGCAGCCATCTTCTGCCGACCCGAGACCTTGTCTCCCGACACCAAATCATAGTCGTACGCTTGGCTCGTCGTGTACTGGGCCAGCTTGAGTTCTAGAGCGCGGTGGATGGTTGACAGTGTGATCTCGTCCCGCTTCGCCTTGTCGGGGATGGTATCGGGGCTCACGTGTCGGATAGCCTTGAGCAGCGAGTGGATTTGCTCTATGAGGTCTGTCGGGAGCTCCTTGAAGGTCGCTGCAGCATCCAGTTCGCCCCTCGAGTTGGGCTCTCCCGAGTCTCGTTCGATGACAAAAGCGTCTTCGATCTCCTCCAGGTCGAGTTCGTTGAGCTACAGCCGGTCAGTAAGTGGCACGCCGGGGAAGCCAATAAAGAGGATAGAGAGGTAAGAGAGGGAAGGAGGGGGTGTAATCGGGCCTGCTACGTACCGCTTTCCCCCATACCCTGTCGTCTAGTTGGAGAGCGTCCCTCAAGACGGAGAGGACTAGCTCCCAGGATATCTCTGCAACGTCGTAGCGAGCATGGTGACTGGTTACATAGCCGTAGCGCCGCAGCAGCTCCCCATTGCCGAGAGGCCCGTAATAGTTGAGGATCTCGGCGCCCGCTGGGATCGGCCGCAGGGCCGTGACCGTCAGGCAGTCCTCGCCGTGGTTTACGTGCGCCTGCGAACGACGGTCAGCGACACACGGGTCTAAGCAAGCACAGACGGCAGCAGTCCTCGCTCACGTTGAACTCGGCGTCGGCGTTGAGGATGTCGGCCATCGGCACCAGGCCCATCACGGTCGACCCCTCCCGGTCGACGACCCAGCCGTCGCCGTCCTCGCCGTCGCCGCCGTCCTCGTCCTCGTCCTCGCTCTCGAGGTCGAAGGCGTACGCCATGATGGTGCTGCCCATGCGGTGCGCGAGCGCGAGCAGCTCGTCCTCGGCCAGCCGCGCCGCGCCGGCCGGGTAGAAGACGTCGGCGTGCGCCTGCACGACCGGCAGCACGCCGGCGCGGAACATGCCGTCGGCCTCGTCGCGGCCGATGCGCCCGACCACGGGGCTCGCCTGCAGCTCCGCCACCTCGCGCCCGTCCCACCACATCGGCGTCTCGAACCGCGCCGGCAGCACGTCCAGGTACGGCTTCCAGCGCGAGCCGTCCCCCTGCAGGAACTCGTAGATGGCCACCAGGATCAGCGCGACCCAGTTATCCGGGGCCCCGGCGGCGGCCGCCCCGCCGCGACCGTTGGCGTCGCTGCCGCCGCCGCCAGGCAGGCGCATGTGCGGGTCGTCGTCGGCCTCGTTGTCCGACGCGTCCTCGAGCCCGGCCGTCGACGCCTCGAAGAGGTGGGGCAGGCGCCGCGGCAGGTCCGAGGTCCGCGTGCTGAGCACGGCGGCGCGCGGGATGCGGAAGAGCGTGGTGTCCTCGGGGATGTCGGCCGTGGCGACTGCGACGACGCGGGAATTAACAAGAAGCCGGGGTAAGACGCGGGGGAAGGGGATAAGAGGGTTAGGGGGGTATATCCTCCCTCTCGGCTCAATTTTCTCCCGAGACACACGAAAGTAGAGCTAGAGGAAACCAAGAGGGATGAGACGAGATGAGACGAGATGAAGACAACGCACCGATTCCGCGCCCGGCCCCGCGGCCGCGGAGGTCCTCGATCCTAATGTCCGGGTGGAAAGTAGCGCCGGGCCAAGCCGTGAACCAGCGCAGGAAAGCCGCCGACTTGGCGTCGAACGCGGGATCTGACATCGTGATGGTCTCCGTCCTGCTCGTCCCGGCAACGAGAAGAAGAGGAAGAGAAAACGAGGAGTGATGGAGGTGGGAAGACGGGTGGTGGAGTGCAGGATGACGGCGGAGTTTCTCTCACCTGCGAAGTTCGGTGTGTGTGCATAGTCCCGACGCAGGTACCGAAAATCAGATGAATGAATAATTTTGGTCCCTACAGCTGCACCCTTCGGGCATAGCCTCGGATGTAGCTCGGCGACACTGTGCTGCATCAGGTAACAGGTCACGCACACGCTTAAGTGCAAAACAGCCGCTGCGCACATGTCTGCCTAACTGCATACTACCACCCCTACTCAGGATGGGTACCGTGATACTCACGAGAATCCACGCGGGAGCTGGCATATCGTAGCGCAAGGTAGGGTAGCTAAGAAAGACCGAAAATGGATGTTCCCGAGACGCAGAGATAAAAAGGAGACGAACACACACGAAAAAGAAAACTCCTCCCCTTACCAGCACCTAACACGAGGAGCGACAGTGGCACGTAGGTATAAGAAGGCAGGAGAATATGTAGGTATAGCTGCGACCCAGACAACAACAAGAAAACCCAACACAACCTACAGACTTGGAAAGGAAAAAATTCGGCTACGGGTTAGGACCTCTTGGGGCGAGGGTGTCGGGAACGGCGGCGTGGAGGCGCTCATGGGGGGTTTCGAACCGTAGCCTCTACGTTACGCTCCCTGCAGTTTGGGCCAGGGCGCCAGAGCACACCACGAGGCCCCCGGACGACGTAGAGTGCCCTGGTTTTTGGAAAGTAAGAGGCCTATCAGGTTATATGAGGCCTGGGCCAGGTCGCGTGGGTGACGACGGTTGCTGGGGACGAGCGTGTCGTTGCTATGCCAGGGCGAGGGGGGACCGGGGGCCCCGGGGGCCGCAAATAGGGCAGAGCGAGGTTTACACGGGGCGGACCGAAAAAGTTCATTAAGCATCACGAATAGTCTGAAGACGAACACCGACTAGATCTCGCGTACACGATACCAACGCGTCGATAGATACCTACAACATGTTTTAGCATACGTCAGCGAGCGACGCGTACCGGTCTTCACGGCCGCTTGTGGCATGTATGCTTTTCCCTCGCCGCGAACGGCGCCGAGCTGTCCAGCACCGAGCCCCAGAGCGGATTCTGATATTCCAGCCGCTGGTGGAATGTGACGAAGTGGGCGAACCGGTTCCGCAGCTCGCGGTGCGCCATCATGGCCTGCACCTCTTCGTCTGTCGTGCCACGCAAGATTTCGTCATCATCGCTCGCCCCCGCCGCAGCCACCGTATCCTCGAGCGACCGGAACGGCTTCTCGGCGCATGCGCAGACGGGCCACTCGCCCGAGTCGGCGTCACCCGAGCCGGAGTCGTCGAAGATCGGCGGCGGCGGCACGACGCCGTGGTCGAGGTACGCGCGGAGGTGGCCGATGGTGCAGGGCGAGACGCACGAGACGGTGCAGTGGCCCTCGGCCGTCTGTTCGACGATGCTCGCGTTGGTAAACTTGCGCGTCATCTTGAGCGCTGCGTGTAGCGGCGTCACCGGGTCTAGCTGGTTCGAGAGGAACAGCACTGGGAAGCTCGTGTCGATCGGGTCCGCCCGGTGCGCCGGGTGGTCGTCCCATCGCATCGGCGGGTCCTTTGCCTCGATCCCCCACCCGTTGCAAGCCAGGTTGAAGCCCACGTTCATCCACTGCGGCGGGCGAAGGGTCAGAAAGTACCTACTTTGGGGGGCGATGATGAAGAGAAAAACTTACGATATCGGCGAACTCCGAGTATTCGGCCATCTTCTCAAAGTCCTTCTGCAGCTCCGGGACGTCTTTATCGAGCTGCCGAGTGTCAAAATTCAGCATCTAAAGGGACCACGACAAGCCCCATCACTTTTCTTACCTTATATCGCTTGTCGCTACATCCTATCGCCTTCTGGGCGTCATCCGGCCACACAGGCAAGGTCATATTTTTACAGAACGTGCCGGGGGACGGCGCTGAGGCAAAAGAGTCCAGTTGGCCGACGGCCGCGGCTCGGAGAAGGAAGGAAATTAGAGGGAAAACCGCAATGGGCGAGTATAGCGCCGAGAAAATGAGTAGCTTGAGGTCGCCAGCCGTCACTAACAAGGGTACGTTGCCGTTGGGGGGTATGACGATCGCGGGCTCCTTCTCCAGCTGGCTCATGAGGACGTCGTACCTGTTTCTCAGGTCCTCGGCCGTCTCCCCAAACTGGGAAAATGGGCAGCGTGGTCCCGCCTTGGCGCAGTACACGAAGAAATTCTCCCAGATCGCATCGGCGTCCAGGATGTTGTCCGCCGCGACCGGGTTGACGTAGTGGTCGGCGTCCACGACACCGTCTAAGATGAGTCGGCCGACTTTGTCCGGGAACATGGACGCGAAGGTTGCACCTAGGACGGTGCCGTAGGAGAGGCCCCAGTAGACGAGCTTGCCCTGGGTGCTGTCACCCGGTGCCAACTTATCAATCGGTTGAGCCTCGCGGTCCGCGCCCTCGGAGCTGTGCGTGGGCTCGACAGATTTGGTTGCGGGGACGGCTCTCCACTCGTCCCAAGCGTGGACGATGGAAAGCATATCTCGGGCGACGTTGGGGGTATTCAAGTACCGGAAGATACTGCTGTCGCCTTCGGCCTCGTCGACCCGCTGGCAGAGCTTCGCGAGGGCGCGGGCCCTAACATCATGCTTGGCGAGGGCGACGCTGCTCGAGTTGATGAGGCCGATCTCGTGGCCCGACGCGATCCAGTTCATCCGGTTCATCAAGGCGACGTTGCGCCCGTCCAGCCCGAGAAAGTCGGGGGGGCTGGCAAAACAATCGGCCTGGGGGGTCGTGGCTCCGACACCGCGAGGGTCGAACCCGATGATGTCCCGTTCGGTGCCGATAGCGGTGTGGATTATCGATCCGGCAATAAGGGCAAAGATGGCTCCGCTGCCTCCAGGACCTCCCGGATTTATAAGTAAGGGGGAGTCGGAATAGGACGACGGATTGCTAGTGCGATTGCGGGCAGGCTTCATGACTAGCGCTAGGTGGACCTTGGGGTGGTCCGCCGACTGATTCAGCGGTCGGTGGTAATCCATCGGTACGGTCAGCCGGGCACACTGGAAGTCATCTCCATACACGCCGAAGCATGGATGCCAGACGAGCTTCTCGCTCGGGGTGATCTAATTCAAGCCACAAGCGCCTAGGTTAACACTGAGATCGACATTACGTAGGTATTTTGGATTCTTAAGGAGAGAGAGAGAGAGCAGAGCCTACGCTGGACCATTCCGTCCATTCGGGAGGGCCTTCAGACGAGTCTCGGTGTCCATACTCTCCGCGGTAGTTGGCTTGGCCGGTACGATTACGGATAATGTGTCTAAGAGCACTGACGCCAGCGGCGACAGTCAGAAGCGCGACGCCTACGCGCGTCCAGTTCCAGGCTGGCTTCCTGGGCGACAGGCGGGGCGGTGGCGAAGTTACAACTTCTTGCTTCTCGCGGAGGAGAGGCGAATTCGAGAAATCTGACGATGCCATGGTCCCTCGGCGCAGGGGCATGGGACGGGTGGTTTCTGGTAGCAGACTGAGGAAGAAGAGGTCGGAGGGGTCGACTCATTGAGCGGGACGATGCTTTAGGGCCCGCGGCTGGCGCTGCTGCTGCTACTTATTCGAAATCGGAGCTCGAAGCTGGCGAGCGACACAGCCCCTTGGTGGCCAGTCTCAGATCCTACGACCAGACGAGACAGGCCAGGCATCTACAGGGTACGCGAGCCGCGGACGGAACCGAGCAGCAACAAGTGAGGTGGGATTGGCTAGTATGCCACGCGTTGTGCTGGACGCTGTGCTTGGCCGTCTTATTAATCCTAGACACATAGGCGGGACGTGCTGACGTCGCACGCTAGCTCGCAATGCCATCGGGGATTCGAACCGTAGGACGGGGCTTGGTCGCGTCGACGAGGTTGAGGAATCTTGCGCGTCTGCCATTCGGATGAAGTTTTCTGCAGATTTGATTTGGCAGGTACCTAGTTTCACCATAGCCGATGGTTAGCTACCTAGGTACATAGGGCGTCTAACCTCGGGATAGCACCTGGTTTTAGAAGTGCAGGTACTTACTTCAGCTCCCCGTTCCAGGAGACCGCGGGCCCTCGGTTAGCGGGTCTGGTGCGCTATCGGTATCTACCATAGGCAGGTTAGGTGCTAGGTTAGGTGCTAGGGGGGTTATTATTATAGGCAATGTCTAGGAGGTACGTAAGAGGTGGTAGGTACCTAGGTGGGTACCCAGCGCCCCTCCCCCTGAGCTCGCCGAGTAGAAGGAGATGAGCTAAATAACGAAGACTACCAGCGCCGTTAGGAATCGAACCTATCCTTTATTAAGAGGTAACCTACTGATCTGAGGGTATTCAGAAGTATGGGCGCACAAGCGCGGTTACGTGTGGCCATACTGCCACAACCGTAGGTAGCTTAGATAAACGGCTCGAGCCATAACGCACGAAAAACCTGAATAGCTGCAATTTAATAGCAATTGAGCCACGTTTCCTGAGACCGCTTTGCCACATGGTAGCACCTCCTTCGTTGTGAAGCTGAAGACCACGATTCGCTCGTTTACCCACGCCGACAGAGAGATAAAGCAATTGAGCAACGAGGCTCGAAGGAACTGAGCCGCCCAAGGGCAGCCGTATGACCACGGTTGAGCAACAAGCGAAGATTATCAGCCACCTCAACGATCGAATCGAGAAACAAGAACTTCTTCCTCGAGACCCATTTCGAGTCAATAAGGTGCCCTTGGGGTGCCTCTGACGGTGAGGCGAACTTAAACTTGCCCCTCTCTCGGTTTTCGCGTATCTCTCGATAGATGGCTTGAGTCCACTGCTCACGCTCAGGTTCATCCATTGCCTCCTTGAACGTCGGCTCGTTCACGCTCGTCTTGAAGGTGCTGTTTCTGTCGGGAACGCCCTCTCCGCCGGCGCGCCCTCTTGGATGCTGTCTGATCGTAAGGCAGCACACACCTCATCTGATTCAGGTGGTGCCTCTGAGATGTAGATCTGCGGCAGCTTCAATTAAAAAAAAAAAACAGGGACGTGGGTTTACGGGAAGGGAACTGACGACTTCACGAGCGCCTAGTCGGCTTGCTAGACGCTGGTAACGAACGTCGTCAAGTTCCTCGACGACTCGGCATCGACGGCATCGACTGGGACTGGGAGTATCCGGGCGTGCCCGATTATCGAAACCAACAGCCCAGCAGGAAAACGCAAAGCCATAGCAAAGAAAGCCGAAGCATCCAGTGCTGCAACCCGGACATCGGTCAAATCAGAAGCGGTGGTGGAATGCTGGGACGTTGAGCAGCAATCCCTCTCCGCCGTCTCAGCATTACGGAGTCGCATATCTAGGTATTCTCAACGTTATGCCGGACCGCAGTTCCAAGCCGCCCCAGACATAGGAAACTACTCCGCCATCTGCCCGGTCCAGTTCCTCAGGACTCTGTTACTGCCACTGCATAGCAGCCCGAGGGATTCCTCTTCCTAGAGTGCCGAATCTCTCCAGTCGAACTTTGCCGCCCCATCAACCCGACTCCACATGCCAGGCCAGAAACTACGATTCAATGCGGAAGTCGATACGGAGTCTCGCCCCGAGAGCTCGGATAGCACCCTCCTTCTTATATCGTAGATCCCATCGGATAAGTCCTCGGGGGCTAGATATCGCAGGCACTTTCTCAGTACCACTACCGGGAAAGGTTAGCAAACAGTGTAGTATCAGTTGCCCTTAGCCGAGTTCCAAGTGGCGCCTATACCGGCGCACGGATCCCCTTAGTAGCATGGCGGGTTTCCCTGTCAGGCGTTACTGCGAAAGCATTACCAGAACCTATGAGCAGATACACCAGGGACGCCCGTGCTGTAAGACGTGTGTTGCTGTCGAGGCTTCTCCGTTTTTCTGAGTTGGCTGGCCTCGCTCCGACCGGCCCCTTGCTCCGTCGATCGGAAGGTAGGTATGCGGTCTCGGCTCTTCTGTTGGTCGGTTGCGTGATCTCTGCATGTAGGTACCTAGGTAATAGGGGAGGACCCCCCAGAGCTGGATCTGGTGCCTCAGCGTAGCGCGTGCCTTGTCACGTAGCCAAGAGAAGGCTCTATCCAGCCAACAGGCACGTGGCGGACCGGTAGACAAACATGCTGAGGTTTGTGACGCAGGTTGAACGAGCAGGCGCTAATGACGGACAAGAACCTGAGAGGAGCAACCCCTTGGGCCGATCGCCAGCCGCTCTGGCCTTATCGCGCTGGTGTAGGTGTAGTCCATTATCTACGAAGGAGCGTGGCTGCGTAGTAGGGGAGGCTCAATAAGGTCCATAAAAGGGAGCGTGTCCGCTCATCGCAAGCCCGTTCCGACCTCTACAACATCCGCCCGCCCAGATCTACGGTGCACCACCAGTGCGTATTCGAGTACAGATCCGCGAGAACAAGGAACGCATAGCACACGATCTACTCTCGTCGAACCGACTACATACAACCCAGTATTCCCAACATCCGCCCACCCAGATCTACGGTGTACCATCAATACGTGTCCGAGTATAGATCCGCGAGAATAAGGAACGCATAGCACACGATCTACTCTCGTCGAACCGACTACAACCCAGTATTCCCAGCATCCTCATACTATCGAGTATATTGAGATCCGACCTCAGAGTATCCTGACCAAACCGACAAGGGCCCAATCTGTCCTCAATTGGGTAACGACCCCTACCGTCATCGCCCGTAAGTCTCTCCCAAGGTTTGCAGCATTAATGCAGATTAACTAACGATACTTCAAAAGACAATGTGTGTTCTCAACTAGAGATTGTACACGTGTGGCTGTAAACGAACGGAGAGATTTCGGCAATGCCGAGCAAGGGTTGGAACAAACACAAGGTGTGCTCACCTCAGGAAACACCAACTACGCAACTCTCAACATATGTGCCTTAGGCACATGGTGAAGGACAGAAGAGATTTCTGCAGTGCAGAAGAAGGCGTGGGACAAATACGAGGTGTACTCGGCTCAGGAGACACCAGCTAGTCGACTCTCCACACATGTGCCTTAGGCACATGGTAAAGGATGGGACTGACCCGATGCATCGGTAGACGAGTTCGGGCTGGGAGGAGGGGGAAGGGGTTGGATAGTATGATTAGGTATATGTCACGTAAAACGTAGACGCCAACATTTACGCTTTGCGGTATGTGGGCATACAAGGGCTGGTTCAACTGCTACGTGATAACCCCCTAGGGGTACACAAGGTACCTAGGTATATAGCAGCGATGGCACGAAAAAAGACTTCGTCTCTCAGGCGCGAGCGGTAGAATTGGCACTCTGAGTCGCGACATCGTAGCTCAGTGGGTTAGATAATAGAGGATAGGTTCGATTCCTGACAGCGCTACTTGGTAGTCTCTATTGTTTAGTCTATCTATCGTAGTGTTGAACTCTGGTAGCCGGCCGGTTGTTGTGAGAACTTGCGTGCGAACGAATGCAGACATTGCGAATAGGCAGGCAATATAGGCGTGGATTCACTTAGGTACCTACCTAATAGATGAGATCGCCAAGCGCGCCGACGACAAGGTTGGTGTGCCGTGAGCAGGGTTACTAGGGACGGCAAGAGGATCTGATAACGCGCGCGCGAATAGCGGCATGGCTACTACGCGAATATCGATAGAATACTACATGACTTGGGTAGGTATATACAAAGAACTCGACGAGCCTGCAGCTATCGTCTTTTTATCCTGGATTTCTCGAATCCGAACGCGCCCACACGCCACAACGCCCCCCCATCTTCTCTCTAACACATGACAGCGGGTCTGTCGTATCTATACAGTAGGCATCGCAGCCGCAGCGCAGCCGGCTCGCGAGTCCCGTCTTCGTCTGTAGTGTCTTGGTCTCGATTTTTTTCCTCTCTAGAAGCCTCTTCCTCCTCACGTAGACACGCACCACGAACAGAAACGAAAAGAAGAAAAAAAGAGAGAGAGAGAGAGAAAGAGGGAGGGAGACCGCCGCGCTAGCTCGTGCCCTGGTCCCACGCCTTGTACCCCTCGTTCTTCTGCCTCTGGCGCGTGTTCCAGCCCAGCTTCGCGCTGATGCTCTTCACCCAGTTCTCGGCCGCCGCCCCGGCCGCCGCCCCGCGCCGGCCCTCGGGCTGCACGCTCGCGAACGGGAACCGGCTCGCGCTGATGGTCACGTAGTCGCCCGGCAGGATCTCCACCCGCTCGCGCCCGTCGAAGCTCGCCCAGCTGCTCGTCCGCGCGTCGTACGGCACCCCGATCCGCAGCACGATCGTGTCCGGCAGCACCACCGGCCGGAACGACAGCGTGTGCGCGCAGATCGCCGTCACCAGCATCACCGGGTTGTCCGGGTGGCACAGCGAGCCCCCCGCCGCCAGGTTGTACGCCGTCGAGCCTGTCGGCGTCGCCACGCACACCCCGTCCGCCAGCACCGACGTCAGGTGCTCGTCGTCGCTGAATATCTCCGTGTACGACATTGCTGCAGAGCGTCAGTTCTAGTACCGAAACGGCGGCGTTCCGAGAAACTCAACTAGCATTAGGACCTCTGTCTACGACGATGTCGTTCAGGACTTCGTATGTGCCGTCGGGCTTGTGGGTGTGTTCGCCGTCTCTCTCTTCGCCGATGACTTCCTCTATGAGATCTCGCGATCGGTGCGGGACTTGCTCGCCTTCTTCCCCCTTCTTTTGGCTTCGCATGACCGTTCCTTCGAATCGCAGTCGTAGGCTGACAGACACGCCGTCTCGGAAGGCGGCGGTGAGGATATCTTGGTACTGGTTGAAGTCGAACTTGGTGAGAAAGCCGAGGCTGCCCAGCGAAAAGCTGAGCACAGGGGGGACTATGCGCTGGAAAAGCCAGCTGGCGTAGAGGACGGTTCCGTCGCCTCCTAGGGTGATGATGAAGTCGAAGGTGTGAGGCCGCGTGCGGCACATCTTCTCGTGCCAGAAGCGCAATCGATTCTCCAACCCGCCGGCGGGGGCATTGCTGCCCGGTTGCCCAGCTTCGCGATACTCCTCGCGAAGTTCCTCCAGCAACCCTGGCGCGTCGAATTCCTTGTTTTCCTCTAAGTTCTCCTCCACGTAGACGGTGTACCGCACATCTCGCTCTACGCTGAGCAGCCATTTGGCTAGCCAGCGCGTCTTGGGAACCAACTCGCGATCGTAGGGTTTGGTCAAGAGGAAGATGCTCCTAGCCCTGAACTTAAGCTTAATACTGCCTAATCTTCTGCTTAACTCTCGGACGCCCCAGGCCATATCGGTAAGTTGTTTCTTCGTGAGCAGCCGGCTGTTCAAATACTCGGGGTGGTCCAGGCCACTCGATTTTCTCTTCAGAGCCCTCTTCCACGACTTCTGGTCCACCTGTCCGGTCTCGGTGCTGGCATCACTCTCCAGGTCCGTAGCCGGCGCATTTGCCGATTTGCGGGCGCCTCGTTCGGGCTCCGGGCGCTCGTGTGCGCCGACCTGGATGGCACCCTCCTGGTTCCCATGGTGGTGTTCCTTATAGACTTCCCCGCTTTTGACACGGTCATCGTCGTGGTTATAACCCTCGAGGAATTGGTGGACTAGACATTGACTTGGTGAAGGCTTCGGCTTAGGCTTGGTAAGCTTCGGGTTGGCCACTTCGCTAGTGACAAGGGAGCTTTTGCGTCGATACGGGTTGCCCGGATCGAAGATGACCTGCAGCAAAGAGGGTCAGAAACACGACCAGATCGATAGGTTGGCCTATCCGAGACCTACTTCCACAGCGTTTCCATCTTCGTCACTTGCGCTAGAGTGGTGATCTTCCTGGTAATTGTACTTATCCCCACTGGCGCCTCGCGATCCACCAGCATTGCCGCCCTCTGATGTTGCCGACATCAGGACGGTACCAGTAGGCAGCAGCCGAGAGAGTAGAAGGAGACTTCACTTGGGCGAACGCGAGAAGGATTCCCGGTTCCGTGTTCTCTTATTTGAGGCGCATGGTTTGTATGGCAGGAGGGTCTCAGATTGGATGGTAGGAGAAAGAGAGAAGTGAAAGAGGAAGAGAGAAGGAGGAGGGAAGATCAAGTGATTGAAAGCCGTCGCGACAGAAACGCCAATGCAGGGGTTCTTACTAACGACCCCTCCATGAAGCTCTTATCGATAGGTACCAGATAAGGCAAGGAACCTGTAATATAGGCACATTACCTACCTACATGCCCTGAGGGCATGACGGTGGCGGGAAGCCAGTTCGTAAAGGAAGAGCGTCTCTCCTCCTAGCAGCGTTCCCCTCAAGTAGGTAGGTGAGATACGATGCCCTTCACATCGATATGAACACGGCCATCATAGGTATGGCTATTTGTATGGAGGCATGTCCAGCACCTAGGTATTACCTAGGTACCTACCTACCATATCCCTAGATTACTGATGCATCCCATGGCGGTACTTACTAACCCCTAAACCCGATGCCTACGTAGACTGGCATGAGATTATCTCGTCAGCAACTCGCTACAGAATATTCCATTAGGTACCCACACCCGAGGTTGGCGTATCTACACTAAGCATTAATTTACCAATAATCCCGGTACGGGTCGCCTCTCGCCGGCGGGTCGTTGAGATACTCCCGAAAGAACCTGCGAACGAGATCGTCGTCTTCGACCTCGGGCGGTCGAGAGACGTCTACGGGGCCCTCCCGTCTGCCAGGGTATCCCTCCTTCTGACGCTCCCACCCCTCCTGCGCGGCGGCAGCGATCCTATCACCGGCTGCAATGTTCTTCGTGGTCGTGTCGAGCAGCTCCTGCAGCCCCGGCCGATCCTCTGGCTCGTCCGCCATGCAGCGGGCTATCAGGGTGCGCAGATCGTCGCCGTACGCCTTGAACTCGTCGTAGACCAGTTCCTCGCGGCCGACCAGGAAAGGCGCCCATGTGACGAGGTTCTTGGCGCTACCGTCTGGCATAGTTATAGGGCACGCCCGTGGCGCCCAGTCCCCGTCGTCGGCCACTACCTGGTATAGAGTCAGGGCATTATACATGAGCTGCCGCGGCGCGTTAGTTAGCTATGCAGACTGGAGCTTTTACGCTCTAGGCATGCTTACGAGTCCCACCCCCCAGATATTGGTATGTGGTCCGAAAGCATTCTCCCTCAGCGGCCGCTCTCGGTCACGTTGCTCCTGCGCTTCATGCCTTAGTACGTAGGGGGTTTTATTTGTTTCTAGGTTAGTTCACTTAGGGGATCTGGCGTACCGGCGCTACATAATTCGGCCTCCCAATGTCGGTAACCGCAGCAATTTTCCTAGAGCAGGTTAGAGAGAATTTAACATTACATGTGACTATTCCGCTGGTAATACTCTTCATCGGTCCACTATCTCACGACCAGTCAGTAATTGCAATTATAACTTCAGGCAAACTTGCTTACATCGAGATCAAATTCTGTCATCAGTCCAAGATCACCCAACTGGGACAAATGTCAGCTCCAAGCCAAGGCCTACACTGGTTGCGTGAAAGGCAATATTAACCTTGAACAGCTGTGTAAATCGGTGCTCTGCATCTTGGCTCCCCGGCTCAGCCGTATCAATGTAAACTAAAAGTACTTAGTCAGGTGTCTGCAGGGCCGCGACAATTTACTGCAAGACTTAATTACTGTTAAGCGGGTGTAAGTCGAGATGGACTATCCGTTTGGGCGGCTCTTGTCGCATAACCTCTCGACACACCAGTGGTCCTCTGTCGATAGGCGGATATGCCATTCCTATGCATGCCCGGACGACTAATATAGCGTAAAGCCAAGAATATCAGTGTGGGCGGCTCATGTCAGTCATCAATATCAGCGCGGTACTGGCGGCTTACGGCAGAGAAATAATCTCCATAACACCCGACTGGGTATAAATTCCAATCTCCTTTCTGCATTCGGGACAGAAGCATTTCTAGTTACAGCTTCATTTACACGGACCAGGAGCTCGTTCAACTCGCACCTCTCCGCATATTTCATTACGATTAGGGGTGGCCCCTCGCTCTTCGAATTGTTGTAGAGGGCGCTGTTAAGCGCATATGACGGGAGACGGGCAAGTTGGATAAAGTGCTCCGCAGAGGAGAATTTCTGATCGTCATTGTCAACTTTTATGGTTCTCGCTTTCGGGCAACGATATCGACGAGGATGCTCACCTCCATCCATTGTATCTCTTGCCGGAAGAGGTCGTCATTTTCGTCGTGCGGTGTCTTTATCGCAACGTCCTGAAAACGGCCCGAATGGCTCATTACAGGCCACAGTGTTACTGCCCCGGAACTTCCAAAGCCTAAAACCGCCCGAAATTTGATGTATGGCGAGTAGGGTTGGAAGAATTCCCTAGTACGGTAGAGAGTCTCCCTAGCAGCCTGAAATGTTGGGTCGTCAGGGTCTACGGCGTTGTTCTGACGTAGGATCGGTCGAACTGAAGACACAAAAACTATTATTACCACACATCCCAAAGTGGAAGTAATTTACATACGTTGGGGCTGTAGAGACATTGCAACTTAACTCCCCTGTTCGCGTTGCCGCCATGTATACCGCGACTCGTACTCAACATCTAGAATTCCACGAGGTTACACATATGAGCGTCCCATAACTTGAGATGGATAATAATCGTTAAGAAGGGAGCAGAGCGAGCTACGAGCTACGCGATATATGTAATTGTCTATCACCGGTATGGGCATCTCCAGTCTCTGGGCTTTCTTTGGTCAGACCTAGCAGCTCTGAAAGGACGACTGCTTTCGGTGAAGAACAAAGGCATCCCTCCGGAGAAACACTCATAGGTAACTCTTGCGCTAAAGGAACCGGCCTAAAGGAATGCCCTGAAATACGTAAAGTAATTGTTCATGCCGAAAACTAAAGTGCGTTGAATCACTATTAATTGTAGGATTTAAGTACATGCTTCCGAGAGCTCGGCAGTTATCCCGAATAACGATACACAGAATCGTCCTCTGTTTGAATCCCTGAAACTGCCCGATATAATTCATCGTTTTCTGGTCAAATTGCCGCAGCGAATTCTTTCGATACGCCCAGATGCTCCAGTATATTTGCCAAACCCTGTAGGTCGCCTTCCACCGTGCCAGCCATTTCCTTGTCCACCCATTCTTCCGTATAGCCTCCGCCAAAGTCGGCCACCCAGGCGTTGTCGTATATATCGACCAATACGTTCTCCGCCTTGGCATTACCCCAGAGAGTGCCAGCTGTGTGAAGGCGATGCACTGTGGACATAACTTGGCCGGCCCATCTCCGTCGTAAATCGTCCTGTAAACCCGGCTTCACAGCACACATCAAGTTCAGAGCACGGCAACCAATATACGGATGTAGAAATCCTAACAGAAAGCCACTATCGTCTTGTAATAAGCCCAAGAGGTGGGATATCCGCAAGCCCTCTTTTTCCAGCCCTAGATCGACGATCCTCTTGTAATTTCCGAACTCCAGTGCGGCTCGGTGTTGATCCCCAACATAAAGGAGCTTGAGGAAGAAGACTTCGGACCCTCCCGCTAATTTCACCTTCCTGGGCGTACCAGAGAGTGCTGCGCTAGGGCTCCTGGCGCATATCTCGATCTCGGATGGGCGGAATCGTGGCCAGGGCGCGGAAAGCTCATTGAGGAGGCGAATGCCGAGTTCCATACTCAGTTTATCTTGACCATAAACTTCATAAAGGGATGGGAACCGCTCCCCTGAAGCTACTCCTTTTAACGTGTAGGTCAGTATTTTGGGGTAAAAGAAATCTTGAAGAGTCGGCGTCTTGTATTGGTCCGGAGGTAGTATACTACGGAGCAGGGGTAAGAATGGCTCCGTGATCCAGTCGTAGAAGTCCTCAACTGTTACACCATCTAATTCAAATTCCTCTGCTACTTGGAGGTAGAAGAAATACTTCTCTTTCAGCTGGGGCGAGTCGGTAAAATTTTCCTCAAATAAGTAGATGTGGAGTCGTGTGTCGTTACATAAAACATTCAGCTTGGCGTCGGTGTTATGTTCGCTGAAGATGAGCTCGATGACATTGTAGTAGGGTAGTCCGTCTATTTCTGAGCTTTCCAGCGTCATGACTGAGGAAGAAGAAGAAGAAGAAGCGGGAGCTGCTTGTTCCCTAGTCGTGTCGTGGTTTGGCGAGCAGTCGAGGCGGATTGGTTTGGACGTTAGTAGCGGGGAATCTCTGGACATATAATACCGCCCTGTATTTCCCCCACTCTGTAGGAACTTACAAGTAGTTTTTGATGCGAACAAGAGAGTTGGTGAGTGTATACTCACAGGTGAGTAATTAGAAGCAGGATGGGAGACTCTCAATACAGAGGCCAAAAGTGTAGAAGAGAGTTGATGAAAGAAAAAAATCATTACCGCCAAGTCTGTTTGGGCGATCTGCAGATAATAACCCCTTTACCTATGCTTTGCTGCAATTTCAGCGGCTGTGAGAAATGGCCAGAGGCGCCAAGGTATGAAACGGCCACAACCTTCGGGCATGGCCTAGGTAGTCGAGAGATTGGTACGCGCTGCAATATCTCTGTTGGTTTCACCCTTGGCGGAACCACTGCTAGTGGGACGAGAAATCATTGGGAGGCGAAATCATCCGCCGGGAACTGTTGTTACAATCTCTGAAAGATAAGAGTATGGGATAGCCGTCGCCATTTTGTACAGCGGTGGTAGGCCAGTACGTTACCATTCTTAAAGTACTGTTTACTGCTTGGTGATATTCGTCGATGCTTCCGGGACTGCCTCTTAATGAGCGCGTATCGTCACTTAGATTCTGTCCCGCGATTCGGCTTGAACTGTCGAACCAGAACAACTCGGTTCGTGGCTATAACAATTCATTAGGACAAGGGACTCGACCCCCCGAACACCAAATAACGGGGGCTCAGCGTCTCACTCCCCACGCTGTAAGAGCACTTGTGATGTGAAGTTTGAATCAACTCCAGCTGAAGTCGCATATAAGTTCCAGACTTGGGGGTTTGTTCTGGGGGGTTTGGCGATTACCTCCTCTATACAAATCATAGACCTGATAATGACCTTTTAAAAATCACGGTCTTTACAGAAAGGTTTCCGAAGACGGTGCATTGTGCCCATCCGTGATATAATTGCCCGGGAGGTGGTTGGGTTAGGCCCGCTCTCGATGTTGCAATCAAATTGAGGGTATCCTTCAAGCACCCCTGTCGCTGTTACCTGCCCGTAACAACCCTGCGTATTCCAGAACAAGATCCAACCTCATCCGTCGTGCGGCGAATGTACTCATATTATATTAAGTCCTATATGCGACACTCCGCAAGCGACTAAACGGTACATAGCCACAAAGCGAAACCTCGATGGAAATATCCACCAGGAGCGCCGCTGTTAACTGAAACTGCAATGTCGTACAGCAACTGGACGCTAGGTAAATGAGACAGCCGAGTCATCAATGGCATCGCCCCTCCAGCTCGGCCAGACGCTTCGGGGGCGCTTGTCGACGTACTCGGTTATTAAAGAGCTACATCGTGCGGCAGATCACGGGGCTGTCTACCTTGTAACGTAAGCCAGCCCTGAAGCCGCCCGCACCGCCGGCCAGGGATCTAATGCGAATGTCAGAAACCAAAAAGGGCGGCAATGTATCGTGAAGGCCATCGGGGGTCACTAGCGGTTGCAGAACGAAGCGACCGTCTTGAAGCAGTACCAGGCTAGAAGTCGATTCTTCCGTCCCCTCGAGGACGAGATCGATGAGCCCGAAGACCCGCCTTCTATCGTTCTAAAATATCTCGACAGCGACCTACGCACCGAATCTGACCGGCAGCAGTTAACATGGCCGGAGATCAAGCAGGTAGCAAAATGCGCCTTGGAGGCCCTTCGCACTCTACACCAGGATGGCATGGTCCACACCGGTATGCCTACCTCTCGGGGGGGGGGGGGGGGGGTCATATATACACTTGCTAATATTATGGTCGCCATCAGATATCGAACTCGATAACATCTTCGTAAATCTAGGCTGGTTCGATCGGCGCTTCCCCACTATTCAGCGCGGTGACTGCGGCGGTGTTGTGCCCAAGCACTCCAAGCTTACCCAAGAGGACCACCTCATCGACGCCAGCTTTACCCGTAGCCCCGAAGCACAGCTCCACCTGTCGTGGGGGCCTGCGACTGATATATGGTCCTTCGGAAATGCTCTGGGTGCATCGCCACTACATTTAGCCCAACCACTACTCTGTTCCTGCTTGAACTCATGCCCCAGCAGGTCCTGACACTCCTCTGCGGCGGCGGCCTTCATCTCTTCAACCCGGCTAACGAGGGTATCAAGTCCGACCGCGACGAGTATGAGTTGGTAGTGCTGAACCATACGTACCGCTATTTTGGTCCAGTTCCCGATTCATTTTAGGAAATTACCGACGAGAATGCATCTACTATCGTCGAGTTTATCCACAGTATGGGGCCGCCTACGAAGCCCTTTCACCTTGTGGCGCGTCGCGAGATCCTACCGGCAGACCGAGACTTCGTCTTCGAGATCATGAAGCTGGATCCTAGGGACCGCCCTACGGCAGAGGAGTTGCTATATTCTATATAATGATTGAGCCTGTTGTGGCACCTCCATCGACAAGTAACACCACAAGGAATAATAAGCCCCAAGTCAAAATACAGGTGCACTACTTCGCCCTTCTGACTCTAGCATCAAAGCCATACTAATGTCATAATTCTTATAAAGGGACCGGTATATGTTACCATCCACGGAAAGGGGTCAGCTTAGGCAGCTTTAGCTACAGCTCAGGGCCGCTTACTGAAGTCATAGCTCAAGCTGCCCCGTTGAGAGCTTGGTTCAGAAAGCGGAAAATTGCCTCTGGTGGCATCGTTTTTTACCGCACACTCTATCGCGAAAGCGCCTGGAGGTAAAACATATTAGGTAGGTACAACGATATTAATTCAACCTATAAGCATGTATCAATTAGAAGCTCTAACTACCCAACACCGGAAGGCTTCACGTTGGCAAAATTCATGCAGCTCTTCGGCCGTCCGAAGACACAAGTGAGACGGAGAATCCGTAGCTTTATGAACCGAGACTGCCCCCGGTGCCACCGTGAGGGCTCTCGCACACTCCCTTCGGTTGGGCTGCGGAGTTGGGTCTACGGATTACTGCCTGCCCCTCAAGCAGATTCCTAGAATCCCGTGTCGCGATAGCATCGCCTGTCGCCTTTGCCGGCACGGAGATTTCGAGCCGGCGCATTTAGTAAGAACGGGCATCTCTCACCCTTTCGATAGCGTAATACGCCGAGTTCCCGGCTTTTCTCCGCTGCCGAGCTGTCGGCAGAGAAAGACGACTCCAGCGCCCAGAGCCCGGCGCTACGATGTTCCCCAGCTCAGCGCGGGGTTCCTTTCTTCCTTAGGCCCTTGCTTAGCGTGTGCCGCCCCGTGTAAGACAGTAGGTGATGTTCATGGCGTTGGGGGTCTACTAGTCTACTGGGCGTATTTATTAGCGGTTGGGTTCCCCTCGTCTCGTCTCGTCTCTCCTCCCCTCTCTCCCCTCTTGTGCTGGACAGACTTGCACGTCTCAGGAAATCCCGTCGCAAAGATGACCGGCCCAACGAACATCGCTACGCTCGACGTCAGTACCGCACCTGTGCTTCCCCCCCTGGTTGATTAATTAGACCGCACTGTTAACTCGCGCGCGCTGTTCGCAGTCGAGCCTCGTCGACCGGCTGCCGGCGTACTCGAAGACCCTCTTCGACGCCAAGGCGACGGGGAAGCTGACCTTCGAGGAGATCGCGCGGGAGCTGGGGCGCGGCGAGGTGGCGGTGGCGGCGCTGTTCTACGGGCAGGCGCAGGCGTCGGCCGAGGACGTCGACAAGCTGTCGCGGCTGCTCAAGGTGCCCAGGGAGAGCCTGGCGGCGGCGATGAGCGGGTTCCCCGACCGCGGCCGCGCCGGGCCCATGCCGCCCGTCGAGCCGCTCATCTACCGCCTCTACGAGATCGTCCAGAACTACGGCTACTCCTTCAAGGCCGTCCTCAACGAGAAGTTCGGCGACGGCATCATGAGCGCCATAGCCTTCTCCTCCAAGGTCGAGAAGGAGGTCGATCAGGACGGCGTCGCGTGAGTAATACCCCACTCCCAGTCCGAGTTGGATGGCGGGGAGAATCGTGCGAGGGAGAGGGGGCTAACGACGGAGCAGCTGGGTTAACATCACCCTACGCGGAAAATGGCTGCCGTACTCCCGGTTCTAAGTCGAAGGTAGGTACTTGACACTATTTTCACTCGCACAAATACTTACCCGGTTCCGTAAGTATACTGAGTGGTGCGCCGCTCATGACATGACTCGGCATGCGGACTAATATGTATATAAGTCTAAATGACACGCGAGGACATTCTCTATGAGTACATATTGAAGATATCGAGTGGTTGCGGTGTTTCCCCTCTTGTTATTATGGCTTCATGTACTAAAAGTACCGAGTTATCGAGCAAAATATCAGAACCCAATAAACACGAATACCAGCCTTGAACCTACAGCCTACGTTCAAAGCCCAGCGGTGCGTTCCTAGACGTGACGTTTTCGCCGTCAGGCCCTGAACTGAATTGTGGTGACGGTTACCACGGTGTGTTTTCTTCGAGCCGGTGATAGAAAGCTGTGTGCACGGCTCAGGTCATGACGTACGCATACGTAGGAAACTAGGTAATTGCAATCTATCACGCACTCGGGCCGGTTGACTCCACCCTCGTGCTCTTCCCCGCCAGCATCGCCGTCGCGCCCTCTCCCGGCGCCGGCGCCGGCGACGTCGCCGCCCTCCAGAAGGGCTCGACGCCCATCTCGCGGAAGCGCCGGGCCTCGTAGTGCTTGGTGGCGACCCAGTTGCTCGCGAATATGGCGAGGACGCCGACGAAGATGCAGGCGCCGGCGACGAGCGGCGCGATGATGGAGAACACGGTGAAGCCGTAGCTCGCGTTCTGGAACGCCTCGTCCGCCTGCAGCCGCTCGACGCCGAGCCCCACCTGCATCGCCGTCAGCACGATCACCACGTACCCCAGCACCGTCGCCAGCGCCGCGAAGTTGTCCCGCAGCAGGTCCGCGTACACCATGTGCGCCGCCACCCGCGAGTACCCCCGCAGCGCCGACCCCATCCCCAGCCGGTAGACCAGGTTCAGCCGGCTCAGCCGCAGCTCGCCGTACCAGTACCGCGGGTTGATCGACGCGTAGCAGTGGCCCTGCAGCATCTCGCCGACGAACTCCTGCCACGCCGCCCAGGTGACCTCCTCGGGCAGCAGGCCCTTCTCCCTGGCGATGGCGAAGTCGCTCGGGTATGCGACGAGCGCCGTATACGAGAACAGGAAGCCCCGCGCGCACTCGGCCAGCTTGCGGTCGCGGACGATGTGGGCCGCCCAGAAATTCGGGTCTAGGAGGTAGGGCGGGATGGGCTTCAGGAAGATGCGGTTCTTCGCCCACACGAGGTGGAGCTCCGGGTTTTCGGTAACGGTGATGTCTCGCGAGATGAGGATCTGGTGATCTACGAGAAGTTAGCCTCTCGAGTCGGGATGCGACCCCTTGCCGCTTTCGGGTTCGTCTTTCTCCTCCCACCAGCCGGTACTTCTAGTACAGCTCGGAGACAGCAGTGGGCATATGAGAGTTTTGAAATGGGGACGCGTCGGGGACTCACTACGACTTGGTCAGTATGCATGGAGGTATACCTACGTCGGTAGGTGATATTATGGCAATGCGAAAGAGAGCAAAACAGTGGGGTACGCGTGAAGTCCTAGAAAAATCCATGGGATGGAGCTGGGACATACCGTATTGGTCGCGGGGGCATCGGCCGCCCGCAGATCCAGAGCCAGTCCTGGATATTATTTAATCTGTCGACGAGGAGATCTTGCGAGAGGAAGTCCGATTCCGCGTGTGGGACGATTATATGATCGCGCTTCGAGCGATAGGACGCTGGAAGTAGAGCGGCAGGGGTTGGCTTGCGATCCGCATCGCGGTCATTATCTCGCGATTCGAGCACTCGACTCTTGAAAGGTAAGGACGGGGCATCCATCTTGGGCGCCTAATTCGAGGACAGCTTTTAGAGCCGCGAGTCCTTCGTGGTAGGAATTCCTGGATCGTCTTATAGGGACGATGGTGACGAGGCCCGGTTGCAGTCGATAAAACAGCTGTTATTTGTTTTCATCTTACCACGGGCTTACGGCATTCTTAGAGCCTGCAGGTAAGAGTAGCAGCCAAGTTTGCAGGGTGAGGCGGCTCGCGAGATGAAGTGGAGGCGAATATGCATACCTAGGTATGACTTGTTCTTACGGGCAATTTGTCTATGTATAGCTACACAAGGCTCGGCTCGTCCGTCTGGCAACGGCCCGTCCATCCCTACGATAGGGCGGGCAAGGGTTTGGATACTTGAGCGATCTGTTCATAGTTATTTATGTGCTTATGTAGGTAGGTGTAGGTAGGTCTTGGCTGGACTTGGTTCTGGGGCTCCAGGGGGTTCAGGTTCGACACCAGGTTCTCGGAATCCGTGCCGCGCCTGGCGCGACACCACGTAGGTACAATCTCTGTCTTCCCGTTGCAGAATCGCTGTGCCGCATATGTAACCCTGGGCCTGGTCATAGGGCCTCGCGTGGTATTATTGAAGGGCAAGAAAGTGATCCTTCAAGACGTAGACCTCCAGAAGGAGAGGAGGCATCGCGCTCGTCTAGTCAGGCAACGCCCTGTAAGCAGCTGGATCCGTGATCAACACGATGTCCTGCGTAGCCTTATTTTGCCAGACCTATGGCTCTTCTCAAAATCCGCCGGCTGGACACCTATGTAATAATAGGGAGATATGGAGCAACACAACCATTCCCGTTTGAGAAGATCCTGGCCAGTTCTGGGCGTGTTCAGCATTCTCTCATTCTCTAGTGCTGACAGCCCACCCATGTAGCAAACCCAGCATAGCATAGAGGCCGGGGTAGAGCATGATCAGCCTCACTAAATGGAACCATTGCTGACGCCATGGAAGCCGACAGGGGCTCAGCGCTTCTATTTCCCGCTGTAGGCTAGAGAATTGGGGGCGGTTCTCGCGAGCTTATCTATCCCGAAGCTCGGGGACCGCGTCGCCTATAGGTACCTAGGCACCGGTTGACCATGATGCGTACGGTAGGTATATAACCTGAAATACCCTATCGTGAGTCCTCTTGGACTGCGGAATCCGACCTCGCCTACAGGTCGTACCTACATAGTCCTGTACTTGCGTCGTCATGTCTGTGCAGTCCCCCGTAACGACGCGGAAGGCCGCCCCGGGCCCCGCGAGAAAGAAAAAGGATTATGATATCGTGCAACAGGGGATCAAGGAACTCTATCCGCTCGATAAACCGAATATAGAGCCTGAGATTGAGTACGTTAATGTATCCAGACGCGGCTCTTTCGTCCTTGACTAATCCCTTCTAGCATCGTCTTCGTGCCCGGCCTTGGGGCTCATCCGGAGGATAGCTGGAAGTCAGAGAACACCAGCTTCAACTGGACCACGGAAGGTCTGGTCAGAGATTTCCCACGAGCGAGAATTTTGCTGTATATGTACGAGTCGGCATGGACGGGTTCACTCAAGGTAAAGCAGTTCATGGCAAATATTGCCATGACTTTGCTCAACGGTCTGAGGAGTAAAAGAGAGGTAAGCACGCGATACTAGGAAAGCCCGTCTACATATGTGCTGATCTAGATGAGATAGGGTCGGGCACAACGACGGCCAATAGTCTTCATCGGCCACAGCATGGGAGGTCTGGTTATCGCGAAAGCCATTACCATAGCCGACTCGCGGCGAGACAGGTTCCCCATCATGTTCGAAGCTATTGCGGCGGCCATCTTCTTCGGGACACCCTTCAACGGAGCCCCGGTCGCTTCTGCTGCCGCGATGTATGCGCACTTGGCCGAGAAGGTCGGCGCTGCCTCCTCCTCCAAGTTGCTGGACTTGATGAAGCCTGGGGACGAGAGTCTCCGGGAGTTGAAGCATGAATTCATGCGCTTGGCCGGGAAGGTCAGCCCCAGAATCGAGTTGTTCTGTTTCTTCGAGGAACAGCCTACCGATTTCTCCAAAATAGCTGGCTTGCCTAATCTGTTTGGCTTGAGCAAGGCACTGATACCGAAGGAGTACGCTGAATTCGTGAGTCGTGACTCCGCAACGCTACCTGGCGTCGAGGAACAGGGTCTGGCCTGTAACCATCGAAATCTCGTCAAATTCGACGGACCGAAGGACGATCGCTGGAATCAATTCGTTAGGGATCAACTTAAGGAGTTCATTCACCGGGCACCGTTAACCGTCAAAAACCGCCTGAATTCGGTTCGCGCCATCGATCGATCCATGATCAATAGTATCATGGAGGCGCTCGATAGCGTGCAGGTTCAGAAGAAGCGCAAGGCCCTGGCACAGACATTCGCGTCGTCCTCGTGGATCACGAAGGAAGCGGAATATACGCAGTGGCTCGGCGAGCCGGAAACAAGTGACGAGGTCCGAACCGGAGATTGCTTATGGATTCGCGGACCGGAGGGCAGAGGCAAGACCAGCGCGTCGCTGGCTGCTGTTAACGAGATCGAAACCCTAATTAGAACCCAGGAGGAAAAGAATACAAGTCAGGGGCCCATCCTGCTCGCCTATTTCTTCTGCGATTCAGCAACAGATTACTCGACCGCGGAGGACATACTCAAGAGTCTTATCACACAATTAATCAACAAGCAGGAAACGCTCGCCTCTTATGCCAAGTCGTTTGCTAAGAAAAATGAAAGCGACAGGTCTCAAGCACGGGTGACGGTAGAAAACTTGTGGCAGACACTTCAGGACATGCTCGCGGACGAGTTCATTGGTAGCAAGATTATCTTCGTCTTGAATAACCTGCACGTACTTCCCGAAGATTCGGACTCGACTATAAAGCTCCTTAATTACCTGCAATTCGAGCTCCAGTCCCTAAACACAGCAGATACGAAGCGAGTCCCGACGAGATGGATGATTACCAGCAGGGCGGCCCATAATATCGAGGAAGCACTCAAGGTTGACGGCGTCCGTCTTGTCGATCTCGACGATGACGAGAAGTACGGAAATCAGGTTCAGATGGCGCTGCGTAAAAGGGCTAAAGAGCGAGTCACCACGCTTGAGAAGGAAAAGAACTACAACAAAGCGCTCGCCTATTTTGCAAGTAGCCTGATCGGGAAGCGAGCTCAGAACACGCAATGGATCGACATTACCTGCGTTCAACTGCAGGAGCTCCCGCATGCCGAGAGTGACCTCAAGGTGCGGCGGGTTCTCGAGAGAATGCCGCAGGATCTCACGACGCTGCTAAACAACTCTTGGCTCCAGGTCTTCAAGGCCAACGAGGCAGACGCCGAGAAGATCAAGGAGATGCTGCGCGCACTCGTCCTCACGTATGAAGATCCTACGGAGGTGGAGTTGGGAATTCTCGCTGGGTTCCGCTCGAATGATGACGAGAAGGCAGAACTCCGCAGGTTCATCGAGAAGTGCAAGCCGCTCCTCATTTTCAAACGGGCTAGCAACACCATCTCCTTCATGAACGTGGTGGTCAAGACACATCTCCTCGAAAACGCCAAGCAACTTCTCGGCATGTCGGCCGAGGAGAAGAAGTGGCAGCATGGCGTCCTCGCCCTCCGATCCTTTTCTCACGTGAATGATAGGTTCAATTTCCCCCCTCTAGAGAAGGCTATTGGTGAATTTGAGGACCTGGCCACCCCCGAGCAGGGCGGCCAAGACGAAAATGAGGACGAAGCGGCAAGCATGATTTCGGACGAAGACGGTGGTGATGACGACGACGAAGACGAGGACGACGAGGACGATTATGACGACGAAAGCGAAACAGATGTAGACAGTGAAGAAGAGCAAGATCCAGAAGCCGACATCCTCCGCGACCGAGCTGGTAAGTCTAACCTTCGAGATCCGAAGCTATGATTTGGTCGTGCCATACCCTAGAAACCATAATCCTTTCATGACAGCCTCAGAGAGTAATCGTGTCATGACTTTTAGGCATCAGCTATACGATTTTTCGCTAACTCAGACACCTTAGAGGCCTATACGGTAAAATATTGGCTCCGTCATGCTAGCAAGGCTACGCGGGAGATTGCCGAAGACCTAAGTCAGGAGGAAGACTTCTGGGGGCCTGAGTCTCTCATCCGACACCGCTGGCTTGTGGAATATTTCCGCATGACCAGTGTATTCGACGGCTTCAGCACCAAGTCGTTTACCGGTTTGCGTACGTATTCCCAACTCCAGCTTATCCGTATATACCTATCACTAACTCCAGAATGCTGTAGACGTTGCTGCCTCGGTTGGGTTCAGGGAGCTGGTCGCCGCGCTGATTCGAAACGGGTACGAGAACCAGATCATGATGCACGACGAAATGGTCAACTCGCCGGTAAGTATGGCGAAGCCCCGTGACAGCTAGTCTCTCTAATGCTCGGTTAGCTGCACTTCGCTGCCTATTTTGGACGCCCTAAGATCGTCGAGGAGTTACTTGATAGAGGTGCCGTGATTGACGACGGAGATGAGATACAAGAACAGACGCCTTTACACATGGCTGCTTTCGGAGGCCACGTCGAAGTGATGAAGAAGCTCCTCTTAAGAGGAGCGAATGCCAACGCGACCTCCAACGACATCGGCCCAGTTGTGAACGCAGCGATCACGTCAGGCAACCGAGCCGCTGTCGAGTTGCTTGTCGAGCACGGTGTCTCTTTGACGATAGACCGGGAGGACCTCACGGCTCCGTTGGCGTTGTCCGCCTTATTATCCGACATCTCAATGTTTGAGTATCTGGTCGAGAAGTATGCTGCTATACTACCTCCGGAAGAGTACAGCAAGGCTTTAGTCAAGGCAGCAGAGGCAGGCCGAGTCGATGTGTTCAAGAGGTTGTTAGATTTCGAACACGCCGAGGAGTACTTCCAAGACGCCCTCGATACAGCTGGTAGCGAGTGGAACTGGGACATCGTCGTGATCATCTTGGAGAAACGCGCCGGACTCAACTGCGACGAAGTCTTCTACGAAGCAGCGACAGGCACCGAGGACCAAGATAGCCTCCTCGAGGTGATCTGGCGGTACGCGGATGGGTCGATTAGTAAAGAGAAACTCGACGAATCTCTATATGAAGCCACCGACACAGAAAAGGAGTCGACAGTCAAGTTGCTTTTACAGAAATTCGGAGCAAATGCCAACGCGACTGGCCTTGAGTGAGTCTCCCAAAAGTAGCCGCCATTATAGAGAGCACGGATACTGACGGGGCGAAGATACGGCAACGCCTTAACAGCTGCAGCGTATGATGGCACGATCGACATCGTTCGACTGCTACTCGAAGCCGGCGCAGATGTAAACGCAGCCGAAGGATGGGCGCTTCAGACCGCTGCTACAGAGGGTCATTACGAGGTCGTTCTAGAACTGCTAGAGCACGGGGTCGATGTCAACGCGATCGTTGATGACGAGAACTTTGAGGCAGGGACTGCACTTCAAGGAGCTTGCGAAGCGGGAAGAACGCACATAGTCTCGCTACTACTCGATCGCGGCGCTGATCCCAATCTCGGAGGAGGTCCCGACGCACCTCCTGTCGTCGCGGCCACGATACGCGCAGAAGAGGAGATCCTCGAGTTCCTGGTCAAAGCGAAGGCAGACTTGGACGTGCTCGGTGGTCAAGGCAATCCGTCTACCCCGCTCATAAACGCGGCGGCCTATATGCCGCAGTCCTCACTCCAGTTGTTGCTCGATGCCGGGGCAGATATAAATCTTCCAGACGGCGACGGAGACACTGCCCTTATCGTAGCTGCATCGAGAGGGGACAAAAAAGCGGTCGAGTTCCTGCTTGATAGTGGCGCCGACATCATGCATGCAAATAAAGAGGGAAAAAATGCTCTTCAAGCAGCGCTTAAGAAGGGTAACTCCAAATGTCTAGAAGTTCTCGTCGATCGTGTCTCGGTGTTGTTAGGGACTCTCAAGACTGCTATGGAATCTGGCGACACGACAGTTACCAGTATCGTTCGGGGCGTATTCAACGGCCATCAGGCTCTCAACTATGATGACGAGACTCCGGTGACTCCAAAGGCTACTGCTAGCCATACAACAACACCGCCCGTAAAGGCCATCGATCGGCAGTCTAACAGCGATTCTGACCGGATCACCCCCTCGATCTACGGCCAGGATGGACGACTAGACTCTTCTGATGATGGATTAAATCCAAATGGACCCCACTCCATTGAACAGATTTCCGACGTGCTTAAGTCCGCTATAGCTAACCAAGCCGCCCTATGGAACGAGTTCACGAATAAGCCGTTCTCAACTATCTCTGCTGTGCCTGAACGTCTCAGCTACGACAGTCAACCAAACGATAACCTAGAACAAGCCCCTGGGCGCCCTGAACCTGAAGAGCAGAAACGAGTTCATGGCCCTGATTCCGAGATATCGGCTCCACAGCTTGTCGAATTACCCCCTCAAGGAGTCGTCAAGAGAAAGCCTGCGCCAAGAGTGTCGTACGAGAGCCAACCTGCACCTAGTCAGCCACCTTCCCCGAAACCACTCGAGCCGTTTTTGGGGTCATTCCCGGTGCCACCAGCCAGCGTTGTGGCCTACCTGCCGGAAAAAGAAGTTTCTCCTTTTCAGAACGACCAACCGGGCCCGGAAAGGCAACACAGGACCTCGGGATCCTCGGCTTCGTACCAAAACACCCACACGCACCCGCAGAGTCAGACACCACCGTTGACAGCATCGCAGCAAGGCACGGCCCAGTACCATAATGGTGGCCCGCCATATGGATCATCGTACTACCAGCCGTCGGCAACAGCACCAGCATCAGGGGGCCAATACGCTCCCCATCAACCGACGTACGCAGCCTACAACCCGAACCCGGCCAGCCAAGTGCCGCCTCGGCCGCCAAAGCAGCAGTTCTACAACCCGGCTAGCTCGGCCTACGCGCACCAGGGTCAGGCGTACCAGCCTCAAGACTGGCAGGGCGGTGGCGGCCCGCCGTCCGGGTCCGGCGACAGCAGCATTCCCCCCCAGCCGCAGTATCAGGCGTACAACGCCGGCGTGGCTGCGCCCGACCAACAGCCGCAGCCACAGTACGCGAACGGCGGCGTGTACGACGGCTCCGGGTGGGACCCGCAGCGGCCGCAGCTCAGGGCGCAGCGGTCGTCGTTCTTCAGCGGCGGGGTGCGGACTACCTTGGACAAGGCAAAGACGATGGGGACAGGCATGTTCGGCAGGAAGTAGGCGGGCCTACGGATAGGTTGGTTGGATATTAGGTTAGTTCCAGAGACAGGCTGCGCGGTAGGGTTAAAAGCGTTTCCGTATATTATACCTACGAAGCAATGTAGCATTAGAAATAGACCTGTGATACTCTCACACTCGAAAAACGTTGCTCTCTTTTCTTGCTGTCGGGTACGGGGTGCCCGGGTAGGTACCCGAGGTGAACAAAACGCTGGAGGTCAAGTACATGCCCAACTTGTCGACCTTCTCCGTGCTCGTCTAGAGGGACTCCTACGTCTCGGACGGGTGGTAGAAAGGGGTCCGGGCGGGAATGTCCCTGAGGGGCGGTCTCGAGATCAGGAACAATAGGTGCAGGTAGAGTAAGGAAAATAGATGTCGGTACTCTCGAATTCGCACTTCTCCAGCAGGAATTGGACGACAAGGGTATGGCCCTTTCCAGTTCAAGAACATCCTCCAGCCCGAGATGAGCAGTCAGATACGCTGCGGAGTGAGGTGCCTCTGGGATACGGAGAAGAGGAAACGTAGTGGAAAGTTGTCGCCAATGTGATTTGTCACGTAGAGAGCCGCCTATACTGGTCACTCGCTTACCTAACCTAGCTCCCAGCCCCCTATCGTGTACATATAGGTAGCTCACATCTTCTTTATTCATTTCCTTCCTAGGTAGTTAGCTAGTCAGTTAATTCAACGTCTTCATCCCATCTTCTATTGCTCCCACAGCAGAGCAATCTCAGTGCTTACGTAGCTCTCCCGATCTACGTAACATGATTTTTTATCCCGCGGAATCTTGATGTTTAGAAATAGGCAGTCGGACGCTCGATTTTCCGCAGCAACGACTTCCTGCCTGACAAGCCGTCATCCATCCCCTGAAGAAGCGGCCGGGAAACACAAAGGTCACACAGTTGCCTGCGACGTGCAGTCATCATGAACAAACGGCTCCTCGCATCTCTCCCTCCGCCACCGATTCGTCGCCTCTAACGCCCCGGGCAGCCCTTTAAACAGCCACCCCCATTTCCTCAGAAACCCCTCCGACATCTCCCACCCGGTGATGTCCCAGGGCGGCGACCACGCAATGATGCCGCGCCGCTCGATCTCATCGTCGGGGAAGCCCTCGTACAGCCCGCCGATGCAGTCGGCCCACAGCTCGTCCTCGTCGAAGGTGCCGGCGGCCCGGATCAGGCGGTCTCGTCCCTCGGGACACGGGAACAGGTCGATCCAGTCGCCGTGCGGCACCGTCTGCTGGAGGGTGGTGGGCAGGAGTGTCGAAGGGAGCAGTTCGGGCTTGGCAGGGTAGGGGATGACGTGGGTCACTTCCTCGTCGCAGTCGAGCGGCGTGACGAGGATGCCCGAGATCAGAGTGCGGTTGACGGCCAGAGCGCGGAGGGCGTTGAATTGGAGGAGCGTGATGAGGTGGTCTGGACAGAGGGGGAAGACGATGCTGAACTGCTCTTTTCTGGGTTTATCTGGCAGCAAGGGATTTCTCGCATTGTATAATTGCTTGACACGGGATGCTGGGACGACGGAGAGGGATTGCTGCTCAACGTCCCAGCATTCCACTAGCGCTTCTAATTTGACCAGCGTCCCAGTTGCGGCACTGGATGCTTCGGCCTTCTTTGCTAGAGCTTTGCGTTTTCCTGCTGGACTGTTGGTTTCGGTAATCGGGTACCCCTTGATCGGACTGGTCCGGACTCCTGATCTGGGCGGAGGGGGAAACGAGGCCTTACTTACGGTATGCCCTTGTGTTGAGTCTAGTCTGTGCCCGTCTGCGTGCTGCGGCATCCTTGGTCCCGGTCCAGTCGTCTTCCCTGCTTATCGCCTATACGTGGTAAGCAGGTCACGTCGTCTTGGTGATTGAAGGGGGCGACCTGGTACGTACCTCAGCCAATTGTGGCATCGACGCGAGTTGGACGCGTGGCGCTGTTGAATTTGCAGGCTGATAGGTACTAATCATGATTCTAGCGGACGTTGGAATTGCGGTGATGATGAAATTGGTGATGAACGATGCCAGTTTCTTCGGACCGGCTAAGGCGGTTTTATGCAGCCTGCTCACAACGACGAATCTGACAACTCGGGAACGGAGGAATTGATATGCCCTATTGTTCCCCAGCTGAGGCGCAGACAGACAGGGGTTAGTGAAACGGCACGATATAAATATCTATATATCTGATCACTACTACAGTGTCTAACTTGAGCAGGTCTGGCGTCATGCAACCTGCTCACATCATAGACCAGGATCACGAGCTCCAGCATTACCATAGTAGCTAGATATTCGGCAGTGAGCCCGACGCTTCATGCAGCTGGCTCACTCACCTACTCTGAATTCTCCTATTGGTCCATCTCTTCAATATGTCCAGGGGTCATGCAGCTTGCTCACGATATCTGATGCTCAGAATATTAACATCCAAGACGCAAGTATCTCAGACGTTGTTCAGTAAGAGGAATATAAAGGTCGTAGCAACACCTTGGTTTTGACGCATCTATTTGTATCGTCGAAAACATACAACTAAATCGAAGACAGCAAAGTATTGTCTGTTCCTTAGTATTACCTACCTACCCACACCTTCACACGTTGACTCAAGTACTCGTTTTAAACATGACTTTCCACCCCGACACTCTCCCCGATCTCAAGGGCAAAGTATTCATAGTCACAGGTGGGAATTCTGGCATGTAAGTCTCCCCTCTCCCCTCTCACCGCGAATCCCGAATCGCTAATCTCACCAAACCACAGAGGCTACTACACCGTAGCCCACCTAGCAGAACACGGCGCGCACGTTTACCTGTGCGCCCGATCCGCAGAGAAGGGCACAGCAGCCATCGCCAACATCGAGAAAATGCACCCCTCAGCCAACATCGACCTGCTGCAGATGGACCTCACGGACCTCGCCAGCGTCGTCGCGGCCGCGGAGCACTTCCTCGCCCGCGAAACCGCCCTGCACGGCCTGGTCAACAACGCAGGCATCATGGCGACGCCCTTCGCGATGACCAAAGACGGCCACGAGGCCCAGTGGCAGACCAACTACCTCGCGCACTGGGTATTGACGGCGCACCTGCTTCCGCTGATGCTGCGGACCGCCAAGACGCTTCCGCCCGGCAGCGTGCGCGTCGTCAACCTCACCTCGTCGGGCCACCTGGGCGCGCCCAGGGGCGGCATCAATTTCGCGGACCCGTCGCTCAAGGACGGCAGCCCGTGGTCGCGCTACGGACAGAGCAAGCTCGCCAACATCCTGCACGCCAAGACCCTGCACGCGACGTACGGCCCCGGCTCCCCCAGCGCGCGGAGCGGCGAGGGCGAGATCTGGGTCGCGTCCGTGCACCCGGGTCTGGTCGAGACGAACCTCGCCACGTCGGCCGAGGAGTCGGGGTCGAGAGTGACAAGTGTCTTCTCGGTCTTGCGCATGTTGGGTTTGATGTGGCCGGCCGATAAGGGGTCGTGGACCAGTCTGTTCTGCGCGGCGAGCCCGGATATGAAGGCGGAGCAGAGCGGCGCGTATTTCGACATTTTCCGCCGGTTCGCGGAGCCGAGCTGGCAGAGCGGTGCGGCGAAGGACGGGGAGCTCGCAAAGAGGTTGGAGGAGTGGACTGGGGAGCTGATGAGGAGGGAAGGGTGGGTTCGGTAATGGCGTTAATGGGATTTCGGTGGTTTTCGATTATATCAATAGATTTATTGTCATGTAACTAACTTGAACAACGTTATGGTCAATTCTGGTGGAGGGCGTCTGCCGTTGTCAATAAGTCCGGTAACGGCGGCACAGGGTATATTGACGTCATGGTAGGCCGCGGTTCCAAACCGCCCCACCACTTAACTACCCCGCCACCTGCCAGTTCCAGTTCCTCAAGAATCCGATTCCTCGAGACTCCGCTGCTACTGCTGCGTAGCAGTCCAGGGGATTCCTCCCCCAAGAGTGCCGAACCTCTCCAATAGAACTTTTACCACGATTCGATGCTGACGTCGGCACGGAGTCTCGCCCTGGGGGTTTGGATAGCGCCCCCCTTCTAGTACCATGGATCCTCATCCAGGAAGTCCTCGACAATAGGTATCAGAACTTAAGATGCATCAGGGACGCCTGTACTGTAAGACGTGTGTTGCTGTCGAGGCCTCCTTTTTTTCTGAGTTGGTCGGCCTCGCTCCAGCCGACTCCTTGCTCCGCCAATGAGAAGGTATGCGAGTGGACAAGCATGTCAAGGTTCATGACAGTTGGACGAGACAGGCGCTAACGACGGACACGATGTAGCGTCAGCTCTTCTGCCGCGGTGGGTTGGACTATCACCAACGGGCATAGAAGTGGCTTAGAGTTAGATCCGATGCCCGAGCGGGTGCTTACCTTGTCACCGAGCCAAGGAGAAGCTCTGTCTAGCTGATGGGAGCGGCCGCTGTCTGGAGTTAGTCGTGGTTCGTAACGGTCGAATAAGGCAGACGAACAAGGACCTGAACGGAGCGACCCCCCTGGGCCGATCGCCAGCCACACTGGCCCTATCTGGCCGGCGCGGGCGCAGGCCGCTTTTAGGTCTGCCACGGACCGACTCGAAATCATCGACAGGCGCTTGCAAACACAAACTAGTGGTACGCAAGGCGTCATCTCTCATGACTAGTACGTAGCCCAGAAACCTATTGTACATGATAACTGCCAGGACAAACCAACACAGGATACGTAATCCAGTTCGACGACCGACCATCCGACAAAATGGGCCAAGAACCTCGACGTGGACCGCTTTCGACGACTGTTCCCCCTCTCCCAGACGTGTCCCGCAACTAGTCCTGCAGTTGGTTAAGCTCGACGTCCAGCTCATCATCGCTGGCCGGTCTCGAGGCATTGTCAAAATCGATGGTTGCCTTCCCTTCATGAATAAGAAAGTTATGCTCGTCGATGCCCCCGTGCTTGATCATGTGTGTATATAATATATGCAAGATATATAGGCCCGCGTGTGCTAGATCCGCTCGCTTTTCGTCGCAGGGAGATAAAATGGAAGTGGGCAGTGATGATCCTAGTATCCCTCTTCACCTTCGTAGCCACCATTAATACCACCACGGCTCCGTTGCGTCCAACATTTGGACCCGTTTTGAGGCATCGGCCTCCAACTTCACTTCAAGTCGCTTTGTGGAGCCGGGTACGGAGTCGTATATCAACATCTAGGAAAAGATCCATCTCATAAAAAGGAGGTATCTGTTTTAAATGCATATAACCGATAATGCAGTACAACGGCTATGATCACTTACATATTCAATTATAGGGGTTATTGTCCGTTCATACTTCAGGTAGAGGTAGGTAGGTGGGTAGGTAGGTAGGTATAATCGAGGGCAGTTGCAATTGAAGGCGGGTGCAAATTATTGTCCGTTCATAGTAGTAATACGATGTGAGATTAGGTCACGTAGGCCTTGTGATGAGTACCTACTCATATGGATCTCGCACTCATATTCTCCTCATACATACTTCAACCTACATCTAGATCAACATCTTTTCTTATTGCCCCCAGCCACCATCTATAGCTGGCCGATCGGCACTAGGCCAGTTGTCGGCAGCCGTGGCCATTCCTGTTCCCATCCGGTCCTCCTACGACGCGCCCACGCTGTTCCTCTTCGATACGCGACTCCGTAGCCGGGGGGCGACCAACATCGTAGCAGATTCTAGCCGCCGCTACACCAAGAAGCGCCTAGCCTTTAAGGCATCACCCTCCGACTTCTGATACCAACAACTGCTTGAGGGTTCTTCACCATCGAGCTGGGTGACTGTTCTGGCATGACGAGACACCAAGACGCGCTCGGTGCTTTTCAAGATGAGCAATCCGAGTACAAATAGTCGCCAGTTCGATCAACCTCATGATATTTCTCCGCTCTCGTATCCGTTCTACTCCACAACGAACATTCTCAGTCATTCCGACACCCTTACGCTTCCGAGTATATTAAGATCCGACCTCGGAGTATCCTAACTAAACCAACAAAGGCCTGATCTATCCTCCTTATTTGGCTAACGATACCTACTATCCTCGCCCGTAAGTCTCTCCCAAGGTTTACAGCATCAGTGCAAATTAACCAACGACACTTGTCACGTAAAACGTAGACGCCTATTTTGGTTGAACGACCGCGGTTTGGTATACATTCGGGATATTCCAGAGCTGCGGCTCATCGAGCGTGGTGTGTCCCTCCGAGTTGCTCCCGAGCAGGGAGCTGCCCCCGCCCAGACAGAGCCCACTAGCCGCAAACGCCCCCGTGGGGAGAGCGGTTCGGGCGCAGAGATGGATGAGCTCCGCGCCCGGGACGTGAAGCGCGAGCGGGTCCAGGGAGCCATCCGCCGAGAGCGAGCCCGACGAGTCGCCTTGGCCGAAGGAGCAATGGACGTCGACGACGAGGTAGCTGACCCATATTACGCCCCTGGGGGCATTAAGGACACTGACAGCTCCATTGAGGTGGATTCGGAGAGTGAGATCGTGCAGGTCGTCCCAGCTGAAGTAGGCGTCTACGTTTTAAGCAACATATCAGTAGATAGTAATGATATTAGGTTGATGTTTAATTTACTCTCATGTTCATACGGATATTATATCAGCTATAGAAACGATTGCAGACATATCAGTGTCGATAAACTCCACCCTCCCAGTCTAGTACTGTTTAACAATCATTTCAAGGACGTCGACCAGCTTCATATTGCCTCGTACACTGGAGGGATAGCCCCCGATTCTTTTCCGAGTTCAGTATTCAACATGCCTTCCGCCTCGAATATTTCCCAATTGTTTTACATGGTCATCGAACGAGGCAGCCGTGAATTTCCGTCTGTAATGAAAAGGCCGCCCAGTGGATTCCTCACACCCACGGCAGTGAAAGCCCCATTCAATCTCTCGCGACGATTTGTTCAGCCAAGGTACTTTGGCTACCGCCACAAATCGAAATGGGTTTTCTGACTCGCTATCAATGGGGTCTGATGTTGGAGGCCGTCGCACGCGGCGTGTGACGGACCCGGTTTGCGGTACTCCTGCCACCCTCACTTGGTATGCCTGAAGCTTCTGGGCCTCTATGCCCGCCACGTATTGTTGCATGGCGCTTAACGAACCGTGAAGCGAGATGCCGGCATGAAGAGCGGATTCGTAGTCGACCAGGACAGAGGGACCACAAAACTTCTTCCTGCGCCCCGAGTAGGTGCCATGTATGACTCTCATGCGAGGCAATGTGTTGAGGATCCGGCTATCCAGTCCAAACTTCCAGCTCGCACGTCTCCGTGACAGTGGCAGATACAGCCTGTCCTCCGAAATACAGAGGAAGCAAACCCGTTTGCAGGTGAGGAGATAGAGATAACCGCCCAAGTCGCCACATTGTTCGCATCCCGGCGTACACAATTTCTCGTACAGAGTTCTACAGGTAATCCACCTGCCGGTTTCGATGCTTAGAATGCCGCGCAGCGCATTCCGTGCATGTGTGCTGATAGCTTTGTATTGGGGCAGGGAGTTGACTAACTCTATGGCGCGTCTGTTGACCCGTCGAACGTCCGCGAGAGTGCGCAAGTCAAGTTGGGGTAGAATCTCATGCAGCAGCTCAAGAGGGAGAGCATCGAGGAGACCCAGATTCGTTCTAGGTGGTAGGTGGAGGCGCTCGATCTTCGGCCAGGATTCGGGGGAGGGTAGGTTATCGTCTAGGATGTGGTCCTTCATATTCAGACGATAAGTTAGACGGGGAAGTCGGCGGACCAGCGATTTCTTTTTCATCCTGAATATTCTGCGTCGTTTAAGAAGAGGTCGCAAGGTGAGAGGACTCGCTCCAGATTTTCTACTCTGCGGGGTTTGGCGCGTTGGTAAACGTGAAATTGGATAGAAGGTAGGTATGTTAAAGCGTGTAGGTAGGTACGTGTAAGGACGGAATCATATATTTATATTCACGTTTTTATTAGCTACTACGAATCGTAATCTGAGTAATAAAATACGTCGAAGCAGCATGACAGGGAGTTTGACGTATTATAACTATCCTCCAGATAGGATAAACGCGCGATAAGCCATCATATAGAGCCGATCAGGCCGAGAGCTGCCAAGAGGGCTGCACCTGGTAAAAGCCTACTAAGAGAGCTACACCTAATACCTACCTAGAAATAGACCACACCTAGAAATAGAGCCACACCTAGAAATAGAGCTACACCTAAAACCTGCCTACTAACAGGGCTACACCTAGGTAATAGGAAGAGCCTGCCAGCAGGGCAGCACCTATAATGTCACGTGACGGTCGCGCACTGCACCCGATGGCAAGATGACGAATTACCTAGGTACCTACATAAACTAGTGGCTAACGGGCAGATTTCGTCCAAGTCTGTCTAACGCTTATCATCGCTTATCATCGGGCATTTGGCCACGATTCCGACGAGCCGCTAAACATCTCCTGGTAATCAGGTCCCTCAGAGCAAATACGATTTCTCGCGACGACAGGCTAATAAAAGTGAGAAGAAGGAACATGATTATCGCCGCGGCACAGGAAACAGCGAAAATTGAAAAGCCAAGCGACACCCTAGCAAAGACATCCCACGATTCGCCTGGCTCGAAGAGAGCCTGAATGCCCAAGACAACCTGCATCGCGCTCAGAGGCACCGAGAAGACTCCAAAGATGAACAGGATAGGCCTATAAAAGCGAGCAAAGTAGTTTCCGTACTGCCCGTCAACCTTGTGGTACCAGAAACGGAAGAGCAAAATCTTGGACCAAAAGTTCAACCGCGAGAGTCGTAACTCTCCGTAGTGATATCGCGGAGAGACATCCACGTCGTCGATAAGGTCAAAACGCTCGAGTAGATCCATGAGGCTCCTATACTTGACTCCCTTAGGAAGCAGGCAGTGGTCTTCATGCTTGGCAAGTGCGAAATCCGACTTGTGTCTAACTAGTCGGCTGTACGAGCGGAGGAATCCGAGAGAGGCCCCTTTGAGATCGCGCCTCAAGCTTTCGTCGATCGGCGAATCCTCCGAGCAGAGGTAGTATTTCCAGAAGGCGTGCGACAAGAGATATTTAGGTAGCGGCTTCACGAACACGCGGTCGTAATACCACACAAGATGGAGCTCGGGCTTCTCGGTTATGACGATCTGACGACCCCGGACAAGCTGGTGGGTGAGCGACGAGATGTGAGAACTGTCCTGCTTGCCAACCAGCCAGAGGTGAGGCGCTAGCCGGTCTAAATCTCTCGTTGCCAGTTCGGATTCCAAATACTGCCCAATGTGCCCGTCGTCCAATTTAATTCGAGGATCTCCGGGCAGATACTCCCGCTTTTCGATTCTGTGAAATCAAACTGTGACTGTGATATTTCGGTGCTCGACGTTCCCGGTAGTGCTCAACGATTCAAGGCTCGCCTCGCTTGTAAAGATGGCAAATGCGGCTGAGACTACTTTGTCTGCCAAGAATGTAATGGAAGGAAGACATTGGAATCCACCCCAACCTCTATCACGGTGTCAGCATGATTATCGACAGCTTTCTCTATTGAATGACGTGTCTACTGCAATAGGATGACTCTTAAGCTGTCTTCATACCAATATAATTACAGAGTCCATATATCGCGCAGCTCTTACGGGGCCTGATGTCTGGAGTCAAGGCAATCACACGCAAGCTAAGTAACCATCGCAAATCAATATTGCCACCGTCCCCTCCAAGGTGCAAGATAGTCACCGGATATCCCGACTAAACCTCCCGAGAGCCCGTCAGCGTTGCATTCGTCACTAGGATGAGGGGATGTTGCATACCGCACACCCTCGGAAACAAGAGGCCAGTTGCAAGGTGACGAATGAAGAAAGGCCACACTATCTCCATAACGCCCAGTAACTCTAGATCAAGCCGCGTTATTACCCCTGCCTCTTATCGCGGATACTACACATAAAATGTGACGGTGTGCTTGTTTTCTAGAAGGGATGTGGAAAGAATGGGCAAGAATGTCGGTTATGGGTCTGATTTGGGTGGGAGGGAAGCCGAGGCAAGAGACGTAGAATCGCCCAGACCTTTTCTCTGTCCGTCTTTTCCTCTTGATTTTCTGTTCCAACGTCTCCTGTAATATGCTGCAACATCACAGTTGAGTAACTCATATCACGCAACGGGACCGTCAGCTCTGGTCTTCTTCCCAAGGAAGAACCTTCTAAATTTGAGGGTCTCTAATTCTCGTGAAGATGCCTCTGGATATTCAGCAATGCTCACCTTTCTTGGTCTTGGGGCTTACTCTCTTATCTTTGGATCCGAATAGCCCTTCGCTCCGCAATTTTGCCCCGATAGTTATTGGCACCCTAACAGCCTGGATCGTGATTCCAACGAATTCAACATGGGGAATGGTCGTTTTCTTTGGGCTTCTGGCTCTGGCCATCGCCATGTCCCCATTTGCGTCAACCTTCACCAAGGTTGCTCAGAGGGTGCTGCGAGAACTCACGTCCAAAAACAATACCGACCAAGACCCAGGTCAGGCATCCGTCTCGACCCGAGTCCTAGATGACACGGGACCTATAGTTATTTATCATGGTCCACCAGATGCCGAAGTAGAGTAAGGCTGAATATTCCAACTTTAATCCGGCTATTTCGTCAACTTGAAAATCGTCTACATCATCCCGGACGTTAACTGACGTATTCATAGTATTGTCGCAGTTCACGGTTTAGGATCGTCAGTCAAAACTACCTGGACCCACAAGGCATCCAACCGGCTCTGGCTCAAAGACTTCCTCCCCTATGACTTCCCGAAAGCTCGCATCATGGCGTTCCAACACAATTCCTATTGGAAATCCGACGCATTGGTGAAAGACTTACCAGGGTATGGAAAACAATTACTCAGTACGCTTGAGGACATCCGGGCTGAAGACGGAGTGAGTCCCCATTTTCACGAAATACGACGGAATACATGAGTTAACAGGACAATTCTGTAGATAGTAGATCGCCCTCTCATCCTAATCGGGCACAGCTTCGGAGGTTTGCTTATTGAGCAGGCAAGTGTCAACTACATAATCCAATTTCTTACACCTCCGACATCACCTAATGGGTCATATATAATATTAGGCGTTAGTCATTGCCCGAGAACGTGTCACCGACCCTAGCATTCGAAAACGACGGAAAAACCTCACGAAGAGCCTCGCCGGCATCATATTTTTAGGGGCTCCTCACGCCGGATCCAGCTACTCAGCTTTGGGAAAGCTCTATTGTCATTTCCATTACTGGCAGGGTGCAAGTACTAGGCTATTAAAATACATGGACCGTACTTCTGGAGAGGCACGGAGCCTAGAGGATACCTTCGCTAAGGAATATGCTGAGGTGCCTTCGATTGACTACTATGAATCAAAACCTCGAAGAATTTTCGGTAAAACAGTCGAGTTGGTAAGCATCCCGTGAAGAAGTTGCCTCCTAATCATTCACCCAACTCCATACCTCACTATATCCCCACTAAAGGCGAGTACGCGTGTCTAATACTGAAGCCGGTACTAGGTTGTAACGGAGAACTCTGCATCTCGTCTGGGCTGCATGTCGGAGCCGTTGGATACGGATCACTTCGGCCTAAACAAGTTCAAGGACAGGAGAGATAGAAGCTATATTATGATAAAGAACAGAATTGCGCAGATGGTTACGAGTAAGATCGGTAAGTGCGGTCCCAGCCTGGCTTATTGCTCTTCCGTCCGGCTAACCACAGCCAATAATAGAACAGGAAGAAGAACAAGAAATCCGATTCAGTGCGTAAGGCCCTCTCTTCTCTAGGTGTTGGCAGGAGTATGTCTAAGTTTCAGTAGGCATGGACAGCCTGGAATTTCTCGGATCGCTCAATTCCCATAATTTCACCTCTTTGTCCGAGGAGCAGCAACGAAGACTCACGCCCGGCACATGCCAATGGATCACGCAGGAGAATGCTTTCGAAAAGTGGAGGTCAAAAAAAACTGTCCTCTGGATTATCGGCAATCCAGGTTCCGGCAAAAGCTTCTTTGCTCACGTCGGTAGTCATCAACTCTATGAGATACGTATGTCTAGTTGCTGATGCTTAGCTAGTATATACATGAATATCTGAAATCGAACGCCGCCACTATTACTATGTACTTCGCTTTTGATGCGAAGAGCGCAGATATGAAGGAGTTGCGGTCTCTGCAGAAATTCTATCCCACGCTTCTCGATCAATTGCTTAGGGGAATCCACAGAACTCGACCTAAGTTATGGGCACAGTCCTTGAAAAAAGCACGCCAGATCCTTGCAGTAGATCATAATCGTGAATCCCTCATTCAAGCAATTCGAGAAATCCTCGCACTGGTCCGGTCAAGCTTCTTGGTCGTCGACGCTCTCGACGAATGTAAAGACAGCAACGAATGGGAGCTTAAAGCCTGGCTCAACGAGATCCATGCATTCCCTGGCCTCCGAATTGTGATCACTAGTCGCTCCTTGCAGGCAATTAAACCCCTATTTGACGATCCACTCTACATCAATCTTCAATTAAATAGCGTTGTTCATAAGTTAAACGAAGACATCAAGTTGTATATCGCAGACCGCATGCAGAAATCGAGAACATTGCCGAAAGATATGCCAAAAGTAATGGAAAGTGTGCGGAAAAAGTCCAATGTATGTCAACCTGACGGGCTCTGTTTACTCTGTCTGTATCCTACTAGGTTTACTGACCGCGGGCCAGGGTATGATCCTTCATGCGAGGCTCATGCTTGACATTCTCGAGGATCGTGTACGTGACGAGGAAGAACTGCTGGAAGAAGCGCAGAAGTTGCCATCACAGCTGAGCGAACTCTATGCGGATCGGCTAAAGCAGATTGGCGACAAGCCATTTGCCACGATGATCTTCCAATGGTTGGTTACGTGCAACCGACCGCCAACAGTTGAGGGGCTGAGAGGAGTCTATGCGATCGACAGAGCCTTCAAGAGAGGGAATCTCGAGCCGGACCCCGACAAAACCCCAAAGCCCCTAGATTTACAGCGCTTCCGAGAATCACTACTCAGACAATGCCTGCCGCTGGTGGAGGTGCTTCAGGACAACACCGTTCGTCTCGTCCACACTACGGTATCACAATTCCTCAAGGGCGAAAAACTAGAGGAAGATGGCACAGAGTGTCCAGAAGCCTTCCGTGTACGACTCGTCGAAAGCCACGAGTTCATAGCTGTCACCTGCGTGACCTATCTCAGGTGGAATTTCAGTCCTACCACACACGGCAGTCAGTGTGGCTTTCCGATAAGCAAAGATGTTCTAGAGTATGCTGTGCTCGAGTGGTCGGATCATTGCAGTAAATCGGAGGCCCAGATCATCTCCTCGGAGAAGAAGCAGCACATCTTTATTTCATTCCTCTATACTGAGCCTGTTTTCAATGCGTGGCTAGCGGCCAGGGCTGAGTCCGACAGCCTTTTCCGGGTCAATTTTGGGCTATTAGACGAGAGATCCGTTCTGCCGACGTCGCTGCATATTGCGGTGTTTTTCAGAATGCGATTGTTTGGACAGCTCCTCCTAAAAGACACCGACATCAACACCGTCAACGCACGGGATGCCACAGGCAGTACCGCTTTACATATCGCCGCCGAGATGGATTGCCCTCCGATCATCCAGGATCTATTGAATCGCAATGCCCAGATGGACATAGCCGATAGCAATGGCGCATACCCCATACATAGGGCAGCGCGTCGCGGGAACCATGCCGCGCTCAGCAAGCTCGTGAGCAGAGACGGGGTTGATGTGAACGTCCCCAATAAATACAAGTTTACGCCGATGCATATCTCCTGCCAGCTCGGATGGATCCAATGTGTGGAAGTTCTTTTGGAAAAGCAGGCTGACGTCCAAAACAAAAGCGAAGCCAGCGAGACCTATCGGCTTCGCCATCGAGAACGGGCATTTCGCTGTCGTTAGGGCTCTGCTGGCGCACGATACGTCGTTGCTCAAAGATTGTGGCAAGCCCCTGATCCAAGCGATTCGGCGGGGCTCGACTCAGACGGTCAAGTTTCTGTGCAAGCAAGGGGTTGATATGACTTACCAGGATTCGTACGGCCAGTCAGGATTGCACAAAGCGTGCATTTCTGGCAATACAGAGCTCGTGAGATATCTACTGAGCAAGAACTTAGACGTGGATCCTATAGACCAATCAAAGCGAACACCTCTCTATTTCGCAGCGGAAAGGGGTTATCTTGACGTCGTGAACTGTCTTATTGAGAAGGGGGCCAATGTGAATAGCTTGGACTGGCGCTGGGAGACAGCGCTGTTTAAGCCAGCAGGGAATGGCCATCTCGACGTGGTGAAACGCTTGTTGGAGGCCGGTACCGACGCAACCAAGCTGGATATGTGGCAACGAACTCCGTTACGATTTGCTGCTATGAAGGGCCACGCCGACGTCGTCCGCCTGCTCCTGGAACAGACAAAGATTGACCAGAATCGTCCAGACTGGGCCGGTAGGTCTGTTCTCCATAACGCCGCCGCCAAACTACGCCATGGCCAAGAAGAAGTCATCAATATTCTCATCGACCACGGAGCGCGGCCGGATCAGCAGGAAGGGGGAGGTGGAACTGGGGGGACGGCACTTCACGCGGCTCTGTCCCGCGAACCTGGACACCCGCCTCCAACCAGAAGTCTCATAGATCGTCTTATCCAGAACAAAGTCCCAATAGACACCCCTGATAAGTACGGAAGGACTCCGTTGTATCTCGCAGCACAGACTCGGAACCTCGACGCTGCCGAACTCCTTCTCGACTCGGGGGCCTTGCCGAGTAACAATCTCTTTCATGTCGCAGTCGAATCAGGAGATATCAACCTGGTAACCCTGTTTTTAAGAAAAGAACTGCGCCTGAACCTGTCCGACTGCGACTGGGCCGGAAGAGCAGCTCTCCACATAGCCGCTGAGCAGGGAAACCGTGAAATAATCTCTGCACTGCTTGCTGCAGGGTCACCTAAAAGGTGTCTTGATATGAACAAGATAACTCCACTCATGATAGCCGAGAAGAAAAGGAATTCGGACGCGATCCGCTTGCTCCAAGAGGTTGAGGAAGACACCGGAGGCAATTGCGAGCCTCACATGGTCAAAGAGACCTGGCGCCGAAGTGCTGTTCGACAGCTTCTTTCAGCTCATGCCGAGACAGAGGCAACTGATGTGCTACGACAGACTCCTCTCCATCACGCAGCTGAGAGGACGGATCCCGCATTCCTCGAGGCCCTGATAAATGCGAATGCCAATGTTGACGCAACTGACAAGTGGTCCAGAACGCCGCTCCACCTAGCCGCGGAAAGGGGCCGCGCGACTGTGGCTCGGATGCTGCTCACCGCGGGTGCTGAGATCCGACCCGATCGCGACGGCCACACGGCTTTACAGGTGGCTGCGATTGAGGGGCGAAGTCAAGTATTTCGTAGCCTACTCGAAAGTGAAGCTGGGAAACGAAAAATATCAGCAGGGGACGATGACGGTAGGACAGTGCTCCATCTGGCATCTAGTCACGGAAGAAGCGAGATTGTCGCGGATATTCTCCGACACACACGCGAACCCCGCATTATTGACGCTCAAGATAAGTCAGGCATGACGGCCCTTCACTTGGCATCAAGGATGGGCTACATCGATATCGTCCGGGGACTCATCGAGGCGGGATCCTTCGTATATCGGACGACCAAGGGTCGAGAAATGGCCGTCCACTTGGCCGCGAGGTCCGGCCACCGGGAGATCGTGGATATGCTCCTCAACGCGTACGAGGGCCAGGTTAAAATCTGTCTTTCCAAGTGGGATCAATACGGCCTTAGCGGAATGACGCACGGAGAAGGCTATGACCAGGCAATCTTCGAAGTATTGTTCGATGTCGGGGCCCTGGTAAAACGGGCGAATAGGTGGGAGACCGAGCCGGCGGAATGGGCCACAGCGAGACGCGGGTCGCTTCAAGCCAACGTCGCCAAGCAGCTGAAAAACTGGGATAAGGAGAGCCACAGTGTCTGCGGTACGGCGCTGATGCAGGCCGTGCTGGGCGGCCACGCCGACATGGTGGAACATCTGCTGCAGAGAGTCCCCGAGATGCCCCTCCAGGCGCGGCATTACTCATACTCGGACGCGCTCTCACTTGCCGCGGCCCGCGGCAGAACCGACATCGTGCGTCTCCTAATCGACGCTGGATCTGAAGTTAATTCCATCACCGACATGCAAGAAACTTGTCTCCACAAAGCGGCAGAGCGTGACCGCGGCGAGGTGATCAAGCTCCTGCTGGAACGGGACGCGAACCCGGACCTGGCGCGCCTCCGCGACGGCTTCACGCCGCTGCACGTAGCGGCCGACAACGGGCACGAGAGCGCGGTCCGCGAGCTTCTGCGAGTGGCGTTTATCAACGCGACGGATGACCTCGGGAGGACGCCGCTGCACAGGGCGTGTCTGAACGGCCACGACGCCGTCGTGGATCTCCTCCTGAATGCCGAGGCGGACGCCTCGGTTCAGGACTTCGAGCACAAGACCCCGCTAGACGTAGCGACGGATCGGTTGAGCGATAAGACGCGGTCTCTTATTGAGGAGCAGATTATGAAGCAGAAGCTGAGACTGGGGGCGGGTTCCTGAATATGAAATTGTCTTTGGAGCAGTGCTCAGGGCTGGTTGTCTGTACCTACCACGTAGGTAGGTATGCAATATAGGTACATCGTATTAGCGTATATGTCTATTTCGTATTTAAATTTACAAGGACACCAAATTGAACGAGGAGCTTTGATTCTGTGATTACTACCTAGGTAATGTCAGTTGGCGAGAGAGCTGTTGTGAAATCACGATGTTCTTGATAGGCTCAATGGGTGGATGGACCCACACCGCCTTTGACAGCCACGCCAATTCCACCAGCCACAGCCAGCAAGCCACAGGCAGAAAAAAAACCGACTTGGATAGCAACCGGAGACCTGAATGGAATAGAATCCACAACCAAAACGTCTACCAAACCAGCCAATTTCAACACCAACCTCAACAATGGGCAAAAGTAAGCTGAAGCTTGCCCTGGCGGCCGAGAAAAGGGTCGACTTCAAGAAATTGAAACAGAAGAAGAAGCATAAGGAACGCGTCAAGAAACGCCAAGAGAGAGAAGCAAAGAACGGCGGGGTGCCCGGAGACCGGGATAGTGAAGATGACGACGACGACTGGGAGGGTGTCGACGAGGAAGACGAGGACGATGTCGAGGGGGGCGCACCGATTGGGGAGGATAACGAAGAAGACGAAGACGAGGGCGACGACGAAGACGACGAAGGAGTCGAGGGCAACGGCTTTCTAGACCTCGAGGCGTTAGACGAGAGCGACAGCTCAGACTCCTCCATAGACCTCGAGGAAAAGATAGAGCGGCCGCGGAAACCTGCGCTCCAGGAGGCCAACGTTATCACGAATGGGGATAAGAAGGCGGCGAGGGGCAAGAAGCACGAGGGCAGCGGCGACGAAGAGGAGAACGACGACGAGGAAGAGGACGAAGAAGACATTCCCCTGTCGGACCTGGAAGACCTCCCAGACGACGAGAAGGAAGATCTGGTGCCGCACTCGCGGCTCACGATCAACAACACGTCGGCGCTGCTGGCGTCGCTGGGGCGGATAGCGATGCCGACGGGGGCGTCGGCGGCGTTCTCGACGCACCAGAGCGTGGCGGGCGCGGCGCCGACGGCGGACGGGATCGAGGACGTCCAGGACGACCTGGGGCGGGAGCTGGCGTTCTACGCGCAGAGCCTGGCGGCGGCGAAGCGCGGGCGGGCGCTCCTGCGCGCCGAGGGCGTGCCCTTCTCGCGCCCGGCCGACTACTTCGCCGAGATGCTCAAGGACGACGGCCACATGCAGAAGGTCAGGGCCAAGCTCGTCGAGGACGCGTCCGCGAAGAAGGCCGCCGCCGAGGCCCGCAAGCTCCGCGACCTCAAGAAGTTCGGCAAGCAGGTCCAGGTCGCCAGGCTCCAGGAGCGCCAGAAGGCGAAGCGCGAGACCCTCGACAAGATCAAGACCCTCAAGCGGAGTAAGCGAACCCCCTAGGCCTTTTTCCCTTCCCCTTCCCCTATCCCACCTTACCCCTCCCCAACCACACCCACGCTAACCCCCCCTCCCCCCGGGTCTCTAGAACGCCAAGAATCCTCGCACGACGTCGGCGCCAACGAGGCGGACCTGTTCGACGTCGGGGTGGACGCGGAGCTGTCGCAGCACAACGCGCGGAAGGCGTCGTCGCGGAGCCGGGACGGCGCGCCCGCCAACGCGAAGCGCCAGAAGAAGAACGAGAAGTACGGCTTCGGCGGCCGCAAGCGCCACGCCAAGTCGGGCGACGCGCTCAGCTCCGGCGACCTCAGCGGCTTCAACGGCCGCGGCGCGAAGGCCGGCGCGCACGCCGCCAGGAGGAGGAAGCCCGCCGCTGCCGCCGCGCGCCCCGGCAAGAGCCGCCGGAACGCTGCCGCCGCCAGGCGGTGAGGTACTGCCGGAGGTGGAGGGCGGGGGGAGTGTGCGGAGTAGGCTGGGGAAGCAGGGGAAATCGGCGCGGACTACGGAATGCGGGCGGGCGGGCGGGCGGCTTATCGGGCAGAAGGAGGGAGAAAAAAAGGGAGGGAGGGACTAAAAATCGAGTCAAGTTGTTCGTCAGAGATACCAATAACCCGGGTAGATAGAGCTAGGCGGCCTGGCTCTGTGCAAATCCAAGTGAAGACTAGAGCATACGCAGTCTTGCGTAACTTGTATGACCACAGTGGTATTATACGTCTAAGACAGCGTGGCATTCACAGTGTATGTATGTATATATATATATATATATACCATCACGTATATACTCCACCCAGAAGCAGTCATCCTCCCGCCTAGTTCCTGTCCTTCTCTCTCTTCCCTTTGCCCCTTTTTGTCTTCAAGAATACAATAACTATTAACACCCTTTCCTTCGCGCCGCAACCCGCCTACTTCGTCTTCGTCTTCGTCTTGGCGATCCGCTTCTGGGCGCGGAGCTCCTTCTTCATGCGGGCGTCGACGATCTTGTAGCGGCCCTTGACGCCGCGGGGGCGGCCCTTGATGCCGCGGTTGGCGCCGCGGGCGACGACGAGCTTGGGGGCGGGGCGGCGCGCCGCGGCGCCGGCCTTCCTCGCCGCGCCGGCCAGCACGCGCGCGATGCCGTCGGCCTTCTCGCGCTCCGTCATGCCCTCCTCGGCCGCCAGCGCGTCGGTCCGCCGCCGCGCCTTCTCCAGCCGCCGCGCCGCCCGCAGCTTCTTGCGCGCCCGCGCCTCCCGCACCTTCTTGATCGGCCGCGCGTTCACCGCCCGCGCCCGCGCCCGCGCCGCCGCCGCCGCCGCCGCCGTCACCGCCCGCTGCGGCCCCCGGTCGTGCCGCGCCTCGTCGTCCGCGAACCACTCCGGCAGCCCCTCCCGGTCCCGCGCGAACCGCCGGTCGAACGCGTCGTCCGCCACGTCGTGCCGCGTCCGCTGCCCCGTCGCCAGCTGGTGCGCTAGCTGCATCGCCTCGGCCGTGATGATGTCGATGTCTGCTCGCGGCGCTCCTGGTTAGAAGAGAAAGGAGAAGGAAAGAAAGAAAGTACATGCTAGTAAGGAAGGAAATATAGGAATGAAAAAGTAGAGATGGATATAGAGCTTACTTGGTCTTCCGTCGGGCAGACGTTTATCTTGCTCCTCCCAGTCGTCGGGCAGATCTTGCTTCACAGCCTCGAAGCGGCCGTCTCGGTCGTCATCCTCAGACTCGGAAAATCCATCGACTTCCTTTGGTTTCGTTTTTTCCTTCTTGGCTTTTGATTTCTCTTTTGTCGGTGCCGAAAGGTCAGCGTCTTCGCCGTCTTCGTCCGTATCGGCAGCTTCGCCCCCGTCTAGCTCGGGTTCAGGTTCGGGTTCTGGCTCGTCGTGTATTCCTGGTATGTCCTTAAATATGTCTTGGCTGAAGAAGTTGGTGGCTCGTTTCGAGAGGCCCCCGGACCCTGCCGGCCCGTTGTCCAGATCCGTGAGGAGCGGCTTCGAGGGAGACGAGTCGTCACCGTCAGACTCGTCGCTGCTGTCCATGTCGAGCTCGCCGTCGTCGCTGGACTGCTGTTCGTCAGCCGACAGCCCCTCCCACTCGCCGTCATCGTGTTCCTCCTTGGCCCTCTTCGCCCGGTACTTTGCGTCCGCTTCTGCCTTCTTCTCCCTGTACTGGTCGTACATGGTATCCAGCTCGCGTTCCAGACGGTCGCCATCCTCGTCCGACTCGTCGTCCGTCTCGCCCGAGGACCCGATGCCGCTGTCCCGCTCATGCCTAGCGTCTGTCTCCGTTATGACAGCCATCTTTCCCTTCGCAACCTTATTGACCGCGCCCTGCTTGTCGATGGGCTTCAACGCAAACATCGAATCCTGGCCGAGGGGGCCGGACTGTTCCATGCCGATGTCCATCGGGGCAATCATGTGAAGCTGCATCCGTACGATCTCCTTCTGCTTCTTCTCGTTTTCCTTCCGTCTCTCGCGCTTCTTCCTGGAATTGTCCTTGTCTTTCAGCGCCTGAAGCTCCTCTTGTATCTTTAATTCCTCATCCATCGGCTCGACTTCTGCGACCTCCTCCGGAACAGCAGGCTTCGAGGCCTTCTTGGTAGGCAGCCCAAAGGCCTCGCGGGCAGTCAATCTCCATTTCAGCAGGAGTTTGAATTCTCTACGCCCTAGCACCTTCAAATCCGCGCAGCATATTCTAACCTCGCTGGTGGTCTCCGGCATCTTGTCCAAGGCGGCGAGCGCCACATTGCCGTTACGTGGTTGCTCAAAAGACAGCTTATTATAACTGCCGAGGATGGCTATAGGATCGGCGGTCTCGATGAAGTCGCTCGCGGGTATCTCCTTGAATTGCGTATAGTCGCCCTCCTCGTAGCCGTCTCGCTTCCGCTTCTTGACTTCGGGCTTGAACACCTTGGCTTCGTTGTTCGGGGTCTGGTCGGCGTATTCGGCGAAGACGGCGCGGGGGTCGAGGAACTTGGGGTCGAGGTGCTTAGGCGCTTTGTAGCCGCGGCATACGACGAAGATTTCGGCGGAAACGTTTCTCGAAGAAGGGGGCTTTGTCGACTCGACCTTGGCGAAGAGCTGGTTGAAAACCCAGAGAAGCTTGTTGTACTCCTTGGACCGGAAGACCTTGGTAACGAAGGTGCCGCCCTCGACGAGGAATTCGGTGGCCAACTTCATGGATTGCAGGGCGAGCTCGGCCTGGTTGAAGGAGTCCTGCACCCAGGCCGTGCCGACGTTGGGGGCGCCGTCGTGCAGCACGGTATCGGCCTTCCAGGTCTTGAGATGCTGCCTGATGGTGGCGCGACACTTGTCGGTGGTGATGTCGCTCTGGAAGGTGATGACTTTCGGGATGGGCTTGATCGGGGCCAGGTCGACGCCGACGATGAGGCTGTTGGCGGGCATGGCCTCTGCTGCGACTTGGCACCACGACTACAAGGCAACACGGTCAGCGGAGTGCCCGTCTGCACGGGTAAAGAGGGGTTGGTTTCCTTACTCCGGGCGCGGCGCAGAGATCCAGGAGCACCTTGCTCCTCTCGAGGAAGCCATATTTCTTGTTCAGCTGGATCAGCTTGAAGGCAGCTCGCGCTCGGTAGCCCTTCTCCTTGGCCAGCTTGTACCACTTGTCGAGACGACCCTTGCCGTGCTTCTTCTGGATGGCCATGGCGTGGCGAGCAGCCGCGGCCTGCTGCTCCTTTTGCTATGTGTGTAGGTATGTATGTAGGCACGGCAGAGATAGATCTGGTGTCGATTGAATTGGTTTTTTTTTATTCTTCGTCCGGCCGGGTTGGTTTACCACGGTTGAGTGCCTATTTGGCGGTTGGTTGCTGGTGGTTGGGCGCCGGTAGTGGTTGATTGACTGACGACTGTCCCGCCATCGGAATGCATTCCCATTTCGGCGACTTTTTTTTTTTCTTGGTCCTGGACCATGATTTCTGCGATAAGGTGTTTTATCGGCGGCAGGCTCTTATCGATAGCGTTATACGTAGGTACTACGCCAGCCACCTCCGCGCTGCCGGCCACGCCATTGGCTGTCTCTGGCCGCGTTTGCCTCGACGGGCTAGAGTACGTACCGCGGTGGCACGTCGCGCCCACCAATAGCGAGACGCGTTCCGACCGTCTCGCGACGTCATTCCTATTTTCCCTTTTGGGACCCGCGTTGCATGTACCCCGGCACCGCCAGCGGCTGCGCGTGTACATGGCCGGTGTACGTACCGTGTAAGTGGTGTCTCATCTGGTGTCAGTTTGTCTCTCGTCTTCCTACGCGTCTTTTCGCGGGCGTGTTTTATTATGTGCTAAGTACCCGATTCCGTACGTGCTCCCTTAGGTACAGTATATAGGTACATTCAGCACCCGGCACAGGTACATCGAACCGCCCAGCGTCCCCCGGGCCAGGTCACGTGTGCCAGGTACCGGCCACCACCAAAAGCACGCGCCAGGTACCTGATCCGCCTGCTCCGTCCTCTGCCCCGTCGTGTACCTGAGCCCAGTCCCATCCGAACCCGTACCAACAACAACTCGGATCCAACCTGTGTATCGTTGTCTTCCCCACCATCAATTCTTTTCTTCCCTTTTGCTGTTCTGTTGCTGCTGGTCCTCTCTCCTCTGCAAACCCTGTCCACCCTCTCTCTCTCCTCTCCCTCCTCTCTGTCTCTCTCCCCTCTGCTCTCTGCATCGGGACGCCAATTGTCTCTGATCGTGGCCGAGTCCTGCCAGATCCCTACTTGTGTCTCTTACTCCTCCCACTCTGCTGCCGCTCTGTAGTCACGGGTCCAATCCCTGCGGTATATCAGCCTATTAATTGCACCTGTTGTTCTGGGTGCTCGCGACCGGGCGGATGCTGCATGTGGATATAGGAGCACACGGGCATAGGAGCATATAGGAGTCTCGGAGCCCAGGCGGAGAAGAAGCATCCGGAGGGAGCATGGCCGACGACTCAAACCTCGATTCGAACCTTCTCTCGCCCCCGAGAGTCGTCAATGGCAAGGAGAGGAGAAACCCGTCCATCACGCCTAGGAAGTTCAAACGATTCTTCACTCCACGATCCCGCGTACCCTCACGTGTCAGCTCCGCCAGGCGAGCCCTCAAGGATTTGGCCGCCCCGACCCTCAACCACCGATATCACACGCCAGCCCCGTCGAGCCCCCTAGGACCGGTCCTCGAAGAACGCGGCCCGGACGAGAACTTGGATGTGTCGAGCACTCGCTCGTCCAAGAGACGGAAATTCCGCCATACTCCCGATTCCTCGCCATGTCGACCCTCTTCGACCTTCGACCCAAATCACCTGGCACTTACCCCTTCGGCAAATAGGAGGTCCGGCCTGTTGAGCCCTATTCGGTCTTTGCATTCGAGCCAGGAGCATTTCGAATCCGACACGGACGATGACAGCGACGGCGAGTTCCTGTTTCCGCTACGACCGGGAAGACGCATAGCTCCTCTGCCCAGCCATGGCTTGACCGGCCAGCTCGTGCAGCGGCAGCTGGGCGGAATGCCTCGGCCAGGACGCTCCTTCATGTCGTTCCCAACTGCGGACTGGAGAGTAGACACAGCCGACTTCTATACTCGGCCGGACGATGTTCACGAGTGCGTCAGCCACGACGGACCGGGACGGTGCATCCCATTTTGCACAGCAACCTGCCACAAGAGTAGTATCACCGCAGTGGGCGATGAAGAAGGCCGCGTCCGCCTGCTGGACTCCTCCGGAGCTTCGGAACCGTTCAGCAAAATTCACCTCTGTTTCCAAGCCCATACCAACGCCATCATTGACCTCTCTTTCTCCGATGACGACTATCTCCTGGCCACCGCGTCCGGCGATCAGACGGGACGAGTTATAGATATGATGACACAGTCCCCCGTAGCTCTCCTCCAGCACCACACGGCCTCGCTCAAGCAGGTTCGCTTCCAACCCGGTCAGGCTAATAGCAGCGTGTTGGCAACGTCCTCTCGCGATGGCAGTGTTCAGATCTGGGATCTTCGTTGCGCAGGAAGGCCGGTGCAGGATATCGGACTGCCCGAGGAACGCGAGGTTTCCCTGCGCTTCCGCCGTCCACTGCCCAAGCAGGGCTGTGCCGTGAATAGCCTCTATCATGCCCACGCCCGCACTTCGCGCCAAGTTCAGCAGGCGCCCACCGTCGGTCCAGGCGACACGCCATCCCATCGCGAGATCCCCGGCCGAATCGGCGACGTGTCCGTCACGGCCCTGCAGTTCTTACCCGCTGGACAGGAGCACCTGCTGCTGACAGCCTGCGAGGCAGACGCATCCATCAAGCTCTGGGACATCCGCTCGATACACAGCTCGCGGCAGAAAGTCCCCTCTCCGCTGTCGGTGACAACTCCGCCCGCTTCCCACCTCCACTGGCGACCCTTCGGCATCTCGTCGCTGGCCCTAAGCACCGACAGCTCCCGGCTATACGCGCTGTGCAAGGACAACACAGTCTACGCGTACTCGACCGCCCATCTCATCCTAGGGCACGCGCCGGAGCTCGACACGCGGAACGGCCGTCCCCGCCGGCGACACAACGCCGTTGCCCACCAAGGCCTCGGGCCTCTGTACGGCTTCCGACACCCGCAGTTTCACGCGACGAGCTTCTACGTCAAGTGTGCCCTGCGTCCGGCACGTAACGGCCAGAGCGAGCTCCTCGCCGTCGGCAGCAGCGACTGCTGCGCCGTGCTCTTCCCGACGAGGGAGCAGTACTTCCGGGACGACCTCAACAACGCCATCGCGAACCCGACGCTCGAGCACTCGACCATCGCGACGGCCCAGCAGCCGCCGCCGCCGTCGAGCCTGAACGCGAGCTTCTCCTCTACGACCTCGTCGACCTCGTCGTCCTTCTCGTCGGGCGACACGCTCCGGCCGGCGCCGCTCTTCCGGCCCGGCAGCAGCGCGACCGCCACAGGTGCCGGAGGCGGCGGCGGCAGCTCCTTCTCGGTGCGGCTCCAGGACGATATCCCGATCGTGCGGGCGGGCACGGCGCTGGTACGGGGTCACGGCAGCGAGGTGGGCGCACTCGCGTGGACGGACGGCGGCGCGCTCGTGACGGTCGGCGACGACTACTTCGTGCGCTGCTGGCGCGAAGACCGCAGCGTCGCAGCAGACCTACGCACCGGCGGCGAGACCGGCGGGCGCCGCTGGGGCTGCGGATGGGCCGACGTCGCCGAGGACTGGGACGAGGACGAGGACGATGAAGAGTAAGAGGCGGGAAAGTTGGAAGAAGGAAAGAGGGAGAGGAATGGGGATGAGAAGGGTGGGATGGAGAGGGAAAGGAGGGGTATGAGAAAGCGGTAGAAAACGGAGGAGTGAAAGAGAGATTCTATCTGCATGCATGAGCCGGAGTTTTTGGAGCTGTGTTGCTTTATTCTGATTTTTCCCCCCTTACCCATACCCCTCCCCTCCCACCCATCCATCTATTCACACTTACTCCCTGCCGTTTTTCCGCCTCACCCTGTCTTCTAGAACAACAACAACTACTAAATACTGCGATGACGGCGTTAACTACCCGCCTCCCACGTCCGTCTGTCTGCCTTCACTGCCTCTAGTTTTGGAGCTCCGGCCCCCAAAAACAACAATAACAGCTCATTTTATTTTGTCTGTCTATCTATATACCCCGTCCTTATCCCCCTAGTCGCCCTTCCCTTCATGCCGACCCCATCGGGCCCCCTCCTCCCTCTTCACTGTTTTAGACGATGTTGTGGTGTCTTTTGAAGAGAATTGCCGCTCAGACTATATAGGAGAGAGAGGGCAAGAGCGTACAAGGGCGGCGCTGTGTAAATAGTACTGTCCGCAAGAACAGGAAGAACAATCAGTGTTTTTACATCCCCCAGCACTCCCGATTACCATTGTTAGTGAGCGCGCCAGTGTTGGTGTTTGCGTAAAGGCAACTGGTTGCCCGACTCGACGACTTGACGCTGCTGCTACTGACAAGGGCAGGGTCGAGGGGTTGCTCGGGTTTTGATTACGGACCATAGCAGGCTGACTTACAGTAGTTTTTGCTAGAGATGGCGAGGAGGAGGTAGATTGCGTAGGTAGGGTAGGCCATCCAGCTACTAGTTGGCGACAGAATGGCGGAAGGGCTTGCTTCTTGTGTAAGCAGGAGGGAGGGTGGGCAGCGGGGAGGCCATAGACGGGCTGCTCCCAGTTCTCTTGGGATGAGAGAAGAAGGGGTTTCAAGACACGGGTAGCCTGGACGCGCAGGCTTCGGTCCCTCCTGTCGAGTATGCCGCGTCCTAGCTAGCTATGCAGAAGCCCCTTTGCATGCGCGTGTCCCGCAGCAGAGCGTCAGCTGCGGAAAGGGGCGGCACACGCACGTCTTCGCGCCAGGAGGGGCCCCAGAAGATCCCGCACCGCTCCATGCGCCTCCACACACAGTCTCTCGGACCGGGTTGAGGCCTCTGTCTCCTCGCGCTGCTCGGCACACGCGCGGGTCTCGGGGGGAGGGGGGCGGCGGCTGGGATAGCATCGCCAACGCGCCCCTCGCTCGCTCGCTCGCCTCCACGGTCGCCGGGTTGGAGACGGCGGGGAGGGGGGGGGGGGGGCAGCGGCCAATGGCCTGCCGCGGGTGACAGACGAGGCTGCGCGCGCGCCCAGGCGCGTCCAGGTTGATTGCGTCCAGGACTCACCGAACTTCTGTGCGCGCGCGCGCGCGATAAGGCTGCGTGCACGCACACACATACCTACCTACCTACCCTCTCGTCGCTGCGCAGCAGCTGCTGCCTGGCGGCGGCGCTCCAGCGACGCCTACTCGGCCGGCGCGGCGGCGAGACCAGACAATGTTGTCTCTGGCGGGCGCGCGCGCCACGAGAGTGCTTGCGCGACTCGCAACTCTCTACGCGGCTGGGAGCGCACCGCAGAGGCTGGCCACAGCGCCGCCGGCGATATTCCCGCACATCCGGCTCTGCGCCCGCGCCCCGTCTGCACCGCGTTTTTTTTTTCGCGCGCGATGGCGGCGGCGTCTTCTCGGCTTCGTTGTGCCGCGGTGTCGCTGCGTGTGGGTGGGTATATACACGAGGCAGAGGGGGGGCACGGCACGGATGGGTGCCGAACTTGCTACGGGTGTACATGCCTATGTAGGCAGCCCGCCCGCCCAGCTGCACTGTGTTTTCTAGAAACGAGGGGCATCGAGGACGGCGGCGCTGCTACGTTGCCTGTTCACCGCCAGTTCCCCCCGTCCGTTTGTCGCGCCCGCGCCGATTCGATGGTGGCAGGGGAGCGTCGCGGTAGGTAATGGGTTTGCGGACGGGATTGTGATGAGGGCCGCAGGTCCAGCGACCTGGGAATACACACACGCATACATACATAGCACACGTAGATGGGATGGGGAATTGGGGGGCATGTGGGAGGAGGGGGGGAGATGGATGGATCGGTGGGTGGGTGGGTGGGAATAGGGAAAGGAGGGGGGGGAAGAATATCGCGTCCGCATCTCGCGACTCGACGAACGAGTAAGCCGTTATTGTTGCTGTTGTCAACACATACAAGACCGTCTTCCACGCCTCCCCCCCTCCTCATATGCTCTCTCTCTCTCTCGTGCGCTCTCTCTCTCTCCATCTGTCTCAGTCTCAGCCTCTCCAATCTATAATACCGCACGCCCACCTGCGCCGCGAGGCCGTGCCGAGCGGTAGCAGTGGTTGGTGACTTGACACCATCTCTCCGCATACGCGCATCCATACTACGTAGTATGCAATTCAACGCCGTCTCCAGGTGCGCTTCCAGAGGATCCAGGTGCATATATGTCAACAGAGCTAAGCTCGCCCATTATTAATAGAAAGACGGCAAGAGGAAATAAAAAAAGGGCGGCGACGGCCATTGGCCACGGCAGCTCTGGTCGAGGAAAATTCGGTGGCTGGGGATCGGAATCTCGACCATTGGTCAATGGGATCCCACGACCAGGGGGGGTGAGAGAGAGAGGAGACCCCCCCCTGGCTGCCACCGTCCGCGACGCAGCAAACTGCGGGTGCGCGATGCGCCATTCCTACATACATATGTATGTGTGGGTGTGTATTGTACGTGTGTGTGTGTGGCATGTCTGCGTCTGTGAGCAGGCTGCCCCACGTTTGAGAAGAGTCGTCGAGGCTTGGAGAAGGAGAGGGAGGATGAGAGCGACGACTAGATGTCTGGTAGGTATGTATATATAACCTGGTGATATACACACATGTAGTTAGAGACACATCGCATATGGGCCCCGTCGCGTATATCACCTACCCATCCCGTGCATTCCGTACGCGCCGCACATCCCGTAGATTACCCCAGGAGCAGGCTCTCTCTAACTCTCCCGTCGGTGAATACACCACATGGTCATCTCAGAGCGCGTGTCACCGTTACCGTCGCACGATAATTAGCTAGCCGTGGGCCCTCCTCAGACACAATCGTACCGATTCTCCGAGCTTGGCCCTGGCCTAGCCCGTCTTTCTCTTGTGTGTGTGTCTGCGTGTCTCTCTGCTCTCTGCTCTCGCGCCTCCACGTTATGCCGTAAGGGGGGAAGGGGGAGGGGGGGACCTTGCTCGGGAGGCGTCTAATAATAAGAAGATACGCACCGGGCAGCATTGTAGTGCGGATATCACGGTGCTAGCACGCCAGACTAGACCCATGGCTATGGCTCAGCTAGAGAGGTAGCGCGATGGGGCTTCGTCCGCTTGGGTCCACGTATGTATGAATATTGACCAACTTGGACATCAGTGTGTAAGTATATGTCTAAGTAGGCCTAGGTAGGTAGATAGCTAGGCAGGTATGTGGGATGTAGACCGAATAAGACGGGCAGGGAGAAAAGAGACGAGGAGAACGAGAGCGGGAGAGAGACAGAAGGCCAAAGCAGCGAGCCATGTGTCGAGCATTACGGCGCCGCAGACGCAAGCCGCGCGGGCACGTAATTCCTTATTGCTTATACCCAGCACATAATAATAGCGTGCCTATTTAATTGATCACTTCCACCTCTACCATGTCCATGTATCTACCTCCCTAGGTACGTGCTATATATGTAAGTAGGTGGTGTTTTCCAGAGACGCCACGCGCGAAGAGAGTTGCGACAATTCAACTAATAGAAAAGCCCGTTGTCTCATCCCAAGCCAACCTATCTATCTATATATGGGCATATAATAGGTAGAATCGATCAGATTTACCACCGCACGTCTGTCCATCTGTCGTTTTGGCTTTCCCATCTCGGCCGCGCCCCCGTCAAGGATCCCACGGTGATCGGCAAGGGTCGCGCGGGCTCACGAGCTTTTTAGAGGGGAGCCCAAGATCAGGACGTTGATGAGAATGAAACCCCTGACCCCTGCCCTCGTCTCGGTTCCTGGGAAAATCTCACTTTCAGGGTCGTGTTTGCGTGTAGCGGCTGAGGTCCGTCATAGGTTAGAGAGAAAAATAAAAGAAGAAATAACGGAATCCGTCCAAGTCCAGTTCAACTTGGACCTCTTCTCCCTCCCTTTTCCTCTCTTCTATCTCCGTTCCATCTCCCCGATGCGCATGCATGATACCCTTGCCTGGCTGACAAGACAGGCCCGTTCTTATAACCCAGCCCTGAAATAATAATACTTGCTAAGAAGATTAGCTATAATATCTCCCCCCCCAAGTTACACTACGTCGTCGACTCAAAATCCGGCTCGGACCCGAACCCTGTAAAATCCTGTTAGTCGTTTTAACTAGAGATCTTACTTGTTGTTGTTTTTTTTTCGTGTCGTCCTTCTGGCAAGTCTCTGAGAATTGGACAACTCATCTTGCAGCAAAGCTGCTGCACGATAAACGGCTTCTCATTCGCCTATCCATCCACACAACACGCTCCCCTGAGAGATCGGGAACTAAACTGTCTGCACCCGGTACAGGTACGACGCCAGGATCGTGATTATTTTGAATATGGCCTCTTGATATACCCTTTCTTATTCTTTTCCTCTTTCTATCTTTGCGCACCTATCCTCCCCTTCTTCCCTCCCCCCCCCCTTCCTCCCCCGGCCCTTGGCCTCGACCCTTTCCTAGTCCAGTGTCGCATCCGCAAGGCGAGCGCTTAGAAGAAACAGCCGACTCGAGCGCGCGGATCTAGACCCATACGCGCGGAGAGAGACAGAGTGAGAAGGAGAGGGAACGGCTAGAGAGCGAGGAGAGACAGGAGAGACAGGGTGAGAGAGCCCCATCTGCCATCGCAGTCCCGTTCATGCAGACAACGTCGTCCTGCAGCATCTCCCTGGACATTATTTTTGTCCTCTTCCCTCCCACCCGGGTCTAGCCCAGGCATAACGCTACATACACATATTCGCATGCATATGTGTATGTATGAGTGCATAGACGCGAGTCCACAGACCTATGTATTTACGTCCCGTCGTGTGCTTGCTCCCCCTCCCTTTCTCCCCTTCACGTCTCTTATACCTAACGAAATCTCGTCGATCCCTCTTTGTAAACACACGTACACTGTCCTCCACCACGCCTTGTCGTAACCACCTGCGGACGAGACCGTCGCCAACGCTAATGTCGACTTCTGGAGCCGCTTAGAGAGGAAGCAGAGGTCGCGGGGGCCAAGAGTTCGAACATAGCCCGATCCCCTTCCAGAGTAGCAGCAAGTCCACACCCGTAACCCGTCCGCCCACACCCCAGCAGAAGAGAGACGGAGAGACGGAAAGACGGAAAAACGAAGAGAGAGAGAGAGAGGAGGGAGGCTCGCTCGCGCCCTGTGGACAAACCGCTACCGAAGCCTCGATCGCGCGACAGAGACCGATCTAGGTAGAATCCGCAGACGGCTTGCCTAGGCCTTCGGCGAGGGAAGATCCTATATATATAAGATATATATATAGGTAGAAAGAAAAAACACGACCTACACGCGCGCCTCTGCGGACGCGCCGTCGACGCCCGTAGACGATCAATTGGCGAAGGGGACGAAAACTTACGATAGCACGCGCGCTACTGGACGGACGTCGAAATGCTTCACGGTCGAACGAGCCTTACAAAACCCGCCGCCGCCGCCGCCGCCGTCGCCGCCGCTCTATTCACCCTCAGCCCCCATTATCACCACTCTCCGCGCTTGCTCGTCGGCTGATCACCCTCTCGCCCTTCTCTCTCTTTTTTTTGTGTCTACGTCTCCTTTTCTTTTTTTTTCTGTTTTCATATTTAATCTGCTCAGCTCGACCTTCCGGCCTAGGACTTCGCAACCAGGACCACAGACACCCGCCAGCTCGCCCATGTATTATTTTTCGCTGTATCATATTGGTCAGTCCCCCCCCCCCCCTCTCTCCCATCCCCTCCAATGGCGCCGCCGCAAGGCCCGTCACTGGCGGTCGTGGCCGACGAGCTCGCGCCAGCTAATATCTCGTCGCCGCGCTAGTCTATTATAATATTGTATTATTCTTGAATGTTTAATCTTGGTTGGCCTCCTGCTTCTCTCTCGAACGCCCCCCCTATTCGTGCCAGATTCCGTCTCCCTCGACTTGGAGACCGAAGACGAGAACCCAGAGTCGCGCCCTTTCGGACGAACGCGTGTACGGCCCTCCCACGTGCCCCCCTCCCCCGACGGCTTCGCAGCAACGGCGGCGCCCCGTGCGTATGCTGTGTATAAGTCGCTGCTAGGAGTCGCTCGCTATTTCGGCCAATTGCTACTCCCAACGTTGTGGGAGAGGCGTGTGTGTCCCAAGGCCTCACCGGTCTGAGCCGGCGAATCCAATCTCCCTGCTCACTTGCCAACACATACACACGCACACACACACATACCACCTCACTATCGAGCATCGACAGAAACGCCTCGCAGAACGACCCGCTCTCACTCCCGATCCTATTTGCGCATACGGCGCCTCTGTACGTTAATACGAGCAGCCAGTCCCACTACACATTGGCCCTTCTCCAAATCCCGAGCGGCCGTAGGAGATCTCGCAGTCACCGTCCTGAGCGAACCGCTCGTCCTCTGCCCAAAGGTGCGTTGACCCGACCTATCCCACCGGCGTATAGCGTATCTCCCTCCTGCACAGTCGTTCTGCTCGTCTATCCACCGGTTCCCTGCCTGGTATTCGTCGTAGAGCGATCGCCCAGATCTCGCCTCTTCATCCCGCACAACCGGGGACGACTCGCCCCCTTATTACCCCAAGACAAATCCGCCTCCCCCCTTTTTTCGCGAACCGCACTTCTCACTCAGCCTTAGAATCCCAACCATCGCGCCGCACGGTCTCCCGCGCCGTCCGACTTTTTTGGTGGTTTTTTTTTTTCCCTCTCTTCTTCCTCCTCCCCCTCTCACCCGCCTTCCTCGCCGGGCCCGCCCCCCCCGCCATGGCGTCCTCGGAGGTGGACCAGAAGTTCCTCGGACGCCTCGCCAAGGCCGTCGAGCCGAACAACGCGCTGCTCGCGTCGATGCTCTTCAAGATCCTCGGGCTGTCCATCAACGTCGCGGGGCAGCTCGTGCGCGCGCGCAAGCACCGGCGCGTGCGCCCCGACAACTTCGCCGCCGCCGCCGCCGCCGCTGCTGCTGCTGCGGCCGCCGCCCACGACGACGACACCATCACGACGCGCGGCTCCGCAGCCACCGCCACCGCCGCTGCCGCCGCCCCGCCCGACCCCGCCTCCGCGACCCCCGAGTCCCTCGTCGAGCTCTGCTTCCACATCCTGTGGCTCTCGCGCGAGGGCCTCGTCATGCTCGAGCAGTACGTGCTGCCCATGGTCGGCGACTACGTCGAGCTCAAGGTGCTCGCCTACAAGCTGCGCGCCTCCTTCTACCACGTCTTCGTCCAGTTCCACAACAACCCGCCCGTCTCGCCCCTCGGCGTCGCCACCGCCACCGCCACCGCCGCGGTTGCCGCCGCGTCGTCCGCGTCCGCCACTCCGGTAGCGCCCGCGGCGACGGCGAGACCCCGCACCCCGCCCACGCCCACGCCCGCGCGCCCCCGCCCCGACAAGGGCAAGGGCGTCGCCCGGCCCGGCTTCGGCGGCGACGACGAGCCGCCGTACGCGGCGCCGGAGCAGTACCGCCCGTTCTTCTTCGCGGTGCCCGCGGGGGCGCCGCCGCCGCCGCCGGGGTTCCCAGCGCCGCTCGCGCCGTCAGCGGTCGGCGGGGTGCCGCGGTCGCCGGCGTCGTCGGCGGCGGCCACGGCGACGGCGGGGCCGGCCTCGGCGGCGTTCCTGCTGCCGTCGGTCGACTACGTGCCGACGGCGCACCGGTACTTCCGCGAGGCGGTGGACCTGGCGGACGCGCTGCTGTGGGGGTCGCACTCGCTGCGGCTGTCGGTCAAGACCGAGTACGCGGCGTTCCTGTACGAGTGCGTGCACGACCGCGACGCCAGCCGCCGCCTCGCGCGCGAGACCATCGCCGAGGTCTACGAGGCCTCCGAGGGCATGGACGACGACATGTTCAACGACGCCTGCGAGCTCGTCACCGTCCTCGGCAAGATGATGAAGCGCGGGCTCGGCAGCGACGGCAAGGGCGGCAGCGGCGGCGGCAGCGCGCCGGCCAGAGGCGCCGCGCCACCGACCGGCGGCCCGAGCCGCCACGATAGTCCCGCGGTAACGACGGCCGCCGCAGTGCTGAGCCTCACGAGGGCGGCGCAGGCCGGCGCCGTGGCCGCGACCGTGCCGCCCCCGGCTTCCATACCACCAATAGGCATGGAGAACCCGATATGAGCCCGGCCCGGCCCCGACTCGCCTCCTCCCTAGGCAGCGCGCCAGCGCCGACCAGGTCTCCCGGGGCGTACCACGCCACCGCTACGCCCGCTCACACGTTGTCCGCACGAAGTGAGCTACGAGGCATCCGGGGCGACGAGCAGCCTTTCCCAACAGCAGCAACGCGTCCGAGCGACGCGACGCGCCATCCTGCGCCAGGCCCGCCTCCTTCGAATGACGGTCGGCGCGGCCGGCCCTCGACTGCCTTATCCTCCCGCTGCGCCCCGACCGCCTACTCGAGCGACTGCCATATCCGCGACAGCCGACTCTATTAATACCACCACACCACGTAACCTACCACGGGAGAAGGCGGGCAGAGGGGTGGATGAGCGGGGAGAAGCGAGGGAATGGGAACTCGGCTGCATCTGGGGCGCGTTCTAAAACCCCTCTTCAGCCCACCACCCTTGCGCGCGCGCGCTGTCCTCGCCACGCGCCGCCTACCTATCCGACCTCGCCCACGTCCTCCCTCCGATACCTCCGCGCCGCGACGCGCCCATTACCCCTAAACGCCGCCTAGCTAGCCGCATAGACATATTTATATACCTAATTCCCTTCCCTCCCCTGCTCCCCCTCCTCATCCCCTTATCCCGACTTATCTACTCCGTCTCCCGTCCCCCCGCCGTTACTCTTACCCCCCTATGTGCCGAAAAGGGTGGAGGAAGGGAGGAAAAGGGGGGAGCCCTATGATACCCTATTTTCGCACTCCTACTTCTAATACCAACACATAAACAGACGACACCGCACGGACACGAGGCGGCATACGGGGGTCGCGCGTGTCCGGCCGGACTCCCCCTGCATCCGTGTCAGCATGCCGTATCCGTACACTACTAGGAACCCAGCACCACCATTAGTTTAGCCTGCCCGCGCTCCCCCCCCCCCGCCGAGAATCCATCTCTAATCTTATATTGCCATCCCCTTTTCGCACCACACCGTCTTCGCTACCTGCGGGCGGCGAAGCAGCGAGCGCGGAGAGAGCGTGCCGCCGGGAGGCGTAGACGTAGATAGGGCGCCATACCACGGCCGGGCGGGTGACGGGGCAGGGCACGAGACGAGGTGTGCGCTGACGTACTGTACATAAGAGAAAATATATACATATGCCACAGGTTCCTTTGCGAGAGTCCGAGCTCGACGTGCTGTCGGCAGTCGTAGGGTTATGTCGTCTGGGTGTTGACTTGCCCCCTTCCAATGTCCGCGCGCGGCCGAGGCGGTGCTGGGAGGCCCAGCCGGTCTATGCGGAACTCGGCGCTTTCGCTTTGGGAGGCTCGTGGTGAAGTGAAGGTTTGCTGGATTGGCTGTCGCGTAAAGGGTCGAAGAAGAGGAGAGGAAACCTTCGAGACGATAAGAGTGATGATCGAGGGGGATGGGTGGAAGGGGTGCGATTACGATGTCAGCTGCCTTCTCCCTCTCCTCCCCCTCTCCTCCCTCTCCCCTCCCCCTTTTTTTTTCTATCCCTCTCCCGGCTAGGCCTCCCGCCTCTCGGATAGATATATCGCTCAAACACCATCCGAAGGCTCCCAATCCTCCATTCGGTTCTCGCTCGCTTTCTTAGCCTCTGCTCCTCTTCCTGGCTTTCATGTTTGTCTGTGCCGAGTAAAGTTGAGTGTACTTACCCTCAATTGTGCTCCTCTAATTCGAGTCTGCGAGTTCTGGGTATAGCTACACGGCGACACACGAGTCACATCGGCATAATCAATCACCCCGGGTATTGATTCAACTAGCTGTTGATTCCAAGACGAGACGTCGTCTACCGTCTATCTAATCGGCTAACTTTTTTTTACGTGAGCCTTCGCCTCATCCGCCTGGTAGTAGTAGCCCGGAGTGAGTGCCGCCTATCTAAGCTCACACGTGCTTCGTGCCCACGTTGCAATGTCTAAGACAGTGACGGCGGCAACAGGCCGCCCAGCTGGAGTAGATGCAATGTGACAATCGTTGACAAGCAACGCTCCTCTGCCCATCCCTTTTTGTGGTTCTAAATCGTAAGACCGTCCCAAACCGCATCCCTTGGTTCTATTTGCCGCCGTAGGTAGAGAGAGAGAGGCGAGAGAGAGAGAGAGAGAGAAGGGGGGACGTGACAGAGCGATACGAAATACACGTCAAATAGCGTAAAACGCCTCAGCCCATATATCCCGAGTGTATATGTAGAGCTCACTGATGTGTGTGGTGTTTTGCGTGTAAACCCATGAATACCATCCCAGATCGTTTGACCGATATATATCCACTGATGCAATCATGAACCGCCAGCCCTCCGTCCCCTACTCCCATTGGAATCCAATCCCCGTTTATATATCCCCCCCGGCCCTGAAGCGCCAACCCAGTTTGTTTCAACGAGGGAAGAACAAAGAAGAAACACACATTAAAACGGCAATCCGGCCATCCACCTAAACTCCGTGTGATCCTTCTCAACAGTGAGGGCACTGCATCGTGGGCTTGCCGCGCAGGGTCGAAGGCCCCTTACGCCTACGACTTCCCAGTGCGGGCATCCCGTCGCCGGGTTGGGAATCTTCACCCGTCTCGAACCTCTCGTTGCCCACCATGATGACCTTGATCACGTTGCTCAGGCCCACGGCCACGCTGGAGCGGCCCACCCGAACCATCGGCCCGAGGTTCGTGACGAAGAGGTGTCCGTCGTCTTCGATCTCCGGGCACAGCGGGGCCGTCTCCCACGATTCCTGTTTGCCGAAATGGGAGAACACCCATATCTCCCAGTTGTCTTGGTGGGTATGGCTGCCCGTCGGTTGCTTCACTTGGCGGCGGCGCCGAAGGCCGTTAAGCTGCTGCAGTGGCGGCGGGGTATATTGAGGTTCCGTGTGGTAGTTCCCGGCAAGCTTTCTCCTTACCCCTACTATGATTCCGGAGGGCAGCGCATCCCAAACTCCGGGATTCTTGATAACCCGTCGGGACTCCCTAGCTCTCTGCCACGGACAGCACGTCTTTCTCGTAGGGGCGGCAGGGTCACAGAAGCACAGCGACTCCCCCTCGTGCTGCGGGCTATACGTCTGCACTATTAGGTCCCGAGTGTATGTATTGATGTAGGCTAGCGTGAAGCTCCACAGGGCGACCGAGCCGCATCGCATCCGCCGCGGTCGCGAGTGGAAACACTTCATGCTCTTTGGATGGATAGGGTCTACCTTGAAGGTATAGATCGCCCTCAGGGTCAGCGAATCTACCAGGTCCGCCGTCTGGGAACGGATGACGAGAAAAAAGCCTAGCTCCGGTAGGGCTTGAATCGAGATAAATTCGCGGTCTCTCGGGGCCTTCATGGGCACGGCGTTCGAGGACCAGCTGGAACCTTCCTGGCTGGCCATCCACACTCGACCCTCGCGCGTAGAAACCATGACTTGAGCGGGGAACCCTTTGTTTTCGCCCCCGTCAGCATAATCAAACATGTGAGAAAGCGACACTAGCGCGGAGGCTCTATACTCACCCCTCTCTGCCAGAGCGCCGACGGAAACAATCGCGCCCTCTCCGGCAAGCAAGTAGCTACTGGGCTCCGTTCGAACCGTGCTTAGTTCCGTGATTATGCCGTCCCGCCCGATAAGTAACAGACCCGGGATGGCCATAGAGTCGTCGGGAACGAAGAAGAAAGCTTCCGGCTTGTGTCGATCAGCTTCGAACTCGATCGTTGGCCCCCATCGAAAGTCGGCGAGATTCCATAGCAGGACCCTGTTCGATGTTAAGAGCGCCAGCCAGTGAGACTCCTCCTCGATACACATGGCGAGAATTGGGAACGGGATAGAGGACGAATCTTCATCCTCGCCTAGGACGTAGCTCCTCCCCCCAGCCTTCATATTCCACACTCGGATGACTCGGTCCAGACCAACCGATACGAGATGGCCATCGCAGCACGCCGAAAGCAGAGCTACGTCTAACGAGTGGCCCTGGCTTAACGTCTGGACGGAGAGGAGAGAGTCGGTGGACGGCGTGTGAACTTCTGCGGCGTCTGCCAGTTCGTCCCAGAGGAGATAGTTCATCAACAAGCGAACTGCCGCGGCAATGACGAGTACGATAACGAGGAAGGGGATCGATTGGTGGCGTACGAAGTCGTACACGGCCGGTGGGAACCACGGATCGTTGGCGGAGAGATTCCGGTCCGACCCTTTAAGCACAAAAATCGTGGGGTGGAAGACGCGTGCTACGTAGCTGTGGGCGTTAGGCTTGACGACCTGGATGAGTTCCCGTGCGGTTTGGTGGCCTTGGAGACCTAGCCACGACGCCGGGCTCCTACCTAGGTGGACGTTCCGCAAGGGTGAGGATAGCGAGAGGTCCTTATACTTTGGTGCGATTCGGATGATCCGGCCTAGCGTTCTCGCCACACTCTCGTTCTCGAAAAAGTGCCACTGCGCGATCAGGACGAAGCCAACCATGACGATGGTCCCGGCAACCCGCGTCGACATGGCGATCCTGCCTTCCAGCATCGCATCCAGCCACGTCTGGCGCGACTGCGCGTCCAGCGCGGACCGGCGGGATCGAACCGATGCCTTCGCAAGCGCGTCACCCAGCTCAGTCCGACGAACATCCACGCTGAGTACGGAGAGAAAGAAGGTCGAGAGGTAGAAGAAGTCGAAGACTAACGCGATCGCCGCAAAGACACAGAAGGCCGAGACGCCGGGCGACACTATTTTCGAGAGGCCGTACAGGATGAGCAGATTCTGGGCCACGCTCGCGAGCGCGACGTGGCCCGTCTCGCCAAAGGCTTGGCCGATCCTGTTGCTGGTGCTGCCCTCGGAGGGGGTGAGGATGACGGCATTGATGAGCCGGAAGACGTTCTCGAGACTCATAGAGAAGATGACGACGGGGTATCCGAATCGCGGCAGCCTCGAGAGATCGATCTTCAGTACGGCACATACGGTGAAGCTCGATAAGATAGCTAGCATAATCTGAGCCGTGATGGTGACTATGAGTCCCATCTTCGACTTGACGGCCCGCAGCTTGGACAGGCTTGCTAAGAAGTAGACGAGGACGAGCGAGTAGGCCAGCAGCAGAAGAAAGATGTCGAGGGAGGACAGGGGACGAAACTGGAACTCGTACAATTCGCTCGTCTTCCCACTGTGAGAATACTCGAACATATCCCATTTGTCCATCGCCTTATACTTGAGCGTCTGGATTCTTTCCTGCCACAGACGACCCACTGGGGAGTCTCGATGATGGACGAGAGTAATGACGAGCGCGTCGGCGGCCACGAGCTCGCGATCCTGGAAGCGCTTCCCGCTGAAGACGGTGGAATGTCTTAGGGTCACATTGACTGACGTCGGCTGCATCCTCTTTTCATTTGCTGTCGCAATGATGTCACCATCTCTTTCTATGACCTCCGAGGAGCAGGACCAGTACTGCAAGGGAGATTGAAAGAACCAAGATTCGTTAGTCAGGCCGTTGATGACATGGTAGGCATCGCGCTGGCTCGGCGTGAGATCGGCAGTCGCGGCGTCGGGGACGTCGAAATCGCGGGAGAGCTGGTGGCGGGGGTTGAAGTTGACGGTGGGGCCGAGGAGCTGATCCTGAAGCTCGAGAGCGCTCAGCAAGACGTTCCGGTTCAGAGCTTCGAAATAGTTGCCGTGGACCCAGATCGAGCGCATCATGACGTCCGGCTCGGCCCTGTTCTTGTCGTCCAGGGGGAGGGTGCCGGTCCAGGCATGTTCGGGGAGTATGGAGGCGCCATAGATGAAGTCGGTGGTGTAGAGGAAGGGAAAGGGGTATACGAGGATGGCGGCGACGGAGACGGAGACCAGCAGGGTGGTTACGACATGGGTAGCGGCGTATCGTCCGTACCGCGCGAAGGCGTCGCGCAGCGGATTCTTCTCGGCGAGCGTAGGAGCTTTAGTAGTTCTTGGGTTGGCAATGTCAGCAGACGGAGGGGGTGTGGAGGGTGGCGGTCAAGCGGCGAGAGAAACACACCCTCGTAAAGGATATAAAAGATACCAGATCATCCTTCATGTATGCGTTGTGCGCGGTGGGCAGTGAGAGACTCGCGAGCTGGCCACTACGACTCGACGCGCGCGCAGACTGACAGAGAGGAGGCAGAAGGCCGTTCATCCAGTTCCTGACGGCGGGGGCGCATGATACTCCAGACGATATCACAGGCGAAGAGGGCGGCGGGGTTCGGACGGACTCGGCATGGATATAATGTTGGATCTGGTGTTAAGAGTAGAGGGGGAGGAGGGAGGGGGTAACGATTCACGTCGACATTGCCGGCCCGGGATCGCAGTACGAGTAAAGTATCCGAGTTGGCCGAGACAAGACAAGTAGACGATGGCAAAGCAGGGCCAAGGAAGAGGTAGGAGAGACAGAAGCGAGGAGAGGAGGTAGAGGTAGCAGAGCTAAGTAGGGTAGAGTTCAGTAGAGAACAGGGGGGGGTTGAGGCGGAGGAGAGAAGAAGCGGAAGAAGAAGGCGTAGAACATACGACAGCGCTAATAGATCTCGAGCATTCAGACCTCGTAACCTCTTGACGACAGGGAAGAGGTCAGTAAAAAAAGGTGCGGGATAGAGGAAGGTGGGAGAGATGCAGGCAATGTGCCGTCAATAGACTGTCGAAGAGTTGCTGGAAGGGGACTAGGCTGGCGCCGCCGTGTTCTTAGATGCGTCTTCCTACTGTCTCTCGACGCCCCGAGATTGCTGTTTAGTGTGTCGAGTGCCGAGCAGGAGGATTCCATCCGTCTTCTCTGTTCTGTATGTCCGTTTGTCTCTGTCTCTGTCTCTGTCCCTGTCCCTGTCTCTGCCTCTCTGTCTCGCTGTCCCTCGGGTTCTCTCTCTCTGCGAAGTGATTGGGAGATCGGATGTAGGCATGTAAATATGTAGGTAAAGAGGTAGGTAGGTAGATACCAGATACTTACGCCGTACAAACGCACCACACACACTCACACTCACACAGACACACTATACACACGCACGCACACGCAGCACACACGTCTATACCACCTACAGCACATACACGGGTATTAACCGTACGTTCACATGCGGTAAGCGCTAGACAGTTAGTTCGTCGGGCACATCAAACACATACAGAGAGATCCATGCCGGCGGAGAGGGAGAGAGAGAGAGCAGAACACCCACGATGTGGACCGGTATATATATAAGTATATATATCTATACTTGCGTAGGCATATATGTATATGTGTGGGTGCGTATTATGTGCGTGCCGGTGTTGGTAAGCGTGTACGGCCTGTAGGTAGAGGCATGTAGCGGCAGGTATCGGTATGGATGGGGGCAGGACGAGGTACGGCTGGGCTGGAGCAGCTCCTCTCTCTCTCGATGGGGGGTGGGCGAGATCGAGGCGTCTGCATGGGTGTACGTAGAAGGGTATCGGATAGAGACGCTCGGCGCGATAGGTTCACCAGGTTAACCCAAGGTCGGTGGCATATCCATAGGTGGGAGCGGTGGTGCAGGGCGTATTGTGCGTGTGTCGCGAGTAGGGATGTGGATGTGAGAGCAGGCGGGCATTGGTGGAGGATGGACGGGCTGGACGACGGATGGGGGGGGGAGGGAGAAGGGAGAATGGCTGGAGGCGGGCAGTCCCTAGACAAGAATGCGTGGGTCCGGGTGGGCACCTGTGGACAACTGTGGGTATCTGCAGGCATCTGTAGACGTGTGGATGGGCCAAGTAGGGACGTGGGTGGGAGACGGAGACGGAGACGGAAATGAGTAATGCGTTCTGGGGCTTTTACTCTTATGTACATACCGAATTGGGTGTATTTCTTCGTCTCGCCGTCGGCTCAGCTGTTATGTAGGTATCGGGGCGGTTCCGGTACGGGTAGATTCGTCCTCGGGACCTTCGTGAGCGGCGAGTTGCGATGCTACCTGCGCCGGTACAGATACATCTCCTCTATGCATAGACCGATCGGCAGGTACCGATACACGAGATGGGCAGGCCGAGAGAATCTCACCGCCACGGATGGCGAGAAGCAAAGAAGGGAGAGAAAAAAAAAAGGAAGGCAGTTTCTACAATGAGGTGGGTAATGAGAGAATAATAACAATAAGAATAAGAATAAGGATAAGGATAAGGATACTTAATACCGGGGAATGGCACCAAAGGGCAAATGCATACCATGTCGCTGCGCGCGCTCCATCGCGCGGGCTCTCGAAGAACCGGTTACTAACCAACGTCTGTCAGTGGCCATGGCGGCTGCACCTTTCCGGGCAGCTCGATGCCAGCGGGTCAGCTGGGACGGCGGTGTCAGCTGGGGGACGGCGTACCGGTACCCAGCAGATTGCTGACACAGGTCTGCGTAAGTACCCGGGCCCCAACGCGCCCAACCAGGCCAGCGGACCTGCAGCTAGCCCAGGCGACTGCGAGCCAGGCGGGTCTAGGTGAGACCAGATTTCGAAAGTCTGCGCCGGCGGGGCGGGCGGGCGAACGGGCAAAGCGGGAGAGATCCGCGGGGCCATCCCTCTTCCGGCGCTGGGCGTCGCCCTCAGCGTCGCAGCAGTGGGCTGTTAGGAGCTGCGGTGGGCAGCAGAGGGGGGGGAGGGGGGATGCCGCCGTGGTGAGAGGGACAAAACCCATGGGTGGTGGGCGGTGGGTGTGAGTGGTAGAGCGGGTGAGATGATAGCTGGGTGGTGAAGCAGGTTGTTGGTATGGTAGAGGGGTGGTGAAGGGGGACGCTTCCAGGCTGCCTAGAGAGAGAGAGAGGTACCTGACCTGACATGGGTGCAGCGCTGAACGTACCCAGAGGTACCTCGCAGGTAGACGCGGCCAGGTCGACCAGCCCAAGCCCCAAGCCCAAATACGAAGTACCTAGAGCCCCCCCTGGCAGCCGGCGGCGCATCTGGTCCGGTCGTGCTCCGTCCTCACCCCTCATTACGTAGTTGCATCTCACATCTTGCTTTTTCTCCCCCCCCCCCTCTGCTTCTTCCATTTTTTTTCTCGATCTGATCTCCTCCTCCCGCCAGACTTTCGTCACATCTCACCCCTCACATATCATCTCCGTCTTATTTTAGTCCCAACGTAGCATCATCTCTCGAGAGTGGCTGAGGTGATCGTCGTCGTGGCCACAGGTGGCTGCCTCGCTGGAAGAAACCCCGCCCTAACGCAAGCTCTCGAGCGAACTTCGCTAGAAACATCACCAGCGGTAAGGCAAACCGAGCGGCAGCCTCCCGTCGGCCCTGCACCATTTGCATGGCTGCGTTGGCCGAGCGTCATAAGCCTGAGCTGGAGGCGTGTCAGCCAGGGCAGACGTGGTTGGCTCGGCTCGTTTCGTTTTGTTTCGCCGGGATTGGCGGGCGAGCCTGATTTCTCGATGGCGACGGCAAAATCGGCAGGCAGCCCGCGATGGCCCAGTAAGACACGTAGGGCGGCCTCATCGGGCGGCGCCAATTAATTAATCGGAAGACACATAAAAAGAAGGAAGATCGGAGATAGGAAGAGAAGAGAAGAGGAGAGGAGCAAATGGGAGAAAATAGAGAGGGGAAGGAGGGGCGGAGGGGAGGGGACGAGAGGAGAAGAGAGGAAGAATAGGGTCGTGATATCTTCCCACTCCCCAAAGCTAGCCGGACGACGATACGTTGCATGCACACATTTCTTGCTAGTGTCGACATGAGAGAGAGGGGGAGACGAGACAGAGAAGAGTCGTTGAAAACTCTTACGAGTACACGCACATATATATATAAAGACAAGCTGAGAGCGCGCGCGCGCGAACGGACAAGCTCAAGAGAGAGAGCATACGCATTCAAGTCATACAAAGAGACCCTTCATCAGCCCACATGTAAGGGTTGGCTGACCACCCGACACTCCATCCATATATTGCTACCTAACGAGAAGGGGTCCCGTCCATCTGGATAGCTAACATCCCGACGCGGGGGCTGTCAAGTCAAAATCTGCTCACTCGATTCCTACGATGCCGTCCGAGGGTGTAATTGGTGCGTCGTTGCCGACGAGGCAAGGGGTCGGCCAGCATACGTGGTGGCCTGGTGAGATCGGTCGAACCACTCAGCGACGGGGGGTTGGACTAAAAAAAATCGATCCAGCTCCCAAGTGAACCGGCGCTAGATCGCAAACGAGCTACCCATAGGGCTGAGCTGGTCGATAATTGGTATCGCCCGTCGACCGCGTGTCCGTAAGAAGTATGGGAAGAGATCCCGAACATGGTTGGAGCTGGGGGAGGGGAAGGGGGGGCGTGTAAGTGAGACGCTTATCTAGAATGACACCTTGCGTGAGAAGGTAATCTCACCTAGGCAGGAGGAAAATAGACCGAAGGGAGAGGGGGAGGGGTCGAATAGGAGAGGAAAGGAGCAGGAAAAAAAAATAAGGGTTTACCAACCGGACGGAATACTACGATTCCTGCTGCATGGTACCTACATGATAGCTACCTTGGGGGGGGGCATGAGCTGTGCAGGTATGTAAGGTGATGCCGCAGAGTCGGTACCAACAACTACTACCACCACGACGCTACCACTCTCCACCACCCTTACTTCTCTCCCTCCCCCTCCCCCCCCTCTCCCCAGGCCAACCAACCTGCCTCGCCCCGTACCTAGGCTCGCTCGCTCGCCTAATCTCCCACCCCGAGGACATGGCGCCGGACGACGACCCCGTCGCGGAGCTGATCACGGCCTTCGCCGAGCTGAACTCCGGCGCCGTCGAGGAGCTCGACGGCGAGCCCGGCCCGCTCGAGTTCATGCGCTTCGTCGCGCGCAACACGCCCTTCGTCGCGCGGGGCGCCGCCGCCGACTGGCCGGCCGCGCGCCGGTGGACCGCCGCCTACCTGCGCGAGCAGCTGGCCGGGCACCGCGTCAACGTGGCCGTGACGCCGGGCGGCCGGGCCGACGCGCCGGAGCCCGCGCCCGGGGGCTTCGTCTTCGCGCAGCCGCACGAGGAGGAGCAGCCCTTCGGCGCGTTCCTCGCGCACGTGGTCGCGCAGGAGCAGGGCGGCGAGGCTGCGGCGGCGGCGGCGCGCGAGGTCTGGTACGCGCAGACGCAGAACGACAACCTGCGGGGCGAGTACGCGACGCTCGCCGCGCAGGTGCCGCCGTCGGTGCCGTTCGCGCGCGTCGCGCTGCGCCGCGCCCCCGACGCCGTCAACCTCTGGATCGGCAACTCGCGCTCCGTCACGGCCCTGCACCGCGACAACTACGAGAACCTGTATGTCCAGGTCGCCGGCCGCAAGCACTTCGTCCTGCTGCCGGCCCTCTGCCAGCCCTGCGTCAACGAGCGCCGCCTCCCGCCCGCCGTCTACGTCCGCGAGCCGGACGGCGCCCTGCGCCTGCGCGCGCAGCCCGACGCTGACTGCGTGCCCTTCCCCCTGTGGGACCCAGACGAGCCGGACGTCCTCGCCACTAAGTACTCCCACCTGGCGCGCCCCCTGAGGGTCACCCTCGAGCCCGGCGATATGCTGTACTTGCCGGCGATGTGGTAAGCGCTGGCGGATGCGGCCCCGAGACATGCCATCACCATTCGGCCTGAGATATCATGTTCTAACGGACCGGTTGTCAAGGTACCACAAGGTGTCCCAGTCCTGCTCGGAGGAGGGCATCTGTGTCGCTGTAAACTACTGGTGAGTCCGGCCGGCCATATCCTCTTCCCGACTGACTGACGCCGACTCCCTGCCTCCCAAAGGTATGACATGGAGTTCAGCGGGCCGCTCTACCCCCTGGTTGAGCTTGTCCGTAGACTGGGACACGCGACAGCAGCAGCCTCGACAACACCAATGACAGCGGCCGCGATGGAATGACACGGGTTCTTAATCCCGCATAGGTAGAGATCAAAAGCAATTGTGATGCCATCATATGAGATTCTCGGACATAAGCACTGGTTTGCATAGTTCTTCTTTATGGATCCTGTCTCTAAGCTACCTACGTGGGTACCTGCTTCATTCAGTCTGGGTCCGACACGTCCGGGGAGAAGGGATTTTCTCCCCCATCACTACAACGAGTACCTCGCGTACGTGATACTCCAGCACCACCCACTCGTTCTCCAGCCCAGTCGTCAGTCCATTACCGTCGTAAGCACTCCAACGAGCCCTGCAGAATTCGTCCCCCCTTGTTTCCGTTTCCCTCCATCGTCGCCTTCCTCCGTGCGTACCTTGTAGTCAGTAACGCGCACCCTACTAAGTAACCCTACGCAGCCGCCGCCTGCCTCTCTGCTTCTCTGTCTGTTTGTGCGAATGCCCGTAACGCCCGAAACACCACGCCAAGGACCAAGAAGAGCCGGGAATCCCTGCCTCTCGCAACCAGAAAGCCTGACCTCTCCCCTTCCTCTGCCTCCTCGCCGACGGGGACGACAGGCCCATCACGCATTAACCCTCACCCCGAGCGGCGGCAGCGTCTGTGCCTGCGCCCCGTCGCCGTCGCCGTCGCCGCTGAGGAACCGGCCCTTGTCGTCGCCGATCTTGCGGCGGAACAGCGCGAGGTCGTCCAGCAGGTCGCGCATGTAGTCCTGGACGGCGTCGGCGCGGTCGTCGTACGCGTCCGCCGACTCGTACCCGTCGTCGTCGGGCTCCTCGCCGCAGTAGGCCTCGTCGACGACCACGACGCGGCGCTTCTTCTTGTTCATCATCTTCTTCTCCTTCCCCTCCTCCGTCCCGTCACTACCACCTCCTTCTCCCACCTCCTCCTCCTCCTCTTCTTCCTCCTCCTCCTCCACCACCACCACGTCCGGGATCGGGTTCTTCAGGCTGTCGAGCGCCAGCTTGAGGTGCAGCCGCAGCGCCTCGTTCTCCGTCTGCAGGCTGCGGATCTTGCCCTCGGCGACGAGCGAGCGCTCCTCGAGCAGGCGCTGCATCGCCGCGACGCGGGCCTGGTACTCGTCGAGGAGGCGCTCCTCGGCGGTGCCGGCGCCGGCTCCGCCCTGCCGCTGCCGCTGCCGCTGCAGCTGCAGCATCTGCTGCTCCTCCTGCTGCTCCTGCTCGCGGCGCCGCGCCTCCGACACCGCGCGCTGCAGCTGCCGGATCTCGGCCGCCATCGCCGCCACCTGCGCGTCGCGCTCCGCCGCCGACACGCGGTCCTGCTGGTTCACCACCGCGCGCGTCCGGATCCGCTTCGCCTGGTCCGCGTACCGCAGCGTCGACAGCGTCTCCTCGTAGTCCGACGGCGCGATGCACGCGATCATCGCCGTCTTGCTGTTGCCCCCCAGCGAGTCCTTCAGCAGCCACGTCAGGATCGAGTCGCGGTACGGCACCACGTCGCGGCGGCGCTTCCCGCCGCCGGGCGCGCTCGAAGAAGAAGAAGAAGAAGAAGAAGAAGCCGTCTGCTTCGGGTCCGCGAGCGCCGCTATCACCCGCCCCAGCGTCGTCAGCGACTTGTTGATGTTGCTGCCCTCGCGCAGGCGCTGGCCGGTGGCCTCGGTGGCCCTGGCGCGCTCGCTGCCGGCCAGGTCGACGAGGCGGATGCGCGAGCTGCGCTCCGTCGTCTCGTCCGTCTCCATGTCGTGGTGGATCTGCTTCAGCATGACCGTGAACACCGCGTGGCTGCGGCTGCTCGTGTCGTTCATCTTCGTGCTCGCCGTCGTCCGGCTCGCGTCCCCCGCCTTCATGTACCGCAGGATCTCCCCCAGGCTGCGCACCGGCACCTCCGTCAGGTCCTTCACGTACGGCCCCTCCGTCGGCGACTCCCGGATCTTCAGGTAGTACGGCGCCTGCCCCCCCGCCGGCCCCGACGACGGCACGAGCAGGTCCCGCACGTGCTCGTTGTACACCTCAAAGTACGACGCCCGCACGTGGTACGAGATGTTGGGCGTCTCGTTCTGCGCCGCCTCGATCCGCTGGAACAGGTCCTCGCACGTGCGCGGGATCAGGCCTGGCTGCTCGGGCGTGCCCATCATGGTGTACGACTTGCCGGAGCCGGTCTGGCCGTAGGCGAAGATGCAGGTGTGGTAGCCCTCGAAGTTGTGGTCGAGGAACTCCTCGCCGAGGCTGTTGTAGACCTCCTCCTGGTGAGCGTAGTGCGGGTCGGCCATGTCGTGGCTCCAGAACGAGTTGTCGAACGTGAACGTCTTCTCCTCGGTCACCTTGCGGGACTTGGCTCGGATGTTTGCGGGGTCGTGGTCGTTGGGCACGTGGAGAGTCGTCATCTGCGTGATGGGGTCCATGCTGATCAGGCAGTCGGCGCCCCTCTCGATTTCTGCGCGTGCGGTAAATGCTCACGTTAGCTCTGCTTGGTCCATTCTCTCTCCCGTCTACTCTTCCCCTCTAATCGTGTTGCCGTGACGCCGATCCTGTGGTGCCCCGGCTCGTCGCCAGCGGCACGCACTCCCCCCCCCCTCTCCCAACGAGACTCGACGTACCTCTGGGCAGGAAAGCCCGCACCCGCACGACGACTCTGACGTTTCCTCCGGCGTCCATCCTCATGTGCGGCGGGAGTGTGCCGTCGCGAGAACGCAGCGACGGCGTCGACGCCGACGAGCGGGAGGCCTTCATTTCAGGCGGAAAGAGACGCGAATCTGTCATTCCAACCAGTGTCTCACAGAATTCGTTGATGATGTCGTTAGTGCGCTGCTTGTATGGGTATGGAATGCCGTAGACAGGCATCTGGAGAGGGGACTATAGTAGATATTGCTACTGGTTAGTGGGTCCGGCGGTTGGTTTATTTACTTGGGACGGCCAAGCGCCGTTGCCGGAGCAGCGCACTTGCCTATCCCGGCCAACGCGGGGCAACCGCGTTGTGCGACCGACAAGCCGTTAAAAAGGATCAGATGTAGGCGGCGGTGCGGGCTCGAGCCGAGGAGAGGGATTGTCGGGAGGCAGTAAATTGCCGACTGGTTTCAGAGGGTGAAGAAAAAAAAAAGTAATTTTGGGTCTGATGTTTGTGTAGACGACGTTGCTACGGTTGCTCTCAGCAATGTCTCAGATTCACTCATGACCTGATTGTTTACCAATTCGGGTCTGTACAACTTCCAAATTCTCTCTGCTAGACTCTACCCATGAGACCCACGAATACGCTCTATACGCTCTATACGCTCTATACGCTCTATACGCTCTATACGCTCTATGATGAGAGTTCAGTCCACGTAGACGTACCTAGAAAGAATATCTAAAAAATGCTAAAAGGCTCTAATGAAGGGGGGGGAGGGGTTGCGTGTCGAATCCATTATTTCTTTGCCAGGCCCTTCCCCAGCAGCTCGTTGCCAACCTCGGCGATGAGAGGCTCGTCCGGAAACGGTTTCTTCTTCGCCAGTACGGTCCCTTGCGCATCTAGGGCCCTCAAAAGGTCTACCAACTCCCCTTCTAACGGTACGCAGTAACCCAAGAAACCCAGCGCCAGCAACATGCCACGCAACGCTTCCTTAGATGCGTCTTCCTGTGATATGGCCTCCAACACCGATGCTGCCAGCTCTATCTGATCGCCTTCGGGGAGGGCGTCCCCCGACCCATCTCTCCTGTGGTAATTCGTGTAAGCAACGTTGAAAAGCAGTGAAGAGGCCGCTACTCGGACATTGTTATGGCCGTCGTCGAGGAAGCTAGCCGAAATCAGCAGGGTGACCGCGCTTCTCAATGGTTCGTGGCCCAGGATCTGGTCTGCGTAGAGAGGGCTGGAGAATAAATTACAGGCCAGCTGCAGCGCTACCAGTCGCAGCGCATAGGGACATTCGGTTTCCTTGTTCACCGCGTCCAGAACGGCGATGACCGTCTTTTGGTCGTGCTCTTCTGCGAAGTATCCGCTAAATCTCGGATCTACGAGAGCGCAGCGGAAGAGGTCCACGACGGTGAATAAGATCTCCCTCGGCAGATCTGCTACGGCGGAGAGCACGAAGTTGGAGAATGCCGTCATGCTGGGCAGTGTGGTTTGCGCGGGGCCTTCTGTCGACCTCGTCTCGATGAAATGTCTCACTGCTTGAACAGAGGGGTCGTCGGCCTTCGGCCCTAGTTTTGACAGCAACTTGGGAAGCGGAGGGATCTTGGCGTATAGGACTGGCTTTAGCTCTGGGTCCGCGAAGTGCGGCAGCTTGAGCAGCTGATGCGGGTGCGCTGGGGCTGCCATGTGAGCTAGGAGACTTATCGTTCCCCGGAGGCGAGGCGCGTCGGCGCCGGTCCATCGCTCTTCCTCCTTGCCGTGGACGAAGGTAATGAAGGTGGGGGTGGCCTTGATCGAATATGTTTGCGCAACGTCGAAGGCGACAGACGTGTCAACCTTTATCAAGGTGATCTTGCCGTCGTGCTCCGCGGCTAGGGTGTCGTACACGGGATAGAGGGCTCTGCAGGGGCCGCAGGTAGCCGAGGTGAAGAAAACAACGGCACTAGACCCTCTCGTAGGCTCCAGCGCCCTATTTAGCCCCTGGAGGTTGGTGACGTTTACAACCTGAGAGGTTCGGGGGCCCGCGGTCGGGGGGTGGCCGTTCGGCTGGGGCTGGGCGTTGCCCTGGATGCCGAGCAATCCGCCCTGCCGGGCTTTCCTGGCCTCGACCATCTGCGTCAGCTGGGGCAGCATCATCCTGCCAAAGGGCGAGTCGAGCACGGCTTGCGGCATTTTGGCGATGTGATCGGGTATGCCCCTGCCGAGGAGAAAGGTGGAAAAGTCGTTGCTGAAATTGTTGCAGTTGTGACGGAAAATGTCATATGCCTGTGTGGTCAGCGTGGCATTCCCGGCGGAGGCGGCCGTGTCGGCTTACCTGGGGCGTGTAGATCTCTCGGAGAGACTCGAGATATTCGAAGACGACCTCGAGGGGGAGTTCGGTTTTGCCGAGGGGGAGCCGTTCTAGCGGCTGGCCCAGGTGAGAGCTGCCGGGGCGTATGGTGTTGATCCCGCCGTCGTAGACATACTCCATGCCTTGCAGCTCTATCGAGGTGTGGTAGATGGCGTCGAGCTGGACGCCAAGCAGAGCGGCGGACATCTGCTTGGCCAAGCCACCGGATAGATCGTACACGAGGAGATGGACATCCATCGTGGGCGGGGAATACCGTGGTTGCCGGTAGCTTCCAGGTTTCTAGCCCGTACAGGTCGGTTGGCGTTGTCGTCGCCTTGCACTCACCGATTGTGTTCCCTCTTGGGTCTACCGCGTGGACGAGGAATCGGTATCTCGGAGGTAGGTAACTCTTATGGGGTGGACACGTTCAGGGTATATATATATATGTGTGTGTTCTCGATGCATCTCGAGTGTTATCGGTGGGTGGGCACTATGTCCGGGGATGGGCGAGAGGATAGGTAGGTATGAATGAACGAGAGGCTGCCACGGATAACGTCATCCCTGGTCCTTCAACTCCATGACACCCACCCCGCTACCAGGGACGGAGGTACCTGCGTAAGCAAGCTCCGACTCCGGGTACCTTTTATCCATTGGTCAGCGCGTGCAAGGCACCACCTGTAGGTACCTACCTACCTCTGTGCCTAGGGCATCTAGGGTACTCAAGGCAGCTAGGTACCTGTTCGTAGTGTAATTGTAGGGACACAATCTCCGGCAAGATGCGTGGTATGCAGGTACTGTCGGCTAGCGGCGTCGGAAATAGGGGTAGAGCTGGACCCAGTAGAGGCACCTAACCTAACCTGTTCGACGAGGTGATTCGGTACTTGACTTGATTCCAACACGAGGTCCGTATAGGCACATGGGTGCCCATCGCTAACGCATACGCGCATTGCGTTAGGTAATAGGCACATAGCCAGGTGCCTGTCAGCTACACGCGGACTGTGCCTAGACGTACCTAAGGTAGCCAATCTTGGATGCTCTTAGGTACATTCCTCCGTGCCTAAGATCTCTTGTCCTATGGTTATATATGGGGTCGCTATAGGTGGCCCAAGTCAATAATATCTTGTCTCTCTCCTTTTTATTTCTTTCGGATTTATCCTGGGAAGCAAGCAGGAAAAAATCTACTCGTATTGACGGTGAATGCGAGGCAAGGTACCGACCGAGGTACCTTAATCTCAAGTCCTGGCCTACGGCGTTACGTAGAAAGTAGAGGCCGGTACATCCGTAATTCGAGATTGCCAAGTTCCCGCGATGGACATCGCCAGCTGCAAAAAACCCCGTCCCCATCTACAAACCGGGCCTGGGCCAGTCACTCGCTGCGTCGCACCCACCGATCTGTGTAATCTGTACTCTTTGCTGTGCTTCCCTTCTTCCTCTCCTCCCCTTCTCGCGCACACCCACACATTTATCTCCTCTGCATCGCCCTCCTCTCCCCGAATCCGTGATTTATTTTCGCGACCGCGTGTCTGTCCTTCTGAGGGTTTGCGCCGTCCTTCCTCTTCCTATCGCAGCCTCTCAAGTCGATCCCGCCTGGTCGCTCGCTTCCGCACGCCTTCGCCTGCCTATCTATCTATCCTTCTTTTGATCCTTTCCCTGTGCTCCCGCACCCCCTTTGCCTTTCCCGCCCGCCTTCCCCATCGTCTTGGGGATGTATCGACAGTAAAGGTTATGAGGAGAACATCAGTCTCGTTGCCTACTAAGCAGACCCGACCCGACCCTCACGAGAAAGCTGCACGATACGACTCGGGCCACCGAGAACCCGGCATCCTGGAGAAGATACAAGCCGCCACCATGAATCAGGCCCAGAAGACGCGTTGGCTCAAGACTACCGCCATCGTCGTCTTCCTGGTGTTCCTGTTCTATTACCTGTCGCCGACGGGCGTGGATCTCGTTAGAGAAGGTACGCCGCATCACCAATTGATATCGCACTCCCCTCTACACACTCTCTACACACACACACACACACACTCTCTCTCTCTCTCTGTGCTAAGACGTGGCCAAACTGACTCGACTTGATGTGATGTAGCATCCCACTCCCGTGGCGGCGGCCAGGTGCCCTCCGACTCGTCATACGGAACCGACAAGTGCACGAGGTCCTACTCGAAGGACAAGCCCATCGTCCAGTATGTCCTCATGATTGATGCCGGGAGCACCGGATCTCGTATCCACGTCTACAAGTTCAACAATTGCGGCGCGACCCCAGAGTTAGAGAATGAGGAGTTTAAGATGACCGACAAGAGTGTCGGTGGTCTTAGTAAGTATAAGGACGACCCCATCGGTGCCGCAAAAACGTTGGACGATCTGATGGCCGTGGCTATGCGCACCGTTCCCGACAAGCTGAAGCCGTGCAGCCCGATCGCCGTGAAAGCCACCGCTGGTTTGCGAATGATTGGTCAGGAGGCTAGCACGAAGATCCTCGACGCCGTCCGAGAGCATCTGGAAAAGGACTACCCCTTCCCTGTCGTCTCCAAGGAAGAGAACGGTGTCGCGATTATGGATGGCTCTGACGAGGGCGTCTATGCTTGGATCACCACCAACTACCTCCTCGGCAAGATTGGCGGCCCCGACCAGAGCCCTACCGCCGCCATCCTCGACCTCGGCGGCGGCTCTACCCAGATCGTCTTCGAGCCCACCTTCAAGGATCTTGCCTCTGGTGGGATGCCGGAGAAGCTGGCCGAGGGCGACCACAAGTATGAGCTCTCCTTCGGCGGACGAAAGTTCGAGCTCTACCAACACTCTCACCTCGGCTACGGCTTGATGGCTGCCCGGAACTCGATCCACCAGACCTTGCTCCACGATATCTACTCGACCGAGAAGGACAAGTCCTTCCTAGACAAGCCTATTCATAACCACCCTTGCATCAACGCCGGCCAGAAAGAGACGGTCGAGGTCAAGCTCGATGCGGATAGCCCGTTGGGATCTGGCCGTGTGCAGCTTAACGTGTCTGGCCCGGCCACCCCCGCCCCGGCACAGTGCCGCAACTTAGCGGAGCGGATTCTGTTCAAGGACGCCGAGTGCAAGCTGGCGCCGTGCTCGTTCAACGGCGTGCACCAGCCGTCGATGGCCAAGACCTTCGCGACCGAGGACGTCTACATCTTCTCCTTCTTCTACGACCGCACGAAGCCGCTCGGGATGCCCGACTCGTTCACCCTGCGCGAATTGCACGACCTCACTCACTCTGTGTGCGGCGGCGAGCAGTCGTGGGACGCGTTCAGCACGGTCCCGGATGCCCTCGCCGAGCTGCGCGACCGCGGCCAGTGGTGCCTCGACCTCAGCTTCATGATTGGCCTCCTCCACACGGGCTACGATATGCCCATCGACAGGGAGGTCAAGATCGCCAAGAAGATCAAGGGCAACGAGCTGGGCTGGTGCCTGGGAGCTAGGTAAGGCCAATCTCCCCTCCGTCACAATCCATTCATCAGTTGCTAACCTATACGAAGTCTTCCCCTACTTTCCAAGAACTCCGGCTGGTCTTGTAAGATCAGCCAGACTTACTAATCACACGCGTACACGAGACCAACATGCATTTACTTGATTACTTGCCTATGTCCCTGACCCTATCCGTCCTGAGCAATACATACAAGGTGCTAAGGAGGGAAGGGAGGGGAAGGGGAAAGAAGGAAACGAGACGAGGACATTATTCTCTATAGACGGCCGGCCTTAGATAACTTAAACTTAATGAGGATTGAGAGAGAGAGGGGGGGGGGGGGGGAGGGAGAGAAAACACAACGGGAAACGCTTAAACCATGGTCTGGAGAAAGGGGAAGTTCCCCGGGTTCTCCCAACCAAACCCATCTACCGCCATCACCCTACCACGTTTTACCCACGAAGAAAGGGGTGTGTTCATATGCCGGCTTTTTCCGGGTAAGGCATCTCGCTTCAACCTACCTACCCACACAAAACCCGAATTTCCTCGCGCAGCTCTCTGGGGGGGTTGGTGGTTAGGTAGGCGGGGAGGCGAGAGAACGGAACTAGGCTGTTCTTCCCGCACGTGGAGAGAGGCAAGGCCGCAACGTCTGGGTGACGGCGGAATCGCCGGATATTTCTGTCTGTCTGACGGTCACGTACATGTATAACATAGGCACGAACGAACGGGCGGGGAAACGAGGGACGATGACGAGCAAGATCTCGGCAACGAAACACTAGCTGATGAAGGTGTCGACTGACCATGCGGTAGACGTAGATGTGCAATAGGTGTAGCTGTGCGTGCGTGCTCGTGTGTATGTATATGTGATGCCTGCGGTACAACGGTTTGACCGTAGTAGATGGATTGTATGTATGTATGTGTATATGTGTATTATGTAAATTGCACGTCTACCTGCCTGCCTACCTCCGTACCCACCGCCTAACCAATCTGCGTTCCCACCTCGCTCGCTGTCTAGGGTAGCGTAGGGTAGGCAGGCCGGCGAGACTAGCCGGTAAGCTCGCGCTCTGGTCTGGTCTGGTCTGCTCTACTCACGCGTCTATATCTTCTACCTATCTATCTATCCCGTCTATCCCGGCCCCGTCCCCTACCCAACCACCTAGCGTCGCCGTCCGCCCGATCGTCTGTGTCGCGGCGCGGCTCGGATCTCGCGTAGTCGGGGGCGACGTTAGCGATGCGCAAGCACGCGCGGGCAAGTGTATATATATGCATATGTACAATATCCGGATGTATCCATCCATCCATCCATCCACCCATCCATCCACCCCTCTCTCTACGCGCGGCGCAGCGCACCGCCCTTCACAGCGGGGGCGCGACCGCAGCGAGGACGTCGTCGAGGACGTCGTCGGGGGCGAGGCCGGCGAGGACGGCGGCGGCGGCGGCGGGGTCGCTGCCCCACTGGAGGCTGCGCTCGCGGGCGGCGGGGGCGAGGCGCAGGCGGTGCGGGAAGGTCTTGCGCGTGGCGAGCGCGACGAGCGCCGGCGTGACGAAGTCGAGCCCGTGCAGCGCCGCGAGGCACGCCGACAGCCGCCCCAGGTGCCGCGCCGCCAGCGGCGACGCGCTCGCCGCCGCCGCCGGGAACACCGCCCGGTGCAGCCGCAGGAACGCCACCACGTTGTGCTGGTACCGCAGCACGTCCACGTCCGTCGCCACCGCGCACGCGCGCTGCGATAGTAGCGTGATGGCCGACTCCGGGAGGAGCGGCGGCGGAGGCGGGGAGGAGGAGAAGGGGCCGGGAGGAGGCGGCGAAGGGTAGGCGAAGGGGTACGAGGGCGGCGGCGAGGCAAACGGGGGCGTCAGGGGGGATGAGGGGCCGGGGTCGGTGGTGGTATGCGCGTAGGCAGGTTTAGATGGCCTCTGCTGCTGTGCGTCCGTCTCCGTGTTCGTGTTGCTGCGACTTCGGCTCGTTTGCAGGGTCGGCGTCTTGGTGAGGACGGACATCTCGGCGACGCTCCGGCGGACGACGACGCTCGAGGCGCTGTCGGCCTCGTCCATACTTTCGTAATCGTCGTCGTGATCCTCGGCATCCTCGCTTCCACCCTCGCCGCTCCTGGCTGCCATCGCGGCCTTCTCTGCCCGTGCTCCGTCTTGCTCCTGCTCCTGCTCCTGCTCCTCCTCCTCCAGGTGCGCGAAGCCGTCCTCGGGGTCATGCCAGTGCGCTATGTAGAAGAAGTCGTTGAGGTGGTTGACCAGCCTAGCGGCGGCATGGCTAGAGGCGGGCTCGGCTTCGGACTCGGGACCGTCGCCGGCGAGCACAGCCACGAATAGGAACTGCTTGGGCGCCGTCTGCACGCTGGTGCGCGTGAGTATGCGCCGCGTTCGCAGCAGCTCTAGGCACTGGATCTGCACGACTCTGGGGGCGCGGTCGAGGTTCTTGGCGAGGATGACGTTGGCGATCTGTGGCGGTGTCGTCTGGTGTCTGCTACTCGACGCGGCAGCAGCGGTGGCACTGTTTCCGAAGTGGGTGCTATTCCTGCTGTTTTGGCGGTGGTGGGCATATTGCTGCTGCTGTCCTCCGTGCAAGCGAGACGCATCAGTGCCGCGGCGCTGGAGAGTGTACTCGGGGGGGGAGGAGGAGGAGGAGGAGGAGCGTGCGGCGGGATTGAGACCGCTGGGTGTAGGCGGCGCTGGCGACGGATACCGAGGCTGGATCTGGATGGAGGCAACGAGCTCTTCGAGGGTGGTTTGCGGAGTGCAGTCGACGACGGCAGAGGACAATCCGAAGGTGCGGGAGGCGACAAGGCGCAGCTCGGAGACGAGGTCGTCGAGCTCGGGGGGCTCGGTGGTCACGATGCAGTGCTCGCGGCTGATGAGGCAGAGGAGGGCAGCCAGGTCGAGGTCAGCCAGGCTGTGGATCCGGCGCAGGAGGTCGGCCTCGTCCGCCATCGGGTGTCCGTAGTGATTACGGCCTGGCTATCCATCGATTCGCGTTGGGCATTGGTGGTGTGCGCGATCCATGCCGTCTCCGGAGGTAGAGGCGAGAGGAAAGAGAGAGAGAGGGAGGGAGAGGAGCTCTCGACAATGGGTTGTATAGGTAAGTGTAGACCAATCCCGGTGAGACCGGCATCTGGCCACTGTAGGCTGGGAGATAGGTACCTTAGCCTAGGTATCTAAAGTACCTACAACCCCATAAAGATAGGTACCTCCTACAGAGGCCGCCGCCTGTACGTACCTGCCCCCTGACCAATTCGGCCCTCTTAGGTCAAGTGGTTAGGAGGTACCTAGGGAGGTAGGAGGTATCCACAGCGGGTTGTGCACTATTTTATGAGCGGGATATGCACCCGCACCTGCAAAAAAGGGTTCTGAAGAGAGGTGCAAGAATGTACCTAACTTCTATCGGAAGTAACAACTCTATAATGGTGAAAATTCGGCAGTACGGAGAGGTAAATGTTGTACGCGGTCGCATCTATGCACCCGTACTTCTCAACCACCCTGGCTAACCTCCACTGCCGTGGGGACCGATGTCGTCTTCTCTTCCCACTCATATAGGACGAATCTAGGTCTCCCTAGCATCGCGTCCCGCTCCCAAATAGTCCCTCTTGCTGTCCTGCATTTCGTCCATCTGATCGGCCATGGCAGCTCGGGACCAGTCGGAGATCATCAGGAAAAATCCTATCGGCAACGGCCTCGACGCCTTCCACGCGTTGTTCAGATCTCTGCGCGCGAGCGGGGACTTCAGCTCGGAAGAAGCCCTTGCACAGCTTGACGACGACGAAGGTAAATCGCTCGACTTCATTATGGCATGTTTTTCCTAATTATCGCCTAGATCTCCCAATCATCATTCCCAAGCTTGTCTCGGAGCTCCAAGCTCTAAGCTCTTCCGGTGTCTCGTCTGCTTCGTTCTACCAGTAACAAAAGGTGCTTGCTTTACGACCTACCAAGGCTGATTCCGGCGACCGATTTCGACTAAGACCGTGTCAACCCTCTTTTAGAAGCGGTTGTTGCTAGGAAACCTGACGAGGAGATCTGGTCCCAAGTTTATCATGCCGTTGCCGAGTCCACTCCACCGCGGCAATCGGTCATCTCTTCCCTCCAGCAAACACCACGGATTCGCAATACGAGCAGCTTCACTAACTCCTCCGAACATCGAAAGCACGTAGACGCCGTTCTAAAGGAGGAGCTCGGCACCATGTATGCTGGGCTCGCCCGCTTCCACGAGACTTTTTTCGGGGAGGTGGCAGGTCTCCAGAATGCGTCCGACGCCGTCTTTGCGAAATGCAGGGCGGGTAGTAACCCACTCTTTAACGACGGCTGGAGCGGGTGGCCAGCACAGGCTCAGGAGGAGGACGTTTTAAGCTGGTTTCAACATGTTACCCAACAGTTCTCACGACTTGCACAAGACCATAGTCCTGCCACGGTCCCGGTACGAAGGCTAATAGCACAGCCTAACAACCCCCTGGGGGGCTTGACGGCGGATCGCAGACTAGATATTGGCTTTATAACTGATCCAAAAGCTGAGGAAAATCTACGGTGTCACTGATCCCAGGTCCTTGTGCCAGGGGAGCTGAAGAGTAATCCGGACGCCGATAAGCCTAAAACCTGGCTAGATATTGGCAGATATTGAACAGGAGCAGCGTGGGCAAGCTGTGATGGAGGCCCGTACAAGGACTACCCAACTGCCAACAACTGGCTCAGTGCTGATCGAACCAGATCACAGCTGTGAACAGCTGTAATCAGTTGATCGGCCAGCTGAAAACGGCTAGCCAGCCAGACTGACGCGGCCGTACCACCGAGCAAGCGATCCCGTTCGGTATCTCCGACTAAGGTAGACCTCAGCACGCTGCCAAATCCAGTCCACCGGCGCGTCGTCCTCCGTGATTACGGACAGCCCATCTATAATGCTAGCTCTCGCGCGGTGCTGCTTACTGCCTTAGAGGGTTGTATTCAAGGACACGAATCACTCTACAGAGCCGGAATTCTCCATAGAGATATCTCGACCAATAATCTTATGATCAACGAGGACGCCTCTAACCCCTCCTGGCCCTCGTTCTTGATCGATCTAGACCTAGCCATCAAAACGCAACGACAGGGCGTTTCAGGCGCGAAGGGAATGACTGGTACGAAGGCTTTTATGGCGACCGGGGCGCTTCTGGGTGAGCGACGTTCGTTCATGCACGACCTCGAGTCCTTCTTCTGGGTGTTTCTCTGGATATGTATCCACTACGACGGGCCAGGTAAGGACGTCGGCCAAACCGAGTTCGAAATGTGGAACTACATGAGCGTGGAAGACCTGGCGACGAGGGAAAAAGGTCAAGTAACGCACGAGGGCGATTTCATCGAAAGAGTAGAGTCGGCTTTTACACCGTACTTCCAGCCGCTGGTGCCTTGGGTGAATCAGCTACGAAGAGTAGTCTTTCCGAATAGCGGGAGGTGGGAGCGCGAAGACGAGGCGTTATACTCTCGCATGCGGGAGGTTCTCCGCCAGGCTCGGGAGGACCCTAATGTGTGAAGGGGTGCGCTGGGGGGCTAATGCCCGCACGTACTCCCCAGATGTCCTATCTATCCAGCCATGGCCCTGGCGTTTCATGAGGGGGGAGGGAGTCTGGGTTGTATGAACGATTGCGGGCGAAAACCCCCATACGCATTTGAGAGATTTGCCCGGCGTTAAGGCTGAAAATAGGTAGGTAAATGTAGCATGAACTTGCTTCGTATCCGGTCCACATAGTAGCAAGGAAGTGCCGAGATATGTGTACGGCAATGTATGATGTATAAATTTAATGTTGAATTAAAACGTTATAATCTGCGTGGCGTTTACCGTCGTAGGCTTTCCCCCAAAGAGCCATCCCGGCCATGTCCCGAGATACTACAGATACGCAGGCTAACACAATCCCACGGGCGGATGCATCAAGTCCCCCTTTATCAACGAGCAAAGTAGCTACGATGCCCAAAGTAACGTGTGATACAGAGCATCCGGCATCCTCACGTGTACGTCTGGATATTACTAGGCATTGCAATCGATGCCGGACCCATCTCGTCCGCCACTGGTCAGAGGGAATGGTCAGCGGGGCAGTGCGTGACGTCTGATGGAGAACCAACCCGTGGACGACGTCTGCCGGTCGAGCGAATCCCTCTACAATTGCGAAACGGGTAAAGACGAGTAAGGAGGCGACGGCGCGAGCTATTACTCACGCGCCTTGCCAGAACTTCTTGTCGACCTTGTCGTCCTCGGCGGGGGACGCGCGGTCGTGGCGCTGCTCGAACTCGCGGTTGTGCTGCTCCACCTCGCGCTTCTGCGCCTCGGTGAGGCCGGGCATGACACCGGGCACGCTCTGGTTGTGGATCTTGGGCTGCGGCTTGCCGGGGCCCTGCGGCCCTTTCAGCGCCTCGCCCCCGCTGCTGGTTGCGGGGGCTTCGGCGGCGGCGCTGACCTTCGGCTCTGCGGCCTTGGGTGGGGACGGGGTCGCAGCGAAGGCACGGTAGGGCGCAGGGCCGCGGGGCAGAGGCAGAACGCGGGCGACGCGGAGGCGGGTCACCAAGTTGCCAAGGCGGAGGGCCGCCATCCTGGTTCGACCTGCTTGTTCGGGTTTGATTTTTTTGGGAAACAGACGTTTGCGGGCTGGGATGCGGACTTGTTTGATGTGATGTTGGTTCGCTGGCCGATTGGGATGGACGACACGAATCTTTGCGATCTCGAGCCTGAGTTTGCAGTATGGAGTGGAAGTTGGAAGTGGGAGGACAGGTATGGAAGAACTCACGAGAGATGGGTATATGCCTCAGGAAATCAGCGGCGGTTTCCGAAGCTGCCTACCTACCTGATTCCTAAGGTTCCTACGTATGAGTAGATACTGTCCAGATACCTGGCCATGACCTACCCCGGGCGCTGTCGGACATCGCAGTGGTAGGTACCGCCCTAGGTACCCGACCGTAAGCTGTAGGGACGATGGTCCGCAGCGATGAAAGATGCGGTACGGGATGATGAAGGATGACATCACGCGCTTGGACAGCGATCGGATAGTCTCGCCCGCCACTCCTTTGCCGACGTCGACGCCTGCTGTGTCATCCGGGCCACATGATTTGCCGAAGGAGATGATGATGGATCTGAGGGAGGCCGTCTAGTCACCTTAACTTTCGCTCCTCACGCCGCCGATCTGCCTATTGCAAATCGTGCGGGCGTCCGTTAGTATACCTAGGTACCGTCGGCGAGGTGGAGAAAACGAGAGTCCGCATCTGTGGCATCATGGTGGGAGCGCGGACCTATCGGCAGGCTTAATGCCCATCTTAGGGCTGGGTACATGCTTAGGTAGCTTAGGTACCTTATATACGGGCTACCTGCCTAGGTTAACCTACGTACCTACCTCCAAGGTACCTACCTACCTATGGTACCCTATCTTCAGACGGATCTTCTCCGCACCAGTGCACCTCACCTACAGGCAGGTACCTGAGGCGGGTGCCTGATGTACCTACCAACTGCCTATAACGGACGCCAGGAGCCCAGGTACCCGCTCTCGTAGCCCGAGGTCGCCAGCTGCCCCTGCATTGCAGTTGTGCATGGACCGATCTCGTGCTCGCCAACCAGTAAGGCGACGAAGTCACATTAGGTAAGGCCCGGTGCCTTATCAGCTGGCGCATTCCTGTATCAGGCATGTATCAGCGCAGGCCGCTAGCAACACCCAGCGCCAGCCCGTCCGTTGTCTGCCGTAGCCCAGTCTTCCGCCAACTTCATCAACAACAGAACCTGCCGAGCACCAACCATCACCGACAACTCTCTCGGACGTCACCACTACTCCACCTGCGCACATTCGGCATCGCTTTCTTCAAGTTGTCGCGCTTCGTCGACTCCTCCAGCTCACATTGTTTTGATTTGCTTTCCTCCTCCTCTCACCCTCTTCCTCTGCCTCTCCCGCCCCCCCCCCCCGAGACGCTCACCACCGCCGCCAAGTACCGTCCTAGTTTAGCCTCCCTCCCATCATGGCCACCAGGAAGAAGGTCCTCCTCAAGGTATGACATATACGATCCTGATAGCCTGGCTGGGTTTCTTCTCCTTCGCACGGCACCTTCACCTAAACTAATTACATTGAACCGTACAGGTGATTATTCTTGGCGACAGCGGTGTCGGCAAGACGAGCTTGATGAACCAATATGTACGTAACGCGTCCTCGATTCGCACGAGACGCCCTTCGATGCGACTCTCTCGCTGCCGTATCCCGAACGGACCCGTGCTTATTCTCCCTGCTCTACCAGGTCAACAAGAAGTTCAGCGCTAGCTATAAAGCCACCATCGGTGCCGATTTCCTAACCCGCGAGGTTTTGGTTGACGACCGACAAGTTACGATGCAGGTACGAGGAACTTGCCAGCAACCGCTACGAGTTTGTTGATCCGGCGACAGACGACTGATGATATGAAAAAAATTAGCTTTGGGATACCGCTGGCCAGGAGCGATTCCAGTCCTTGGGCGTTGCCTTCTACCGGGGTGCCGATTGCTGCGTACTAGTCTTCGATGTCAACAACTCTAAGAGCTTCGACGCGCTAGATAGCTGGAGAGATGAGTTCCTGATCCAAGCGTCCCCGCGCGATCCTGAGAACTTTCCCTTCGTAAGAGCATCCATTTGGCCCAACGTCGGGTGATGACCTAACACGTGTGCTCAGGTGGTGCTCGGCAACAAGATTGATGTCGAGGAGAGCAAGAGAGTGGTAGGTGGTGACAGCTCGTCTCTAGGCCAGGCCTTGGTAAACTCACAACCGCCAATAGATCTCGAGCAAGCGGGCAGCTACTTTCTGCCAGTCCAAGGGCGACATCCCGTACTTCGAGACCAGTGCGAAGGAGGCGGTCAACGTCGAGCAAGCATTCGAAGGTACTTTCCGAGGCTTCTTCTCCTCTCTCGCCGCCCTGCCCTTTTGTCGGCGGCCTGCTAACGCTGCCCCCCTATAGTGATTGCCCGGAACGCGCTGGCGCAGGAGGAGTCGGAGGAGTTCAGTGGAGACTTCCAGGACCCGATCAACATCCACATCGAGAACGACCGCGACGGCTGCGCATGCTAAAAATAGCCGCCGTACCTATCCTGCCCGAAAGCCTCGCCTATCCGCCCTTACGCCCGAGTTGATCCCCCCCTCGGTAGCCTACGTGCATCGCCTCGCGCTATTTTGTGCCTGGCGTCTACCCCATTGTATCTACGGCTTGGAGAGGTTGGGGGTCTCGGCAACCCGTCGCAACTTCGGAGTCGCGGGGGCATCTTGGAACGAGATCGCGGGTGAGCGAATTAATGAGCGGGCGAGTGAGTGAGGGAGTACATGTGGGGAGTTTGACGCAATGGCAATTTGCTTGACTGGTTTTGGTGCCGCTGGGCCGTACGGGAAGGTTGGTGGACGTAGGTAGTTGCGTGCCTCGGGCGTCTTGTCGAGGGCCCTATGAAGGGGCATTGTCTTATCAATACTGACTTCTTACTATCTGCATCTGTCCGGGGCTAGGTTGGGTTGGTGTTGCTCTACCATCATACATATGATACCTTTATCGTCTACCTATCTTGTTGGTGGTGCTCGTGACTTGTATGCATGCCGGCTTGGCTGGTTGGCTACGTGGGCTTGGGTAAGTATATTCGATGGGAGCCTACCCTCGGTCCCCGTCGCATACGTATCTAGGTGTGCGAATATATACCTACCTCCTGGCTCCCGTAGGATGTATGAGTATGCTGCCCAGACATCGGGTGGATGTGTTAAAATTTGCCATACGCGCAGAGGGTGTGTAGACAAGTACGACGTAGGTATCTGGATGAATACCTGCCTCCCAACAACCTGCCACCTTAGGTGCCAACCCTGCCTACCTGAGGTACCTAGGATCGCGGCTTATGCCCTAGAGACCCCCTAGCGCGTTGCCCGTCTCATAGGCGGCTACGGGCGAGTTGAGCAGAGCCGTAGTGGACCCGGGTACGCATCGGGAAGTATCTCAGGGGGTGCCTCGGCGTCCGCAGTCACCGATACGGCGTAGTGGTTTCATACCTCGACATTTCGCACCTTGGTCCAACACCACATTGTCTTCTTCTCGCACGCACTCACTCGTTTACGCATACACACACGAACACACATTCTTACTCTCGCTCTCGTTTACTGTTTCCATTCTCTCTCTTCTTGCATTGGTCCAAATTATTCTGTTGGGATTGGTTAGTCGATCGACCATTCTTGATGTCTCTGCCGGCGCGCGGGTTCCTGGGTTGTAACCGTCGCAGCCCATAATTTCTCCGTTCCGTCCCACGACGGTGGATGCCGCTCTCCCTCCTCTCCCTCCTCCCACGCGACCGCTCTCCTCGTACCCCCCCTCCTTTCCCGTACCGGAGGGTGGTCCCCTTCTTGACGTTTTAGTCGCCCGCATCTTGTCGCGCCGACGAGATGATACCACAGGATCCGACGCATGCCGGCGAGAGGCGCTCGGACGACTATGTGCCTAGACGAAGACTTTCCGAGCCGCCGCCCCCGTTCGAGAGCCTGCCCGGCACGCCCACCCTCGGGACTGCCAGCACCCCCCTTCCGAGGCCGAAGACCGGTCTGCTGAACGTCGCGCGCCGGACCCTGGGCATCTCGCTCTTGCTGCTCACCGTGCTCCTCTGGACGACGTCTAACTTCCTCGCGAGCGTGAGCGGCCTCTCCCCCACCGCCTCCTCCGAACTCCTGCGCTAACACGCTTCGAGTACATATTCTCCGATCACACGTACGACAAGCCGTTCTTCCTCGTATACATGAACACCTCCGTGTTTGCCCTGTCCATGATCCCCATATCCATCAAATATGTCCTCCAGAACGGCGGCCTCCGGCGGGTTAAGCACCTCGCGGTGCAGGAGTGGAGGTCCAAGTACCAGGGCATGGAGAGGCTGAAGACTGAGGACGAGGAGGACCCGGCGGCGGCGGACCGGCTCCTGATCGACGATGAGGATAGCCTCGATGCGGCCGACCTGCCGAAGCCGGCGGACAAGCTCACCCTCCTCCAGACGGCCCGGTTCAGCCTCGAGTTCTGCATGATCTGGTTCCTGGGCAACTATTTCGCGTCGGCCTGCCTCGAGTACACGAGCGTGGGGAGCGTCACGATCCTGACGTCGACCAGCAGCGTCTGGACGCTGATATTCTGCGCCATCATGCGCATCGAGCGCTTCTCGGTGCGCAAGCTGCTCGGCGTGCTGGCGTCGCTCGCCGGCATCGTGCTCATCTCGACGGTCGACCTCTCGGGCGCCGACAACGAGGACAACCGCGGCAACTTCCCCTACAAGAGCCAGCAGCAGATCGCCATCGGCGACGCCATGGCCCTCTTCAGCGCCGTCGTCTACGGCCTCTACGTCGTCGTCATGAAGGTCCGCATCGGCAACGAGGACCGCGTCAACATGCCCCTCTTCTTCGGCCTCGTCGGCATCTTCAACATCGTCCTCCTCTGGCCTCTCTTCCCCATCCTACATTTCACGGGAATCGAGCCGGTGAGGTTTTTTTTCTTTTCTTCCTCGAGCCTACTCGGAGCATTTTTCGTCTATTCTCTCGCCTCATCGCAACACAATTAGGCGCACGTGCTAACAGAAAATAGTTCGAGTTACCTCCAAATAGCAAAATCTGGTGGATCATTTCGGTAAGGACCTCATTTATATCACGCATCTGGGGCCCTAGTTCCGCCCTTATCTATGAGGCATTATGTAGGACTCAGCGCTAACCTTGCGCGCACGCTCGCGCGACAGCTCAACTCGATATCCTCCTTCGTATCCGACATCTCGTGGGCGTACGCGATGCTGCTGACGACCCCGCTCGTCGTCACAGTGGGCCTGTCCCTGACGATCCCGCTATCGCTGATCGGCGAGATGATCCAGTATGCGCAGTACTCGAGCTTCGTCTACTGGATCGGCGCCGCCGTCGTCCTCGTCTCCTTCATCTTCATCAACCACGAGAGCCACGAGGAGGAATCCACGACAGGCGGCAAGGACGACGGCTCCGATAGCGCGGCGAGAGAGGTGGGATAACCGGCGGCAGCAGGGCTATATAGGGCAAAACCCACTTGATCTCTCGCCATCGGTCTACCTTGAATTTCCGCTCGCGATTTTGATTATTCATGATGATCGTTGTCTATTTATTTTTATCTCTAGATGGGACTGGTAGGCCGGCGTCACGGGACCTGGGGGTAAACACGTGGGCGGGTGGATTTGGCGGCTTCTCTCCACCTTGCCAGCGGTGCATGGACACAGGGGCAGCATATCAGTCAGTTATCATCATGGGTTTGCGCGAGTGCCGGTGTCGTGCCGCATTTATACATGTATATGTGTACGGGAGATCCCGAGAAGAGCAAAAAGAGATGAACGGGTCAGAGAGACTTAAAACTTACGGTATATGTAGGCATATTTATATGTATATACCACCTCACCAAGATACGAAGGCGAATGTTCTAAGTAGAGGCAGGAATATGTGGATGGATCTCTGGATCGACTCGCCAGCAAGGGGGCGAGAAGTACACGTCTATTCCGAACGGCCCCGTTGCTGTGACGTGCATGGTTCGGCAGGAAACTGACGGGTCCAACTCGGCCATCATATCTTCTCGTTGCGCCGCGATCGCCTTGGCGAGATCTGCTGTCGCCTCCTATTGAAGGAAATTGAGATATCATACGCTGCTAGACCTGAAGTTCCTTGTTCTCTTGTATGAGTTACTTGTAGAACCTCTGCTAAAGACAGCAGCACGCATTGGCGTCTAACTAGAGGTATGTCTACCCGTCCTTGCGCCCATCTACCTGCCTCCCTCCCTAAACCGTTAAGTCGAGCAAAATCTCCATAGTAATGTACACAGGCTTTTATTTAAAGAAAAAACTGAGGTGCTTGTTAGTTAGTAAGTTAAGGGCGACTCGGCTTAACAACTCCTTCATCGTGGTCCTCGTTCTGTTAGCGCCACCTTGGTCCGCCTGCCGGTCTCGTTGGGTCGGGCTAGGCGGTCAAGTAACGTAGCATAGGACGCCGTACGCAGTTGAGAGACATCGATTCAAAAAAAAAAAAATACCAGGGCATCGGGAAGAGTCATGGAGACGTTCGCGCGATAAGACCAACCTGTCTCTCCCTCCCCGGCACTCTCCCGCCTCCCCGCAGGGTTGATCCCTCGAGCGAGCTGCCGCGTGGCCGCCTTCGCTCTGCCATACCTCACTTCGTCTACATACCTATCCAACGGCCTACACCACCGGTATGTACAAGGCCGTTAGGGTAGGTATGCGGGTGCCTGGATATGAGGTAAGTTCTTGTACACAAAGTCCTATCCTCGGAGGTTACACGGGGAACCTGTCACCTTGCACCATCTATCCCGAGCGTGTCCCCTTTTCTTTTTTTCCCCTTCCCCCCCTCCCTATCAATGCCGTCGCCTCCCCAGCCGAGCAATGCCGCGTTGCGCCTCGTCATGCCGCCGTCCGCTTCCGTTCCGCGACCCGGGAACGCGCCCCTGGCTACGCACTTCTGCGACGAGGAGGTAGGTAAGGGAGGGGGGCGGGCAGAGACGAGAAGAGAAGACAAGGGAAGGGAAGACAACCCAGCCCAGCTTGACTCAACCAACCCCCCCCCCCCCCGTCTGGTGGTCTGCGAGGTTGCTTGCCCCTTTCCGCGATCTCGATCTCGGCTGCACCTCTTGGAGAAGAGCGAATATCAAACTGCACTCGCCCTGCCGCGCAGCGATGCCGTGGCCGGGCAGCTGCCTCTGCTCTGGCGTCGCGGCCGTCCATTGACACCGCGCGACGTAGTAAGCGTGCCGTGCGACCGCGCCCTCGGCCAGACAGGGCGGCCGCGCCAGACGATCGAAACAAAGACAGGCCGCTGGCTGTCGTGGACGTAGCGTGTCTGCCCGCTTCCACACACACCATCGGCCTCGTGCCGGCCTGGCCTTGCCTTTGTCTGCGCCCTGCCACGTCTTTCTCGGGCCGGAGGTCGGAGCGTGGGCTCGAGGTAGGTACGTTATATCGATTGCCCCATAGGTACCTGGCTTGCGAAGCCGGAAGACGAAGGAGAACGGGAGGGAGACGATCGCGGCCGGGCCTCGAATCCCCCCCCGCCCCCGCCTACCTACTGCTACTACTGCGACTACTGCTGCTACTCGTTGTCAAAGTATCGACACGGCAGCCCGTCGTTTTTTTCTCGTGCTTGTCTCCCGGCTGGTGTGGACGGCCCAGCGTGGACAAGGAATACGTATATGCAGTACATGACTCTGCCCTGGCTTTTGTTTCCCGCCCCTCTCTCCCCTCCTCTCCCCTTTCCCGGCGCGCGTTTTCTTGTCGTTTTCTAGTTCCGAGGGCGCGGGTAGGCGAGGGGAAGAAGAGGAGATGAGAGACAGACGTGAAGAAAAGGCGTTGGCCCAGACCCGATCCTCTCTTCTCTTCCCTTTTTTACAAAGCCACCCGGAACCTCCCACCCACTTGCGCTCTCCCGCTCTGTCTCTCGCCCTCCTTATTCTCCCTCAGTCTGTCTCTCACCCCTCTGATTGCTCTATATTGCTGTCCCTTTCGCTCTTCCCAGCCTCAACTACCTTGCTCTCTTTGCTCGACCGCCATTCTCCTTCACTTGGGCCTTGGTTTGTTTCGCTTCTTCAAGCAGCCGCCTACGTAAAATCCAGCGATTCGGGTATCTGACTGGGAGATACTTAATACATACCGCTGGCTACACGCTCGACCCCTTTTCCCCTTAGGAGCCACCATCCTCTGCTACTCTCTCTTCATACCATTTCCCCGATTCAAGCTCTCCTCTTATACAGAGAGCTCGCAGATCTCGCCGTTCTCCCTTCGCTACCAACCCAAGTGTCACTTTCTCCACCCAGCTCTCCGCAGCTTAGCGCGACTGTAGTTCACCCCATCGCATCACTACCTACCACCCACGATGCCTCCACTACCTGAACACGCCACCCCCCCTCCACCGGCAGTCTCACTCTCGCCACTAGACGAATTCGCAGCCATATTCGCAGCCGCGGCGCTCCCACCGCCAACAGACAGCGACGCGGCCGGGCTCGCGTCCACGGACCCGGCGCGGCCCCTCGGGGAATGCATCAACGCGGCGACGCGGGTGCCGCACGCGCGGCTCAACCGGCTGATCGCGGCGCGGCTGCGGCTCGCGCTGCCGCCGCGGGCGGCCGACACGTGGAGCTACGCGCAGGGGCTGCTGCACCTGGCGCCGGTGTACATGGCGGTGGAGGCGCAGTGGCGGGACATGACGGGCACGGGCACGGGCACGGGCGCGGACGCGGCGCGGCGGCGCGTGCGCGCGGTGCTGGCGCACGTGGGCGGCGTGCTCCTGGACGGCGGGCTGGCGCGCGAGGTGGCGCTGCGCGGCGACCTGCGCGCGCTGACGGGCTGGACGGAGGCCGCGCTGGCGGAGCAGCTGGCGGAGGCGGCGGGCGGCGGCGGCGCGGCCGCCGAGATGGTGCGGCGCGTGCGCGCGACGGCCCGCGAGCGCCCCCACGCCCTCCTCGCCTACGCCTGGGTCCTGTACATGGGCCTGTTCGCGGGCGGCCGCCGGCTCGTGCGCGCCGCCTTCGAGCGCGTCGACCCCGGGGCGCGGTTCTGGCGGCCGCTCGCGCTGGAGGACGAGGACGAGGAGGATGACGACGACGAGGAAGAAGACAAGGGGCCGGGAGGCGAGAAGACCGCGGAGAAGAGCGTCGGCTTCGTCGAGCGCCTGTGGGGCCTGGTGACGGGCGCGAAGAACAACGGCAGCAGCACGGCAACGCGACCGCCCCCTAGCGACGCAAAGCAGCGGCGGCAGCAGCGGCGCCCGGCGTGGCAGGCGCCGGCGCGCCAGCCGCTCGCCTTCTTCCGCTTCGACACGGCGACGGACGGCGAGGACGTGCGGGCGGCGTTCAAGGCGCGGTTCGCGGAAGCGACGGCGACGTCGGGCGAGGACGAGGGCCGGGACGAGGTGCCGCGGCTGTACCTGACGCAGGCGGAGCGGGACGAGGTGGCGGAGGAGGCGCGGGCGATCTTCGAGCACATGGCGCGGGTGGTGGGCGAGCTGGACGAGGTGTGCGGGACGGAGTACGAGGGCGGGGTGGTGGTAGCGGCGGCGGCGGCGGCGGCGGCGAAGGCGGCGGACGGCTCGGCGACGCCGCTGCGCAGCCGCGACAGCGTCGTCGTCGAGAAGGAGAAGCGCACGCGCAAGCGCCTCGCCGCCATGGCCGCCACGGCGGAGGCTTCGCCCAAGACTACCGGCGCCCGCGGCGCCCCCGCCGAAGGCCCCGCCCTCGACGCCCTGAGCAGGCCCGCCCCCGCCCGCCCCAGCCTCAACCGCTCGCTCAGCGCTATCAAGTTCGAGGCGTAGGCGCGCCGCCGCGTCTGGTCTTGTATCGGACCCTGGGGGGTACCGAAAGGGGATCTTGAGGGGCATGGGCAGTTCTTTGATGTGGAGAGGATGGATTGGGTTTCCTGGTTTTGTTACCTACATGCTTCTATGGATATATTAGGGAGTTTTCAGCCGTTTGTGGGATTACGAATGAATGCCGTCGATACTAGCCGAGCGTTTTCTCTCGCGGTGCGTGGTAGACCTAGGTATACTCCAGATCGCGTGCCCCTTACGTGTAAGGCTAAGGGACGTTGAGTGCATGTTCTTCTACCAGGGACTGCGAAGTCACTGCGTGTCGGAGAATAGCTGCAGCCTCGGATATAGACAAAATTTGAGGGGGTTCTGTCCTCGCTGGTGCAAGCTCCCTGGTATCCAGCAGCAGAGACGCGTTTATATCGGGCATCTACGGGGTGGCACTCGCAACACTGTCTCGCGCACTCTTCCACTTCGCCATAAAAGGGGGTCAGGCACGAGCTTCCGGAAGACTGTCAGGTTACGATGTAAAGTCCAGTTGAATTTCTATCGAGAGCCGGAGACGAGGAGCTATCTCGTCGCCGCGAGTGAAGACCCTCCGACAACTGCCCATCGGCTGCTAGAGCCTCCCGAGTGCGGCTTCTGAGGAGAAGCCAAGTACAGTTCCGAGCAGACAGATCCCATCTCGCACCTTTCTCTCCCTCCCCTCCCTTCCTTCCTGGCCGCACCGCGCGCCCAGCCACGAAAGCCCCCCTCCCCACCACCACCGCACCCATCTCCCTACCCCCCCTCCTCCTCCCCATCGTCGCCGGCGCCCCCGCCCTCGTTGAACTTGGCCTCGATCATCTCGGGCTCGGCGGCGAAGCCGGCCAGGTTGGCGAGCTCGGCCTGGATGTGGAGCCACTTGTCGGCGGCGTAGCGGGCCTCGAGCACGGAGAGCGCGCGGCACGCCGCCGGCGTCCAGAACGCGTCCGGCCGCAGCCGCCGGCGCCCCGGGAACCGCCGCGCCAGCGCGTCGATCAGCGTCGGCGGCCCGCCGCGCGCGCTCTCGGCCGAGTCTGCGTCTGAGTCGCTGCTCGCCGAGTCTGAGTCTGAGTCTGAGTCCGAGTCGGACGAGTCGGACGAGTCGGACTCTTCCGCCTCGCTGCTGCTGCTGCTGCTGCTTCTGCTGCTCGTAGTGCTGCTCGTGCTTGTGGTGCTGGTGCTGGTGCTATCTTCGTCCGCGCCCCCGCCCCCCGCCGGGTACAGCGTGATGCCGCGGCCGCCGTCGTAGAAGCACACGCCGTAGCCGCGGAAGCGCGGCGTCTCCTCGAGGTGCGCGCGGTACAGCTCGGCGATGCCCGACGTCGTCAGCGGCCGGCCGGCCGCGTCGAGGTGGCGCGCGCGCTGCCGGATCTCCGCCGCCGTGCGTGGCGCCAGAACCGGGGCCATATCTCGGGATCTGCGGATCCGGGCGGGTTTTGCGGGTTAGTTATGGGCTTGTGTGCTTGTTTGAAGAGGAGAAGATGAATCGAAAGTATGGTGATGGGGAGGAATGAGACGTGGGGAGGAAGTTGGCCGCAATGTAGGTGCACAAACCAAGCTTACCGGACACCCATCTTTCTTAAGAGGCAGATCATTCCGTCTTCCTCGTCCTCCCAGTCATCACCATCATCATCATCAGCAGATGTGGAAGGACCGGCGTCTCTCTTCTCGGCACGGGCACTTTTCTTGTTGCTGCTCTTGTCAGAGGCTTTTCCCTTCCCGCCGCCCTTCTTATGAGCCTTCTCCTTGCCCTTCGAAGCGGTCTTCGTCTTCGCCATAGTGTGCTTCGTCGTATGGGGATGATGCTTCGATGGCTCTGTCTTGTTTGCGGCTGGAGCTTTCGAGTGGAAGTGCGTGTGTTTCTGCTGGGGTTCACCCGGAATATCGAACCTGACAGACTTTTTGGGAGAATGGGATCTTGTCCTGAGGGCGCTCTTGGTGGGGGTTAGAGGTCGTCGCGGTTTTCGGCCAGCGGGCTTGCTTTTTGACGGATGCGAAGACTGGCGGGAGCTCATGATGGTTAGCTTGACGCTCTAACAAGCAGAGGAGGCTCCAGATCGTATTGTATGCTGGGATAGAGAGGATACGATGAGAAAGGGACAATATTGCGGAAGAGCAGGGGTGGGATGGAAGGGAATAAATAACGAGAAACCAAAAAGAGGTGAGTGAATGGGGGTTGGCAATTCATGGTTATAGGGGAGGTTTGGTGAATGTATGCCTGTGTGAGGATAAAGTTGAAATAGGCGCCCTGGGCTGCTTGTTGCTCACCTCTCTAACTGGAAATATGTACCAGTCTCATCAATTCCCTGAAGGAAGTCTTATTATGTTGTATGGATGGGTTATGAAAAGCCTGCTTGACGAAAATGCTTTTGTTCGCGTGAATGCCTTGAGAGATAAGTCAAGCGGATGCCTTGGCAACAAACAATCAACCATATGATTCCTCTCCTGGACAACCTCAAAGATACACCCACGCATGATAAACATTTAAAGATAAGAGGCAGGCTATAATTATCCCCCTTGGGGTGGTAGCCCTGAGTAGTTACGAATCTGCGGACGCACGCACCGAGATTCGGCATCCCTTGATTCGTAGCCACCACTGTTCCCCCTAGCCCCTAACCCCTTTATCATAGCTGACTCCCAAACCTCCACTTACCCGGCAAATCGATCTCACAAGTATCAAGAGAAAATTGCAGGGAACACTCATTATCAACGGAATGCTTGACGCCCTCCTTTCCGTAGCTCAGCGCGTACAGGGAGCCCCTGCCGACGCCGACGGCCCGCGCGTTGAGCAGGCTATCGAGCGGCGGGTTCTCGGCTACCGGTCAAGGCCCGGAGGACGGGGCAGCCGCTGCCGGTGACGATAACAGCCCCGTCGCCTATGCCGTCGTTACAGGACACCGATGCGGCAGCGTCTTGACTAGTGACATCGAGTGGGCCTCGGAGTAGACCGCTGTCGCATCGCAGACGGCGAGCCGGAGAAGAACTTTGGCGCCGCCGGGATGTTCGTGCGCGAGCTCGCTGAAGTTATAGACCACGTCGTCGAGCGATCGGGGCCGTGATACCTCACTTGTGCCGATTGATCGAGGAGGGGTTGCTGTCGTTTCTCCGGCCTCCCCCGCGCCCATATTCCGTAGCAATACTTGCTCTCTGGCAGCTAGATAGACAACTAGGCGAGCAGGCAAGGTAAAGCGTAGGCGCCGCCATCTGACATCAACGTGAGAGCGTGAGAGAGTACACCGATCCTGTTAGAGGTGGCTAGGAGGGTAGACAAACAGGCAGAGAGATAGGTAGGTAGGTGGTAGGCAACCGACAGGTTGATGTGTACTCCCTGCTATTCCCGTGGGAACGGTGGCCAGCACCAAGCTGGACAAAAATTAGCTGCCGAACGCTACACCTCGGCACTTCTCCCGAATTGCCGCAGAGAAGGCGACCTGGGACCGACTCGTGAGGGTGTAAGGATGGGTTTACCGCCCATCGTAGAGACCTAGGGTAAGTAGGCAGACAGACGACCAGGCACGTATAGAGGCATGCCCCATTTCCTACCTAGATAGGCCCGATATACTGTTTCTGGGTTGGTGGAATAGTGCTTGAGACGCGGAGACGGGTGATGATGCTTGTGTATTTAGCACTACTTGCTGATCCACGTGGAGTGAGCTTTCGAATTAGGGAGTTTGGAGTATCCCTACGATACTTAAGCAGGAGGCACGGTGGCCTCTCTTCTCTCTCCCCAGTATGTCTTGGGCGTTGATTTGTAGCACTAGGTCGGCATGGACTGGCCCCTGATGCGCTGGCCAAGGGCCTTAGTAAAGATTAACCTTCAATCAGGTATTCGCGTTCTTATATAGGTATTATCCTGGCCTGATTGTTGCATTAGTCCTCTCGACCTCGTCGTCGATATGGCAATGTGTGATACCTGCTTCGTCGATCCGATCTCGAGGGGCATTTAGAACTTGTTTCAGGCCCCGGAATCTTGAGTCCGCACGTATGAAGAGAGAAACCATATATTCGACCTGCGCAACTCGCTACTGACGAGTGAAATTTTCGACCAGCCCGCGTATCGTAAATTCGGCTTCGACTTGTCCTTATCCTATGTCTGTTCCCTTCTCTCGAGATCTTGCTCGGAGGAAGCCCCAGGCCAACTTTCTTCTTCTCTCTCCCCTCCCAAGACTCCGCCCAAAAAAAGCAACAGGTATCATATGGTATTCGCATCGCCGAAACGCCAAGCCCTCCAGCATGAGCGAAAACAAAAAAGGCCCCAATGCAATATTTACACAGAATATTACTAACTGATACATGCCCCTTCACGCAATCAGCCAAACGATCTCGGCCATGCTCGTGAATTTCGCTTCGTTTAGGTCCTATGGTAGGGGCGATAGGATTGAAACTGAGGCGGAGATGGCGGGCTGAACTGAGAATATTCCGACTGGGGCGGCGGCGTTGGGTTGGAGATCCATGTATACGTTGTCGGGTCGTCGGCGGGACTCACCAGCTCCCCGTATGGCTGGGGGCTAATGGGAGATACTATATCATCTTGGGTCGGCGGCTTGCGAGCAACGGGGACGAACGTGGACGGTATTTCCGGCGGGCGTACATTCCTGGGCGCGTTCGCAGGGTTGTAACTTGTAGGCGGCGGTTGCGGCGGTTGCGGCGCCGTCGGATAGGCGGCGGCATCGGGATGCGGCGTGTGGACCATCTGCGGCGGTATTTCCCCGTAATAAAACGAGGGATTTTCGAAATCAGGGAGTCCAGAAGGATACACTCCGGCGGGCGTGAAGTCTTGGCTAGGATAAGGGGGCGAGTTGCCTACCCCCTTATCTCCTACCCTCTCTTCCCCCTCTCGTCTCCTACGGTAGCGTAAGAAAAGTAGGATGCCGGCGATGAGCAACGCGAGCCCGGCCACGCCGCCGATCACGCCACCGACGATGGCACCAACATGACTCGTCGACGAAGTGTAATCGGCAGTAGACGACGCCTCAACACCTGGAGATATGGTAACGGTTACCGGATTTGTTGCTAATGGCGTTGCGGTAGAAATACGGCTTGTCGGTGACCAGCCCGGGAACGGACTCGTCGCAATCATACTGTTGCCCGCCTCGCCGCCGCAAGCTAGAAAGCTATAGCCATGTAGATACTCGAAGAAATTCACGTTATATAAATATGTTACGCAACGTGGACGTGCCTGGTCCGAGCTGTCCCCGACTTAGCCGACGAGGCCAAGTAGCCTTTCATAGCACGCAGTCGTAAGCTTACCAGGTGAGAGTCTGAGGATCAATCGGTTGACGCGTCGGCGGCGTCCCTACCTCGACGCATGCTGTGGGTAATATCGTGCAATCGCGGCGGTCTCGGGCGCTGCAACATCCCACCACGCCAGACGAGGAGGCGCAAAATGCCCCATCTGAGCAGCCAATTGCCGGGTCTATCGAGAGAAGTGGTAAGAGGTTTGTTGCTCTTCGCAACGGTTCCATCTCGCGAAGCCATCTCGCGAAGGAGTGCAACCTACCATTGGACTTGCTAACAGGGAAACCGCAGGTATCGGTCATGGGGACGCCCTGCTGTCGTCTCCGAAGCTCCCAGTCCTCTGGCCTGGCCCCCGGCGGCGCAGTCGGTTTTGGCGTCCAGCCGGCAGGATCGATTTGCGTATTGCCGAGGGTCTCGGTGGGCGGCCCCCAATCCTTTGCGTGGCGACCTGCCCGAATAGAGAAGCCAGCATCAACACAGGCGACCGCGTAACTCAAGGTAGCCAGCCTGAGGACGGACGTCATGTTGGTGCAATTGACCGTCCATTCAAGGGCGGAAGAAGCGAACAGGTAGGAAAACCGCAAGGCCCAGCAGGGAAAAGGGGGGGGGGGAGGGACGGGCAAGACGCTTTTAACCTCCCACCCCAACGTGCGGCGGGTTTCTGCCGGGACCGGTTTATCCTATTGCCCAGTGAGGCTTCAGCTGAGATGGGAGTACCCACCTCCCGAAGATGGCTGATGAGACCCTGGTATTACTGGATGAGACGCTGGGGGTGACTCGTGCAACGTTGGGTAGTGAGATTGCGGCGGAGCACTCGTCGGTCAGCAAGTCATATTGGTTCATACGGCAACGCCAATGGACCGAGAACACCGTCGATGGCCTGCAGGTTGGTAGATGGGAAGCAACTTGCGCCACTTGTACCATATCCGGCCTACATTGTCTCGAACGCGGAGTACCTAGATAGCTAGCGCCAGCCGCCCTCGATGTCTCGGTGTAGACGCCGAGACGAAACACAGAGAGCCCATCCTATCTCTCGCAACAGATAGACAAGGTAAGGTGACACCCACGGCCCGTCGACGGACGGACGAATCCACTTCGGGGCAGCGTTGGAGAGAGAGAGAGAGACAGAGAGAGGAGGGGTTGAGGCAGTGAAGGGCCCGCTATGGTTCCCCCCTCCTCCCCCCCTCCCCTCCCGCTGCCCCCGGCACACACGACAGGCACACGTGTGAGGAAGGTCTCTAGGCTCGAGCCACACTGTTGAATCCGGCTCTCCATTGGGCCGAAGAGACTATACGTTTGCAGCAAATATAGAGGAGTACCTTCGTGGAAGAGAGAGACGAGGGGAGAGCTGGGGGCTAGAAAGTCTGCCGAGCCAATTACGGGCAGGGTGCCAGAGAAAGGTGTGCAGAGGGTGTGCAGAAGGCATCTAGAGGGCGTGGAGAGAGGGGCATAGAGAGAGGAGAGAGGGGCAGGGAGAGGTGAGGGAGACGGAGATGGAGAGGGTGGTAGTTGGTGTGGAGCTACCAGTTTGCCGCATTGGGAGGGGAGACGGACCGACACAGCCTGGTGTTGCATATGCTGCCTGCCTGCATATAGTTATATGTGCATATACCCGTCTATCCGAGCACTCTTGTACGCTTATGCATGTACGCATGTATGCATGTACGGACCGCGTATTGCTGGCGTTTATCGACCGCGCCAGCTGGCACCCGGCCGTGTCTGCGTTGCGTGCCAGCTGCACTTCGGATAGGGCAATGGGACGAAGAGGAGGAAGAGGGGGCGAGGTGGCTTCCCGCCATGAGCGACGATCGTTTTCTCACCCGCCGTCGCAAACGGCTATAATCATCGAAGGCGAAGACGCGGAAGCTATAAGAAGGAATTCGCTCGGCTGGTCTAGAGAGGCACATCGGCGGCGATCGGCGGCGAAAACAGGGAAGCTAGGTAGAATCAGGCTGGCCGGCCCGGGAATACTCTGGCTGTCGCATCTACTACCTAATGACGCATGCTACCTCCGTATGTAATAGATACGCGCATACATACGCACAACACAGGAACCCGGCGCATGTCAGACGCCGGGTACTGTCGAGGTTGGGAGAGCGAGGAGGTGAGAATGCGAGGATGCAGGGTGCCCGCAGAGACAGAGATATAAATATAGCTCCTCGCAGATGATCGGGCCACGTCTCACCGCTAATGTGCTAGACAGACTATGAACGCACCCTTCGCTCGGCTCCGTAGTTCTCCTTCGAGCCGCCACTGAGTGGTAATATCGAGGCCGCGGAATTCGAGGCTAACTCCGCACCCAATGAGGCTCTCCGCGAGGGCCGACTCTGTGGCCAACTATTGTCTTCTTGCTTGCTATCCACTATCGGTTCGGGACCGTGGATAGATTCCTGCTGCTCCAACCGCACAGGTATCTATAGTAATATCACGACGAGATTGGAAGGATTCGTTCACGCGATATTGATACCAACCTGTACAAGCAGGCAGGTTTTTATATTCGGGTGGTGGTCATTTCCTGATATCGGTAAGAATCAATAGCCTGTGCGTGTGTCTAATACATCGCAATCTCACCATATTGGGCTTATATTGGCCGAACGGTGATAGACTCGTGCTTCGTTCTACCGGTCGATCCTCAACTAGAATGTGAACTTACCTACCTTTACCTACCCACAATCCTTCCAGAGCCTGTCGAATTCTTCTTCCCTTATGCCCCCTTACGTAAGCCCGGCACCTCACCTCGCGTTCATGTCAGCGGACGGTCAATTAAAAGGTGAGTCTTTCTGGCTCGCCTTCTTTCCGCTCCTCCCAACCCACCAGCTTCGAGGCACGTCCGGCGCTCTTCGTGGGATTCGCCGTCAGAGGTTCTCCCTCATTATTTCCTTTCCAACCTTCAGTGATAATATAAAGGTGGGTTACCGCTTGTGTGTCTCGTCTCAAGTTAAGGAACCAAGACAGAAGAATGGTCAGTAAAAATGTAGCCATTTGGAGATAGGAGGTTTGTGTTCCGGGAAGGCCTGTCGAAGAGTTAGACATGTCTATCGACTGTTTTTATGTACCCAATGTAATTGCCCTCCCCACAATCGTGATGTAAAGAACGAGAACAGCGTACTATTCAAGCGAAATTCTGCGAACCATAATATAATATGAACTTCCCTACGTCTACGTCAGAGCGAACCGCCCTAGCTACTAATAGTGCCCGGTATTGGATTTCGTCTCAGCATATTTTGCCGAGCAATTGCCTATGAAGAATGTCGGGGGGAAGGGGGGAGGGGGTAGCAATGGTGGATAAAGCCAAGACCCCAGATCTGGTTTATCTTTACATCGTCCTATTGCTTGGAGGAGTGCATATTATACGATAGAGTGGACGAAATAGTCGTAGAACTGGCCTTGCGTACGTTCGATCTGAATTCGTGGATGTCCTAGAGAGAAACAAGTCGGGAAGAGGAGATGAGGTGAGAGATAGGAAAACTATCAGAATCTTCGAAGCCTCCGCGGTTTCTCTCTCCCCTATATATCATGATCACGGAAACAGGCCTTCAATTTAGTGGACGCAGTTTTAATACCGACACCCCATGAGCAGCGAGTTAAGTACCTACCTATCATAGGACTTCATATTCCATATCAACCAGGACAATCGATATTGCACGGGTCGGAAACTTCCCGTGGGGTGTACGTAGAGTATTAGTTTATGCGAATAGCCTCCCTTTCACTTCCCACGCCCTAAGCTGACCTAGGAGCTAGCCAAACATCTGCTGGCCCCCCACGCGCGCGCAATCTACCTACGGGGACAAAGGCTCACCTACACGACGTTACGCTAGCCCTCCGGAGCCGCGGGTGAGGCGAGTCCCACACAGCAGCGTAACGGGAAGCAGGCGCTGTGGGAAGTCCAGGGTGGCAGCTAGGAAGAGCATCCCACGCGCAACAAGTCCCCGTTCCTGCTGTCCCCTTTCCCCTCCCTGGTCGCCGCCGCGGAGTATCTAGCGAGCGCTACTAGCCACCCCAGACCTAATACCCGCGGGGCACACGCCGCGGTCGAAAGCGCGCGAAACGACTGACCCCCGAGGCACCGCGCGGTGCCTCGGGGGGCGAAGGTAGTAGTCTCCCTTCCCGCTAGATGCGCAACTTATCGTATCTCGCCTAGCCGCCCTCCTCGCCGCCGATGCTTCTAGAAAGGCCCTGTTCGGGTGCAGGCGAGCATAACCTGGGGAGGGGAGGGGGCGAGACTGCGTCGTGTCAGCTGGGGCGCGTCGTATAGGGGCCAACGAACCCGGACGCGTGTGCGCACGCCTCACTTGGCCTAGTCGTGACGTGCCGCCCTCCTGTCTCTTTGACGTAGCGGGAGCAGCCTTACAGGCTCCTGTGGGTCGCAACCTCGTCGTCAGCATGACGCTCCTGACCTTGGGTAGGATGGGGGGGACGGAAAGGGATAGGGGAGGAAGGGATTTCGTCACGAAAGCAGGCGCCAACCCCCGTTAACAAGGGCAGAGAGAGTAGGCAGCAAGCTAGAATAGTAGCACTACAAGACGTCGTCCCCGGTCTCCACCATAGATCTATGCAGCCTCATCTAGGAGAAAGAGGAACAGAGTGAGGAAAATCAGGGGAGGGGGGGACAATGTTCCTGTCCATCACATAGGTACACCAACCACGGATCAGGACATCCGTAGAATCGAACCACCAGGTTACATGTGAACCCCGGCCGACAACTTCAGGGGGGTGCGGTTCCCGGCGTTGGCCGAAGATCTCTTCGCGACTGCGCGTGTGAGTAGATCCAGGAGTGTAGTGAGGCGTGCCGGATGTTACAGTCGGGGCGATCGTATACGCCAGTTAGCTAGCTCGCTAGAGCTAGCGGGGCATGGCTATATATATACATACCTACCTATGTAGAGACACAGAGGTGTTAAGTTGTCCTGTTCCTCACGGGTAGCGAGCGTGGGACCGCGCAGCTCTGCACAACCAACTGATCAGAAGGCGTGGACGATTATATATGTGTTCCCTCCCTATCGTGCCATGGTCGAAACATCTCATCCTTCTCTCCTTTTCCCTTGCCCGCTCCCGCTCCCCCTTTCCCCGTAACGAATTAACCGCGGACGGATGGACAGAGGACGAAGCACGAGTGACGTTCCCAGAAGACAGAGACCTCCGCGGGAACCTATGGGGAGGGCTAGTCTAGGTATTCATCGCGGCCGTGCTCACAACGGTAGCTCTTCCTAGAGGGAAAAGAGAAAGGATTGTGGAGAGCGTGAGTGACACTATATATCTAGCCGTCATCTCTCCATAACCTACCTATCAGTGCCGTGTGGAACGACCACGGCAGGTCCCGGACATAAACAGCGCCATGACGCGACGCCCGCCGGCCCCTGATATGCCGAAAGGTCCTATGTACCGAGAAACATCACCCCATCCGGCGTCTGCACGTCGAGCCCGCTCGTGTACGAGACACGGCTCGGCCCCTGCCGACCGCGACCACCGAAGGGGGGCTTCCTGACGGGCATCGAGAGCCTATGGTACGTGCTTATCACACATGCCCCCGTGTCGCGACCCGTTTTCGAGTAAGCCGGGGGCGTCCTAACCTACCAGTAGCAGCAGAGGAGAGGGAGAGGAGAGAAGAGGGGGAGAGAGATACATGTCGATGACGGGCGACGCGAAGTGACCTGCCTCCCGCATACAAATTGCACCATCGATAGGCCACGGGCGAGGCCATGCAGTGGGGGGACAGACAACACCTCGCGGCATGTCCAGGCGAATATCGAGCTGGGGTTGCGCGCGATTCTTCCGTGACTAGCGTATGCACCCGCGCAAGCGAAGCCAATCTACGATCCCGTCCTGCGATATCGACCACCACCGAGATGCCACGGCTGTTCGCCACCCCCTATCCTTTGCCCTCTCTCCTCATTTCCCGTCCGAAGCCCGTCGTCCTGTAGCATTCCCCGCCCGCCCCCTTATCCCTACCGCCGTATACGATGGCGAGCGAACGTACGTACCCCCACCCGCGTAGTGTGAGGAAGTCCGCGGACGAGACTTCCTTCCTTCCGCCAGCACGCTCCGCGCGCTCGCCTGAACGGTCGACCCGCTCCGCGTCCTGCATGCGCACATATTTACCGTACGACGTATCACTGACGCGTATATAATTGACAACGTCTATGCCTCAGAAGGGGGGGGGGGAAGGTCCGGGGATCAGAATGCATGGATGGAGGGATAGATGGTAGGACTCCCTGCCCCGGCCCCCGATGAAGGGCATAGTAAGCCGGGGCTGCGTGAGAGAAGTGAGGCGACTCATCACTGATCCCACCTGCCTTCCCTCTCGGAAGTGTGAATATCGAGGGCCAAGAAGGCCAAGGGGTGAGGCGACGGGGGTGCGAGGGCGGCCTGTGATAGCGGTTCTCTCTCGCGCCGGCACGGTTGCAGCAGGCAGCGGCTCGGAGATCTGCCGAGACCATGAGTTGCCAGCATGTCATGGTGCGTGCCTCTCTGTCGCGATCGGCCCATCGAGGCGAAAGGCCCAACCTCAGAATACCCTACCATCCGCTACGAACGATCTCCTTTCGCGAGTTGTTTACCTGATAAGCATGTATGCGTACCGGGAATGGGCATCGTACATACCTACTGCCTACATGCCAGCCAACCTGCGGCACACGCCTCCTCCCCCCAAACTTCACATCCTTCTCTTTCCCACGGCTCCACTGACCGACCTCTTTCTTATCAGGAGCAATAAGTGGACAGGGCAGAATAGTGTACACGCACACACGCACACGCCTATACGCAACCCCCTATGATGAAGAGATTACCTACGTGCTCGTCCTTGGCCCTCCCCTGCCGTCTCCGTGATTGGCTACGAAAGGGCTTGTCCGACTAATTCGCTGCATGGAGTCACCTACTAGGCGCCCACCGCCCCTTTCTTATTCTTCTTCTTCTTCCTCTGCTTCTTCCTCTGTCTTCACCCACCTTTACCTGTCGAGCCAGCCAGCCTGCGCGGTCAGTCAGCTCCCAATCAAGTCGGACAGACCGACGATCAGTAAGCGTGGCAGGTGAGTAAAGGTGTGCAGGGCGGGCGAGACAAGGGCAAGATACCTAGCTAGCAGGCGTGCCCGGCGGCCGCGGAGCGAACCCCGCGCGGAAAATCCGCACCGTCGTTGTAGAATCGCCGCCGAGAGAGAACCAAAAGAAAAAGGAGGAGAGAAAAGCAAGGAGAAAAGGAGGCGAGAGGCGATGCCAATGCAATATGATGCACTACGCAGGCAAAAAGGTGCCCTCTATACATGCAGACGTACGTACATAGATGGCGTGGTCGCGAAGGTGAGCGTCGGTACGTAGGTAGGTATGTCTGTCTGCCTAGGGCACCGGGGAGCCGGACCCTCCAGGGGGTAAGAAAATGAGGGCACGGGGTGGAGACAACGGCGTCCCAATGTCACACCCAAGCTCCACGGGAGCTCGACGACGTCGCATTTTTCGAGACGCACACCCACTCTTAGGCGATGGTGATTCCATGCGCCGTTAGCCAGGGGACACTGCGGAGGAGGAGGAAGAGGAGGATACATACCTACGTTATCGTGGGGTTGATACGGGATGTAGATGTGTAGGTATGTATATGTATATGTAGACAGGGAGTGCGGGCCGCGGCATCGCAACCTCGTGGACTCGCCCGTTCCCCTTGCTCGAAGCCGCACTCTGCTCGTGTGTATGTGCGTATATCTACCCACCTACCTACCCATATGCATACATGCATACACAATGGCATGCTGGGGGGCGCCATGCAGGGCGGAAGGACGGGATATTACGAGGGCATGGTCGATACGGCGGGGATGATGTAATTCGCAAGCCCTTCTGGGTCGAAAATGCAATGTAATGTGCGTGCGCGCGCGCGCGCGCATTGAACCGTTCCTTCGCGTCCAAGGGTTTTGCTGTTTCCACAGCCAGGGCTGGGGCAAGACAGCCTCATTTGCGCAGCCTTTTTACATACCTACCTCTAAGTACGTGTAGGTGGTAGTAGGTGGTGTAGTGCGCCTATCCACCCCTACCTGCGTACATCCATACACCCATACGCGTAAGGACGTACCTATGTGGCACTCCTCTCAGAAAGGAGACGGAGGGGCGTCGGTGAGAACCCCTGGCCCCGGTGCTGTGGCGGCTGACAGCAGCAAAGGAGGCGACACGGACACACGATCGCAGGGCTGGCGTCGTTCTGTATGGTTGATAACCCCGGACTGGCTTGCCCGACCCCCATGCACGATCATCGGGGAAGACAGACGAGACCCAGATCGCAGGAAACCCCCTTGCCACTAGGGCGCGCCGGACCCAGGATTCGAGAAAGTCGATGTGTGTACCTACTCATAGATGCGTGACAC